TTTGGAGGGAGTGGGAAGGCTATATCAAATGATGTTTGGGGCTGCTAGGGACCCTGCAGAGAATGCATGTGCACTAATGCTGCCAACTTTCTGGCCTGCTGATGCCTGGACCAGAGCAATGGTAAGAAGATAAGACATGCTGGATTCCGTCCCCAGTAAGTACACCATACGGTCTCCTGAGCCCGCCAGGAGTGATCCCTGAGTAAGCCCTGAGTACTGCTGAGTGTGGCCCCAAACAAATGCCTAATATCTAATTCGTATCCTTAGACATTCTGGGTTTTCCTTGGTCACTCTTTTATACTATGATATTGGGGATCAAATCCAGGACATCCCACATACAAGCTTTATTGTTGAGTTATACCCCAAGCCCAGCCTCCTAGTTGAATTGGTATGAGATTTTATTTTTTTAAGTACTCCAGTTAATTTTAATGTGTAGCAAAGTTTAAGGATCTCTTGTTTATAAAAAGATGAGAAATTCCCAGGTCCCCAGAGCCATCGTGCAGTAGGTAGGGTGCTTACCTGCACACAGCTGAACAAAGTTTCCATCCCTGCCATCCCAAGCACCTTCAGGAGTGATGCCCTGAGCATCGCTGGGTGTGACCCCCAAAACTGGAAAACTGAAAAAAAGAAGAAATAAATGTTAATGAGGACGAAAGCAGAAAAGAGCAGTTCTTGTCACTTTTGTGTTGTTTGCGGCATTATGGGGCGATACACGGCGTTACTCAAGGGCTACTCTGAGTATGCTGCTCATAGCCAGACTTGGAAGCAAAGCACTTGCTCCAACCCTGAGTCATGGGCACCGTTTTCTAGTTCAGTAATCATCAGTACAAAGACCAGGCTTAACTATTCACCTAGAAAATGATCTCACCATCAGTATAATTACTGTAGCTGCTGTTTTCCTTCTCTCTGCAATAATTTTAATGTTTGGCTTGTGTCTCAGCAGTAAATCTGACTGCTGGAATTTATTCACTGTAAATATTCATCTGCCTTACCCTGTCTGGCTGCTTTTATTTGAACCTTCCATTATGCTGCCCAGTTACTGCACCCCTGGGTTTTAAGGGTTTCTTTGGAGTTCTACAGTTCTCCCTGGTGACTCTGAAGTGAAGTGTAGTAAGCTTCACTTGCAGGACCTACAGCCCATCATCTTAGGAAGTAGAATCTCAAAAACGGGTGCCACTATACTCTTGGCCTGTTTTTGTCTTGTTTTCCCTCTAACTTATTGGCTCCTTTTATATGGGGTGGGGGTGGGAGTTGGCTTTGGGGCTACATCCAGCAGTGCTCAAGGGTCATTCCCAGAATGTTGCTTAGAGGTCATTCCTGGCAGTGCTTGGGGCAGACATTACTGTTGTGGGGATGGACCGGAACCAGTGCTCCTACACGAAAGCGTGCACTCCATCTACTGGATCCCAATCCCAACTCCAGCTCCTACTTTTTGTTTCTGGGGCCACATCCGGCAGCTTACTCCTCACTGCACTCCGAGATCACTTCTGTTGGGCTTGGGGAATCATGAGCTGCTGGGGATCAAACCTGGGCTGGCTAGCGTGCAAGACAAATGCCCTACTGCTGTATGTCTCCAGCCTATCTAGAGCCAACCTTTTAAAGTCAGTGGATCACAGTAAGTATCATGCCTGCCTCCTAGTTATTGGTGTACTATGCTATAATACTGGTAATGTATCATTTCATGCGTCTCGTTGCAACCCCACACTCACCACCAGAGTGACTGCTTCCTTCCACCAGTGTCTTGGGGATGCCTCCCATGCACCCTTACCCCTGCTCCAGGTGAGTTCATTTCTGTAGACAAAGCATCATTTTTAGTGAAATGTGGACACTGTCCCTGAGGCCTTTGGCTTTAGCTTGGTGAGCATTTTAAACTTTGTCTTCCTGAGAATCCTCAGTTTTACAGCTCTTTATAGCTTTTTGTTGTCATTGTTTTGGTTTTTGGGTCACACCTGGTGGTGCTCAGGGATGTCTCTTGGTGGCTTCAGGGGACCATATGGGGTCCTGGGGATTGAACCGAGGTCTGCCAATGCAATGCAAGAACCCTACCACTATCTCCTACCTGGATGTCCAGGTATGATCTGCAGCATCACAAGGTTCTCTGAGCACAAAGCCAGCAGTAATTCCTGAGCATCATTGGGTATGGCCCAGGAACAAAAAGAAAAATAAGACTAGCACCTCCCTTCTCAGTCTCCTTTGTAGGTGAGGGGCAGCTGTGCACTGCCTGGGCCCCCTCACCTCACTATGGCAGGGCAGTAGCAGAACTAGCTGCTTGGTTGTCCACAGAAGGTCTGGAGAGACACAGGCTGACTCAGACAGACTGGTCCACAGTAGTTGGACTCTGGTGGACCAGGTTGCTGTGTTTGCCATTGTGACCCGGCAGCAAGCGCGGCAAGTTCTCTCCACCAGGACAATGTGTTCACACATCTGACAAGGCTTTCCTGCCTCCACTGACCTGGCATGATGCCACTACTGGCTCAAGTGTGTTTCAGCCACCATATTGTTTTCAGTAGATGACATACCTAGAAAATCCTGAAGACTACTGAAAAAAAAAGATAAGTCCTTGAAACAGTATGTACGTACAGTAAAATGGCAGGCTACTTTGCATGTAAAGAATCATTGCATGTGAATCAATGGCATTTCTACATGCAAATAATGAAGTAGAAATTTAAAAAGTAGTACCACTTAATGCTTCAAAAAATCAGGTACTAGAAATCAGCTTACCAAGAGTTGAAAGACTTGTTCAAAGAAAACTATGACTCACTGTTAGAAGAAAAGAGGACATGAGGAAATGGAAACACATCCTCTGTCCATAGATTGGAAGGACCAATACTGTAAATCTAAATCTTTCCCAAAACTGTTTAGTGCAGTCCCTTTAAAAATACCCATGACATTTCTTAATATATCAAATGCTGTTGTATTTTATATGGAGTTAAAAAAAAAAAAACCCAGACTAGCCAAAGCAATTCCTGAGAAAGAGATGGGTGACTTCTTCCCAATTTTTAATTATACTATCAAGCTGTAGTAATAAAAACCGTGATGCCAGAATAAGAACAGACTCATATTAGACCAATGGAATAGAATTTTGAGTCCAGAAACGTAACAACAAGTGTATGGACAGATAATCTTCAACAAAGGAATAGTATGAAGTAGCACCAAACAAAAAAACAAAAACCAAAAAAAACCCCACAAAAAAACCTCAAATTATGCTGGAAAAACTGGTCGGTCATATACAAAAAGGTGAATGCAAACTTCTTCCTGAAGACCTTGCTATCAGGCTGGTCTTCTAAAATTATGAAAACAGGTAGAACCCTTCATGTCATTGAATGTAATGCTTCTTCAATGATTCATGCCATTAATGGTCAAACGGAAGCAAGATAAATAAGGGAACATCAAAGTGATCTGATTCGCATATTTTTTTAAATCTCCTTTTTTTTTTTTTTTTTTTTTTTGCTTTTTGGGTCATACCTGACGATGCACAGGGGTTACTCCTGGCTCTGCACTCAGGAGTTACTCCTGGCGGTGCTCAGGGGACCATATGGGATGCTGGGAATCGAACCCACCCGGGTCAGCCGCGTGCAAGGCAAATGCCCTACCCACTGTGCTATCTCTCCAGCCCCTAAGTCTCCTTTTTGAGAGTTAAAAATTGGGGCTTTTACCTGAAGATGAAATTTAGTGAAATGCACTTGCAAACTGCCTGTAAGAGCCTGGTTTCCCGATTTAGGAAATCAGGCTCCTGAAGTTTTTCGGTCTACATTTGGTACTGGGGATCAAACCTTGGGTGAGCCAAGTGATGATAAGTGCCTTAACCTTTGCACTATGCCTCTGGCCTAAGGCTTTCAGGTAGGATACAGCTTACATAGCAACGGTACCTATTTCTGGAGGGACTTGTTTTTCTCATTTGCAAGTCAGTTCAGACTTTGAAGAGTCGGTGTTCCTGAGGACCAAGGCCAGAGCCTTTCCTTTGTGAAATTTGATTGAAAGCTTTTGGTGCCCAGGTAATCCTGGACCATCTACCTCTAAATCTACCTTTAAAAGTTAGAGACATCATGGGAAGGGGGGTGGTACCGGCTCATCCTTCACGCCCTACCGAGGTCACGAGTTGCCCCCCACGAGTGGCTCTCCAGCACAGCCATAACACCAGACGCACATGAACCAATCTCGTAATTATCTGGCTCTTTGCAGAAATCCAAAATCATTATATGATTTTCATACCAGCTATAGAAAACAAAGTATTTCACAATGCCCTTTCAACAAATTCTGATGGGGGGGGGGAATTCTAAACAATAATGGTGCATCTTTTGTCGAAATAATGAATGTAATCAATGTAGAAAAGAGTTTTGTGGAAATCATCTGCCTCACAGGCACTGGGAGGGGTGGGAGGTGGGTTCTTGGTGGTGAAAAATGAGTACTGGTGAAGGGAGAGGTGTTTGATCATTGTATGACCGAGACTTAAACCTGAAAGCTTTGTAACTTTTCTCACAGTGATTCAATAAATAAATAAATATAAGAAGAAAATAAAAGTGAGAGTAGAATACAACAGAGCACAAGCCTTGCACGTGCATCTTCCTGCACGTCTGGTCCCTGATGAGCATCATGCTCCCGCCCCCATGTCTTCCCCCCAGCAGCGGGGTAATACCGTTTTTTCAGCTCTTCAAGAACTGAAAAAACATTTAATTCAAATTCAGTCCTGTTTCTGGTTGGTCCCTAAAACAAATTGAGGTAATTTTACACTTAGAGGGTTATAATGATGCATCATTTGGCATTAACAGTCCTGTAGTTCCAGTAAACCGTTGTTTCGTTTGGGCATAATCCGGTAATCCGTAATGGGGGGGGCACTGCTCTGGGCTGTGCTGTTAGGGACCAAACCAGTTTCCCGCGTGCAAAGCATGTGCACTTGCCCTTTGAACTATCTCCCCAGCATCCCAATAAGATGCTTTTAAAAACCGTATAAAAGAGTAAATAAATACCAGACACACAATTAGTATGTTGCTTTATTCTACTTTTCACAAATATTTTATTGTGTTGGCATGGATGCCAGAAATAGCCTTTTAAAAATATTTAAACAACTAATTTGTCACTACTTTTATTCTGTATTGTTTTCATTTCCCAAAATTGGCTAACATCATGGATATGTGTACAAACATGTATATATACATATTTACAAATGTGCTTAAAGCCTCAGATCCTCATTAATGTCAGACTTCCACTAAAAAAAGGTACAGTAGTGAGATAGTAAAAATCAAATATGAATAAATCAACTGACTACTTTTAAAGTAAGATCCAGCACTTCTCTAAAGTTTCTAAGCTACAGCCTCAGGTATTTACAAGAAAATAAATAATGTCCCGAAGTCACTTACTTCCACGCGCTTTTAAGACAACCTGCCTGAGGAGCTGTGATTTGTTTTAAGGTAACTTTCCACCCAGGAACAGTTATCCTGATTAATCAATTCATTGATTAAAATTAGATGTTAAAAAAGCTGCAAGCAGTTACTGTTGACATGCAAGTTATTTGATATTTTGGAGCACATCTTGCTTTGACCCAAAAAAGTCTGGTGTGGCTTATCCCTGGCAGGACTCAGGGTGCCACAGACAGAACTAACGTGGGTCGGCTGAGTGCGAGGTAAGCACCTTACCCACTGTACTATCTATCTGGCCCCAATGCTAAATTCTTCAGGTACACATCTTTAAACTACAATACAACTCTATCGCAATGATCTTCAGGCTTTAATTTAAAAAACATTTAATGTTTCGGTAAATGTATATACAATCAGTATACTCTAGGTCGTTTGATTAAATTTTTCTCTGTAGGAACTTTCCTCTTTTGTGATAATCCAGATCCAGGTTCAATATTATTTTGAAGAAATGAAACAGCTTCTGGTAAACAGTAATTTTCTATCTGAGGAGGAGTTTCCTGTAAAAGGAGAAAGACAATACTTAATTTTTCCCCCGTGATTTCAAAGTGTCAAATGATTAGTTTCCTTTATTCTGCCTGACCAAAGAAAATTCAGAAGGAAATGTATATTTACTCCTAAATTCTTGCAAAGAGAACAGTTACTTTTGGAAAGTGCCTAACTCAGAGGCAGGCTGGGGACAGGAGGCAAATTGGAACGTTGGTGGGGGGTAGTAGACACTGGTGGAGAGCTTGGTGTTACAACACCGTATACCTGAAACTCAATCATGAATCTCTGTAACTGTAACACAGTGATTCCATTAAAAAAAAAAAAAAGGAAAGTTGTTTTCAAGGTATATTTAGCACCTAATCTACTAGCGAGTAAAATTGGTATGAAAAAATGAGTTTTTTTAATCTGTAAAATACAGATCAGACTGGAGAATATGAAACTTCTGAAAGCTAAGAGTGTGAGGATATCATACTTAGTATAATTTCTGAGTAAATTTTGAAAAAAAGATAAAAGTCTGAGACACCTCCATGCAAAGTTTGCACTCAACCCTTTAAACTCTCTCTAGCCCTGAAAATACTTTCAGTTTAAGTAAAACTTAATTTTTGTTTAATGTTTATAATTAACTGAGACAGGATTTTCCCCATTTAAGTTTTCGGACCACACCCATTGTTGCTGGGCTGTGGTGGGGCTACTCCTGGCAGTGCTTGGGGGACCTTATTTCCATTTCTTTCCTTCTTCGCTCTCTCTTGAACACATTACCTTTCTTCTCACCTTTAAAGAACACTTCTCACTGAAAAATAAAAAGATGCAAAATGTAGGGCCAGCGCTATGGAGAGTGGGGTAGGATGCGTGACACACCCAGAGGTGCTCAGGGCTACTTCTGGCGCTGCACTCAGGGACCACTAAGGGCAAGCAGCACCTCATCAACTGCACTAGCTCCCTTGCCCCCAGGCTTACTAATTCCTTTTTTTTTTTGTTTTGGGTAAGGCTCAGGCATTATTCCTGGCAGTGCTCAGGGGGCCATATGGGATGCTGAGGATTGAAGCCGGGCAGACTGTGCTCAGCAAGTGCGCTACCTGCTGTACTATCTCTCCGGCCCTCCAGTCCTCAAATTTCTGATCAGCAAACCAGTGCTAAGACTTAATATTTATCTTTTAAATATCCTGAGCAACAAATCAGAAGAGCAAAACTCACAAGGCAGGAGGAGACTTGGCTTTTCTTTATTCCAGTGTCACTGTAATCCTTCATGGGAAAACATTTATATCACATATAATGTCTTGCTTACATTCTGATGGTAATTTAGGTGCTCGAGTGTCTGGAAGACTTTTATTTTGCCCAACAAATCACAAACAGGCCAGTGGTGAAAATGAGTGCAGCGAGTGCTCCATGTAGCAAATGACTTGACCAGAATGGGGATTAGGGAGCTGATTCTCCAATACAGTTACAACTGTGTGTAAGGCAAGGGAGAAAGCTCAGTGGCTCACTGCATGCTCTGTATGCAGGACCGCCCAGGTTCAAGCCTCAGTTCCACATGCACTGGGAGTGACCCCCGACACTAAGTAAAACAGTACCCTGAGCTCTGCTTAATGTGATTCCCAAACAAACAAAAATACTTCACTTTTGACTCCTTCTAACTTTAAATAATAGTTACTGATGGAAGTCTTAATAATAATACAGTCTCTTAAGCACTGTCACTGTCCTCCCGTTGTTCATCGATTTGCTCAAGCGGGCACCAGTAGCGTCTCCATCTTGAGACTCGTTGTTACTGTGTTTGGCATATCGAATACATCACGGGGAGCTTGGTCAGGTTTTGCCGTGTGGGTGAGATACTCTCGGTAGCTTGCCGGGCTCTCCAAGAGGGGCATACACTACCTCTTTATAATAAATCCAGGGAAAAGAAAAATCATAGGAAGAGGAAACATACAGTACTATATTACTCAATACTATATATTTACATTGTCTGTTTCCAACAAAATATGTGTATGAGTGAGCCCACACAATTCTAATCTGTATTGTTCAAGGGTCAACTATCTTTGCTTTGTCTTGGTATCTAAACCAAGTTTTTACTGCATACTGTGTACATAGATAAAGTATATGGTATTGATATGAAGTCAAGAAAACTAAACGGTAAATGTTTAAATAATCCAACCACTTTCAATTTTGTGCACTCCTGAATCAATTTCCGCTTTCTTTACTCTCTCATTTTTACTTTTTTCATACATATATTTTTGCTTTTTGGGTCAGAGCTCGAGCGGGCCCAGTAACATCTCCAATGGAGACTTTGTTGTTACTGTGTTTGGCATATCGAATACGTCATGGGGAGCTTGCCAGGCTCTACCGTGCAGGCGAGATACTCTCGGTAGCTTGCTGGGCTCTCCGAGAGGGGTGGAGGAATCGAACTTGGGTCGGCCAGCTGGCAATGCACAGGGGTTACTCCTGGCTCATGCACTCAGGAATTACTCCTGGCAGTGCTGAGGGTCTGGGGATTGAACCCGGGTCGGCTACATGCAAGGCAAACGCCCTACCTGCTGTGCTATCGCTCCAGCCCCTATTTTAATTTTCTGCTTTGGTTCCTAACCAGCAGTGTTCAGGGACTATTACTGCTCTGTGCTTTGGGGACCATATGTGCTGGTAAGGATTGAACAGGCTTAGCAACAAGGTAAGCACCTTACCTCCTTATCTCTTCAGCCCCTAGAGCCAACTTTATTTGGTGGTGGTGGTGGTGATGGGTGGGTGGGTATTTGGGCCATACCTGGTAGTGCTTAGAACTTCCTTTTGGTTCTAAACTCAGGGATCACTCCTGACAGTACTTGGGGTACCACATAGGGTGCCAGGGATTGAACCTGGCTCAGCTGCGTGTAAGGCAAGCAGCTTACCTGCTGTACTATCACAATGGTCCCTAGAATCTTAACATTTTGTTTTTTATTATTTTTTTTGCTTTTTGGGTCACACCCAGCGATGCACAGGGGACCATATGGGATGCTGGGAATCAAACCTGGGTCGGCCGCGTGCAAGGCAAACACCCCACCCACTGTGCTATCTCTCCAGTCCCAACATTTTATTTTTTTTGATTTATTTTGGTTTTAGGCCACACCTGGAGATGCTCAAGGTTAACTCCTGGCTCTGCACTCAAGAATTACTCCTGGCAGTGCTCAGGGAAACATGGAATGTTGGGTATAAAGCCGGGTAGGCCAGCGTGCAAGGCCAGCGCCTCACCAGCTCTACACTGTCTCTGACCCCTAGAATCTAAACTTTTAAAAGGCACTTTCAAAGCTTTTAGAGGCGAATCTTTATAGTTGACCTTCAAGCTCACTGTGCACACATGTGCTATTGCAGAAAAAGGAATGAAGCTGAAAGGATGACTAGAGAGGAATGGCAGGCTACTGACAAGGCTAGGGTCTTGATATATAGTTGGTAACAGAGGTCAAGAACAAAACCTTACAAACCTGCATAATATAATCAGCAATGTATTCTGTCTTCAAGCAGTACACGTTATAGGAAGCAGCTTCTGCAATATTAACTCCAGAGTCATCTTGTCTCATTTTATTATAGTCAGAAAAGAGATGTGTGGCTTCTTTATAGAAAGGGGCAGAATGACCATGTAGGACCTAATGAGAAAAGAAGCATCAACATGTTCTAGCATCATTGTCCCACACGTGAAATCTGAACTTAAGAATCATCATCCTATCAAAGTGCAGAAAATCAAGAAATAAATGATCACAGCAAACTATGTTAGGAAATAGTTTACGCAAAATGCAGTAAGTTGATTCAGCACAAACCTTAGCTCCTCCTGACTGAAGAAGGCGTCTGAATCCTGCTTCCCGGGATGGATCAACATGTAAAATAACTTTCCAACCACTGAATGCCCCCTACAAATAAAGAAAACAACTGAAGTCCTTTGAAATAAACAAATGACATTAAGGCTAACACATTATTTTATCTAGACACTAAATTTTATGTGAAGAATATTCTAGTCTTTCCCTTCTAGTCTAAGAAACCTGTGGCTGGAATCCTTTGACATACGAGCCCTGGTGTGTTGCTACAGCACATGGCAGAGAGTATGACAGCTACGTAATTTACACTTCATAAGTGAAGGAAAGTGATTTTTCGACCAAGAAACTGGTTTCGGGGCTGGAGAGTGGGTAGGGCGTTTGCCTTTACCTTGCACGTGGCCGACTGGGGTTCGATTCCCAGCATCCCATATGTTCCCCAGAGCACTACCAGGAGTAACGCCTGAGCATCATTGGGTGTGACCCAAAAAGCAAAAATAAAAAAAAAGAAACCTGGTTTCTGTTTATTCTTTCCTTTTGGGTAAAAAGCCTAAACCATAGCTTCTTACTCATAATATATAACTAATACAACAGATGACGCCTCTTTTCTCTTAAAATTACTTATATGTTGGGGATATAAAATATTTAAAAAGTATTTTACAACACTGGCAGTTGTAATTCAAAGCAAAAATTTTTGATTTCTGTGTGGCCAAGTTGCAGGTATCACTTTTAATGCTGTGTTGCTTATTTTATAATGAAGAATTTCATACCTAGATTTATAATGAAGAAAGTGCCCATGTTTAATTAGTGCTTACTAAGAAATAAGGAAGTATTTTTCTTCCAAAGAGTATAGATTTCCAGAATTTGATCTACAGATTTCTTTGGGAAGGTCTGTGAACCACACACCAAGAAGTCCGAAAGCTCAAAGGTAAGTTTCTTGGGAGGAAACAGTGTGTGTCCCATTTCACATGAGGCATTTTAGAGTCATCAAGTCATCACCTGCTATCTTTTATTCTAGCACAATTAAAATCGTTAGGAATAAAGACTTCTCTTCTACCCATGGGATAGTGCTGGGGGCTGCACAGTGCCAGGAGAGAACTCAGGGTCTGGTGCATGCACGCACATACCAACCCTTTGAGCTATCTCGTAAACTCAATATGGAGTGCTAAGCATATACCTCAAGAAATAAAACAATGGAAAAAGGGAGAGAGAAAATTTTCCCTTTCTGGGAGAAGGGCTCACCAGGGTGCCATTCGGCAGTGCCTGGGGGAGGGTTTATGGTACCAGGGTCACAAACAGGGCACCCACATGCAGGGTAGGTGCTTTTGTTCTGTGAACTATGTCTCTGCACCTGAAGAAAGTATTGTTTTGGGCTACACCCGCTGGTGGTCAGGGCTTACTCTTGGCTCTGTGCTGCAGGATCAGCCTGGCAGTGCTCAGGGAATCACATGCAGTGCAGAAGATCATGCTGGGCTTCACTAAGTGCAAGGCTAATGCCTCACCTCCTGTATTATCTCTGGCCCATAGCATTGTTACTTGATCAAACACATTATCAAAAAAAAAAAAAAAAAAAGAAAATTAAGTACTAATCTCAGTGTCCCGGAGTTGTCCGAGGTAAGCCCAGTCTCTGGGCCGAGAAACTCCAGGGTCTTCTCGGGGCTGGAGCAGGCTGAATCCCCACTTGGCCAAGAGGTCCAATGCCCCACTCACACCTGACACCCCCCAGCATGCATATCAACAGATCAGTTTCACAGCTCCACGACTAAGTTTGAGAAGATGCCAAGCTGCAGAATTATCCCATTTGTGGCCACGCAACACCTCCGAATTTCACAGTACCAAAAGCCCGGAACACAGCAAAGAAGATGGGAATGCTGTGTAGAAGCCCACTAAGCTCAGTGAAAACACTAACACAGAAGGCTCGACTAGCACCAACAGCTCAGTAAATCTTCAGACTTCGATCTTAGTAACACCATTGTGAGCTACATGTTGTAACAAGCAATATAACGTAGATTATTTTGTTTCTGCTGGGGGGGAGGCTTGTGGGGTGGGGGTAGGAGACTGGGGACATGGGTGGAGGGAAAGTCACTCTGGGGATGGTACTTGTGTTGAAACACTGAATGCCTGAAACAACTGTATTATGAACAACTCTGCAAATCAGTGTTTAATAAAATAAAATTAAAATCTAAAATAACTAAGACACTGAATGCCATTTATACAACCTGTATAATTCTATAAGCTAATACCTCAACAATGCCGGATTCTTGTTTTTGCTGAATGGTTTTCCTCCATCTCATTGCTGCAAGTGCTAGTCTTCGCTGCTGTACAGTGATTCCAGTCAAGACATCAATTATGGAACTGCTTCCCCACTCATAGTCTTCTTCCTGGGGAGTTAGTCCAACAAACTTTTGAGTCCCTGCAAAATGTCTTTAAGGGCCCCGAAATCTATGAAAAGTTAAAAGCCATACATTCAGTTATTAGAGAGTACTGAGCAAGCCCAAGTATCAATTTATGTTAGGCAGAGAAAATGCAGATAAACCTGACTTCATATAAGAATAAATATTTCACTGGACTTCACCTAGCAAGAAATAAATTTCATGACAGTCTTTGAGAATGTATTTTTTTTTTTGAGGGGGGTGATGCTCAGGGCTTACACCTGGCTGGCTTGGGAGACCACATGGGGTGCTGGAGATCGAACCCAGTTCTGCTGTGTGCAAGGCAAATGCCCCATCAGGCCTGTTTCAGTTGACAGAGAATATTCTAGCTCCCAGGAGAATGCTCCAGCCCTTGAGAATATGTGTATTAACAGCCTGATTATGCATCTGCAGGAGAAATTCCTAAGAGATCCTGATTTTGAAAAACCCCTCTGAGATAGCCAGTTAGAAACTAAATTGTTTCAAATAGGCATTTTAATATTTAACAAACTAGCAGAAAGATGAAAATTTACAATCAGGGCCCAGGGGAGGATTCAGTGGCAAAAAGGGCCTTCACCGCAAGCGAGTTTGACCCAGGTGTTGCTCACACGCAGAGCACGGTCCTGGCAGTTCCGCTCTGGAACGCCTGGCACTGCGTCAGGGTCAATCTCTGGGTCCGGTCAGGAATGTGCCAACACCACAACAAAGCACGTAACAACAAAGGGCAGAGAGTGGGGGCAGCATACATGGAAGAGCCTCAACATTTCTAATAGAGTGCAGGGGTTAAGGAGCTTGCTTTTCCTAAGGCTGACCCCAGTTCAATAACCAGCACTGTGCATGGTTCACTGAGCACCACCAGGAGTGATCCAGAGCACACAGGCAGGAGTAATCCCGAGTACCACTCGGTGTGGGTTCTCTCCCTCCACAATTGCCCCCTCGCCAATTTTTTTCCCCTTTGTCATTTAAAATTTTAAAAGACTCACATTTAGGAACAGCTCAAAGGGCTGGCGCCTATCTGCCAGTGTTGCCCCAGCACCACAGGACCCAAACATCACAGAGCTGGGCCCAGTTTCTTGGGGAGTGGCCCCCAGGGTCCCTTGTGCACTGCCCGAGATCCCTCCTCCCCTGAAAATAAAAAAGACCCATATTCAAATGAAATGAAACTCGGAATAGCCAGGAACCTGGGCCGACATCTGCACATGCATTTTTTTAATGGCCTTATAAAACAGAACTGATTATACTTAGCAACTTAATGAATCCTTTACTTTTCCTATGTTTTGGGGCCACACCCAACTGTGCCCAGGGCTTACTCCTGGCTCTGAGTTCAGGAATTATTCCTGGTGATGTTTGGGGAGTCCTTATGGGTTGCTGGGGATCAAACCAGGGCTGGCTGCACGCAAGGCAAATGCCCTACCACTATACCCCAATTTTACCAACTCTGATGCCAACTTTACTTTTTTTAAAGTAAGGAACTCCAGTGATCGGGATACAAACTAGATGGGCAGCGCCTTAAAGCCCACACTACCCCTCCAACAACATTACTTTGCTCTCAAAGAAAAATGTCCCTTCACATTCTTTTGAATACCAACCAGCACGAAGCGCCCAGCGGTCCTACAAGCCTCAAGGTAGGAGCGATGGAGCACCCACTTGCCAGCCGCCACTGAGGCCAGGTACTTCTCATTGCGAAGCGGGTGGCCCACAACAATGTGTGTACAGCTGGGGTCGAAGCACTGCTTCTCGATCACGGAGCCACCTACCAGACAAAAATGGTAGACTTCACTGATTTCCAGAAAATACAGCTCAACTCTGTACAGAAGTTATTTATGAATGAACAAAAAGTATCAAAAAACCTTCATTGGTAACTATTGATTATGAGAATTAAAAACACAAGCAAACAGTAAAATGAACCCATACACTCACCACCTATGTTCAAAATTCATCAAAATGCTATAATCTTTATTTTAGTTTATACTTTTTTTTTTTTTTGCTTAACTCTTTCCTCCCCCTATACTGGGATCAAACCTGTGGCCATAAACACGCAAGGCAAGTGCTCTACCACTGAGCTACATCCCAATTCCCTGCTTAATTTTTTCAGATGGGGGGGCACACCCAGCAGTACTCAGGGGCTACTCCTAGCTCTGCACTCAGGAATTACTCCTGGCGTTGCTCTTGGGGGACCTTAAGGGGATCAAACCCAGTCGGCTTCCGTATTATCTCTCTGGCCCCTGGTTAATTAAAGCAAATTCCAAATACCGTGTACTTTAACCTAGGTATTCATTACATATCTCTGAAATATGTGGGATTTGTTGAACATTTTGCCCCAATGTGACTTTTTTTTTTTGCCTTGGATGCAGCAGAACCGGGTTTGATTCCCAGCATCCCGTATGGTCCCCAGAGCACCACCAGGAGTAATTCCTGAGTGAAGAGCCAGGAGTAACCCCTGTGCATCGCTGGCTGTGACCCAAAAAGAAAAAAAAAGTGGGCCAAGAAGATAGTTATTGGGTGGGAATGCATACTTGGATTGTATGCATACTTGGGTCAAATGCCTGGCACCAAACTGTTCCAGGAGCATTGCTGGGTGCGGCCCAAATATCAAAACAAAAAAATATATGTGAGGACATGGGTACATAGGAACTCTTCCCACTGGATTATAGTTGAACAGAATATGATCAAAATTCCACCGTAGGGCTGGCGCAATATTAAAGTGGGTAGGGCGTTTGCCTTCCACATGGCCGACCCAGGTTTGATTCCCAGCACCTCCCGAACACCACCAGTAGCAGCTCTGGAGTGCAAAACTAGGAATAACCCCTGTGCATCTCTGGGTGTGACCCAAAAAGTGCCCCTCCCCACCAAAAAAATTCCACTTTAGTATAACTCTGCACAGTAAGTTTATTCTGTGCCTAGATATGCAATAAATGTATAAATATGGGTACAAACACAACCATTTGTACTTATCACCTGGTTCATTTGCCCATTTGTGAAACGAAGGGTGTCTTTGCATTCCAGCACCAGAATCCTCAAGTTACAGATTCTCAATTGCAGCACAATCCTTACTCATCTGCCTCTACTCTCTTAAAAAGTTCTAGATGAGTCTCTACCAACTGCTGCTTCTCTGACCAGAATTTAGAGATGGATTAATTTGTCAAAGACAGCTACTTAAAGCATTCCATTTTGGTGAACTCAGGGTAAACCTTAGCAAATCTAGCTTACCAAATTTATTATTCAATTCATTCTTGATAACTATCATTCTTACAATGATCACAGGCAACTGGGAATCAGTGATTTGTTACACAAATTAACTTTCCAAGAAGCAGTCTTTTGAGTGTATATATCAGAAAATTATTATATATTTTTAAAAATGCGTATGTCAGCCATCTTTCAAAGGACATCCCTAAAATATTCAATATTTCTTTCTGTTTTTGTGATGACCCATACCGAGCAGCACTCATGGGTTATCCTGGCTCTGAATGCAGGAATCACACCTGGAGGGCTCAGGGACCATATGGGATGTGGGGAATTGAACCTAGGATGGCCTCCTGTGAGACAAGCATCCTATCCTGCCATACTATCGCTCCGGATCTTTCAATCTTTTGTTTTTATTTGCTTTTTGGGGTCACACCCGGCGATGCACAGGGGTTACTCCTGGTTCTGCACTCAGGAATTACCCCTAGCAGTGCTCAGGGGACCATATGGGATGCTGGGAATCGAACTCAAGTTGGATCTATGTGCAAGGCAAACGCCCTACCAGCTGTGCTATCACTCCAGCCCCTCTTTCAATCTTTCTTGATGACTCAGAACCACTATGGAAAATATCGCTATTTGTATTTTCTCTGTAAGTTAAGCTATCACATTAGATTCTCTCCCTTCATTTTCCTGACTACAAAACTTTTTCTACCTATGGCTATAAAAAACCTGAAACAAAGCAGCCGGGTCCAAACACAGATGTGCTATAATTGAAAATACAGCTCAGATCACAAAGCCTTGGTATGAACAGAAGAGTCTAATGTTCCATCTATAAATAAGTTACCTTTCTTCTTTCTTGGGGGGGAGAAGGGGCACAGTGGGGGCAAGTAGTAGTATTTGGGGGATGATGTTATGTCAGGGATTGAACCTGGAACCTGCATGCAAAGCATTTATACTAGTCCTTAAAACTAATCTCCCAGACCTTTTCCCAGATATTTTACACCAACTCCAAATTAAATAAAACATTTTGCATACTCTGGCTTAAATAAAATATCTAAACTGTTTAATTTTACCTTTTTTTTTTTTTGCTTTTTGGGTCACACCCGACAATGCTCAGGGGTTACTCCTGGCTCATGCACTCAGGAATTGCTCCTGGCGGTGCTCAGGGGACCCATATGGGGTGCTGGGAATCGAACTTGTGTCGGCCATGTTGGCTGCGTGCAAGGCAAACGCCCTACCAGCTGTGCTATTGCTCCAGCCCCAATCTTACTTTTTTAAGTGTGGCTGCTTAAAGAGTTTGAAACTATGACTGAAACCCAACTTTGTAACTGTGTTTGTAACTTTGTAACTGTGTTTCTCACTGTGATTCACTGTCACTGTCACTGTCCTCCCATTGTTCATCTCCAGTGGGCCCAGTAATGTCTCCATTGTGAGACTTTGTTGTTACTGTATTTGGCATACTGAATACATCATGGGTAGCTTGCCAGGCTTTGCGTGAGGGGTAGCTTGCCGGGCTCTCTGAGAGGGGCGGAGGAATCGAACTCGGGTTGGCCATGTTGGCTGCATGCAAGGCAAACGCCTTACCCGCTGTGCTATTGCTCCAGCCCACTGTGATTCAATGAAAAAAAAGTTTGAAACTGCACTTGACATGTGTGATTTCCTTGAGACGAGTGCTGCATCAAATTCTTTCTGGAACTCATCTTCTAGAACCCTATCAGTTGGAATGCCTGATTAATGAAGTAAGAAAAAAAATGTTACTTTAGGGTGGGAGAGATAGTACAGTGGGCAGGATGTTTGCATTGCATGCAGCTGACCTGTGTTTGATCCCCAGTACCCAATGTGGTCCTTTGAGCTTGCCAGGAGCAATCCCTGAGCTCAGAGCCAGGAGTAAGCCCTGAGCACAGTCAGATTGGGGCCCCCAAACAAAAACAAAGCCAAATAATAAGAATGTTACATAAAAAGAAGTTCCTCTCTGGAAGTTACTCTATCTTCATACCATAAGCTTATAAAGTTTCACTGATTTTGTCTAAGGTTTCATCAATTACAAATGCTCAAAACAACACAGAAGATTTTTGTTTTATTTTGGGGCCACATCTAGCAGTGTTCCAGGATTTCAGGAGACTATAAACCTGGGCTTCCGGTATGTGGGACATGTGTTCGGTCTAATGAGCTCTCTCCAGCCAAGCACAAGATTCATAAACCTTAATGATTAGTTTCAATTTAAATCTTTAAATCCTGTGACTCAGGTTTTTTTTGTTTGTTTCTCTGCTGGTAATTGAACCCAGGATCTCACACTCAATTCAAGTTCAGTGTTTTAAAACCAAGTTACATACCCTCGGCTCCAGACTTTAGTTTTATAAAATTTCTATGTTGTCCCCGCCCGCTTGGGGTCCTGGCTGTCACACTCACGATCTGCCTCCACATGCCATCTCAGTGTATTGACAGCCTTGATCCAGAGACTCCCAAATGAATCTCAAAATGGATTAGCTCCCTGCAGAGGTATCTCTGGACCCCAACCATTTGCAATTTTAGAATCTAGAAATGCGACCTCTCATGATATTCATAATAATCAATAGAAAATAAATGATCTAGCACCTACCCCTGGCAGGCAGGCTTAAACAGTGGTGGGAAAATTCGAAATAATGGTGGTGGGAAGGTGTAGTGATGGTCGGATTGGTGTTGACACATTGAATGTGATCAATTTAATGTGAACAACCTTATGAAAATAAAATTTAAGAAAATTTCTATGTTGAGTCAGTGTACAGTCCCAAATTATTGACTATTTAATTTGTTAAATGATAACAATACTTAAAACACTATGTGACATTGTGACCTAAGTAAAATACTGTACCTAGTTTTTCAATCAGATGGCAATAATCAATACGTTCTTGAGGATTCAGAGATGACAACTGAAATATGTACTTTTTTTTCAAGTCTTCACGAGTCTCTTTCATCACCGTAATCTGAAATGGAAAAGCTATTTTAGCAAAAGTGATCAGTCTATATTAAAAATGATCAGACATGCAATTCTTTTATAGACACATTTACTTAGGTTTCTGAGTCATTCAAGCCAAATATCCTACAATGTAAAGAAATAGTTTGGGGACGGAGTATAGTATTGTGGGTAGGGCTCTTGACCTGCACGCAGCTGGGCCAGGTTTCCGGCACCTTATAAGGTCCCCCAAGCCCAGACAGGAGTGATCCCTGAGCGCAGAGCCTGGAGTAAGCCTGGGTGTGGTTCAAAACAAAATAAACCAAACAAAGTTTTCGACATTTGCTGAAGCCCTGATACTGGAATGCAGCATAAAGGCAATGCCCAAAAGTCATTTCACCACAGAAGGCTAAACCAACCTTTTCTCTCGGGTGTGGAGGCACAGGTGGTTTGGCGAGGGGAAAGGCGATACTGGGAGCCTGAGGTGTAGGAATCAGGTGGCCGTCCTTGGTCAGGGCTTCTGGTTCTTCAGAGCTCGGGCAGTTGGAGGCCTCACGCGTACATTTACTTCCAGGATTACAGACAGCTGAGGGCAACAAATATAACTAAGAAAAAATTCTGAGACCTATTCTCAGATGTTTCACTTAGTTAAGATGAAATTAAACAGACTCTGGAATGCAAAAAGTAACATCCAAAAGATGTAGCCTGATCGCTCCAGCGAAAGCACAGCGGTAGGGCGTTTGCCTTGCATGCAGCCAACATGGCCGACCCGAGTTCGATTCCTCCGCCCCTCTCGGAGAGCCTGGCAAGCTACTGAGAGTATCTCACCCGCACGGCAGAGCCTGGCAAGCTCCCTGTGACGTATTCGATATGCCAGACACAGTAACAACAAAGTCTCCAATGGAGATGTTACTGGGCCCGCTTGAGCAAACTGATGAACAACGGGAGGACAGTGACAGTGACTATTTATCAAGGCTGGAGACACTCGCTAAATATTAAGCAAAAATCTTAACAAAATGGCCAAAAGATGTAGCCTGTTTCTAGAGCTTCTAGTCAAATGCAATTAGTCAGATTTAATTTTCTTCCCCCCCCCCACTGCATCACTGTGAGATATTCAATTACAGAGTTGTTCATGATTGCTTCTCAGTCATACAAAGTTTCAAATCCCAACCCTTCACCAGTGCACATTTCCCACCACCAGTGTCCCCGGTTTCCCTCCTGCCTGCCCCTCATCCCTCCCAAAACCTGCGTTTATGGCAGACACCTCTATGGCAGACACTTTCCTCTCCTTCCTTTCTTCCCTCCCTCCCTCCCCTCTTCCTTCTCATTTAGCTTTAGGCATCATCGTCTGCAAGAATGTTACTGAAAGGGTATCATGCATATCACTTTATCTCCTTTCAGCACTCAGTTTGGGTCCAGAACGATCATTTGCAACTATCATTGTCATAGTTTAAAGGGGAACAATCGAATTATCTGTGGGCTTCTCCCAATTCTCTCCCCCCCCTCTCTCTCTCTCTCTTTAAATTTTAATGTAGAAGTATTGCTATTTATTCAGCCATTGATTCATTGATTAGGCTGACTGAATCTGGCACGAACTCCATCCAATTCTCTTTAAATACCAAGCTTTCATCAGTACTGTGTAACTTGAATTTCTTAAAATAATGATGAAACACCCAATCATTGTATGACTGAAACTCAAACATGAAAGTTTCTGTAACTGTAGCTCACACTGATTCAGTAAGATAAAAATTTTTAAAAATTTCTTAAATAAACACCAAGCTTTTAGTTATCAAAAAATGTAGGGGAATTCAGAAAGAAACACGCACAACCGAAGAGAACAAATGTAATATGCTAGGTGGAGTTTGGAAGAATGAAATAAAAGTGCTTGGGAGAAAAGCCAAATAGCAGGTAATCACACAGATGCAGAAAGGACTGGAACAAAATGAACGAACAATGGTGACCACCATGTCTAGGAAAAAATACCTATTCCTTCATCTCCAAAGTTGAGTCAAAACTTTCTTTTCAAGTTACCGAAAATCATCTCAATTTACAATTAAAAATAATTTTTGACTGTTTAACTTAGAAAAAAGTCAGAAATACCTATTGAGAGAGAAGTGTCTGCCATACAGGCAACTAGGGGTGGGGTGGAGCGGGTGGGAGGAAAACGGGGGACACTGGTCGTGGGAAATGTATGGTGGTGAAGGAACAGGTGATAGAACTTGCATGACCAAAATTCAATCCTGAACTTTCTGTGTATCTCATGGTGATTCAATTAAAAAAGAAAAATCTAAGCATATATTAGAAAACAACATACTCATTTTTAAGAGGCCAATATACATTTAACACAAACTAGTAAACAGATTCCTTTGTTGTTACCCTCTTTGGCAATTTCTGGATCCTGTAGAGACTCAGGGAGAGGAAAATCCTCCAATTTCTTCACGTCAACCTGAGGCTCCGAATATTGTGTGGGATCACTAGGCCACTGCAGGTTGCTGGCAAGTCTTGCTCTCTCCTCCCTGGCTGTAGGGTCATCCCAAATGATTTGTTCATTCTGGGAGGGCTCAGTATTTATGTCAGGTGCTGTTTGACGAGAATGCCTAAGGAACAAAGTAGCAATTTTAATAAATATCAGCATAACAAAATCCACACTTATAAAACCTATAAACTGCAAGTTCTGGTTCACCTGTTTTCGGCTGGTTGGTTTTGGGGGCACACTTGGCAGTGTTCAGATGCTACTACCAGTTCTGTGCTAGAGGTGCTGGGGACCAGAGTAGCAGGGGTCGGAGCCATGTGCAAAGCATGCTCCCACAAAAGCCTTTACGGCGTGTCCACCTCTATACGCCTACCATCTGACACATTACACACACCTGAAGATATCTGATAAGTGAACTTGAGAATATTTTGCTTATTAAATGTATCTCCCAGAGGGGCTAGAGTACAAAGGGTGGGGTGCTTGCCTTGCATACGGCCGATCCAGGTTCAATTCCTAACACAGAACATGGTATCCCAAGCACCACCAGGAGTGGTCCCTGGGCAGAGTCAGAAGCCCTGAGCACAGCCAGGTATAGTCTGAAACCACCTCCCTACAAAGAGAAAGGTTTTCCCAGAAACTTACCAGTTTTAGTTTGAAAACACATTATGATCGTGTATCTTTTAAACTGGGGCTGGAGAGATAGCACAGCGGATTGGGCGTTTGCCTTGCATGCGGCCGACCCGGGTTTGATTCCTCCGTCCCTCTCGGAGAGCCCGGCAAGCTACCTAGAGTATCCTGCCCGCACGGCAGAGCCTGGAAAGCTACCCGTAGCGTATTCGATAAGCCATAAAAAAGTAACAAGTCTCTGGTCGAGCAAATCGATGAACAATGGGAGGACAAGTACTACAGTGCTACTATCTTTTTAACTTATGGAGGCCTCCCAACCTGGGCCCCTGAGATGTGGTGTGCTGGCAGCCACCAGGGCTATCCTGAGGTGTACTCAGTAGTTTTGGAGAGGGGCATGCAGTGTCTAAGACTGGACTCTGATCCTTGGACACGAGAGGCACAAGCCCTTAATCTCTGAGCTGTCTCCCTAGTCCCTGAATGCCCTTTTATTATTTCATGAAACAAGTTCGACATCAAGTTTGTTTTCTTGTGGTGCCAGGGATCAAACCTAGGACCTCATACAGCTAAGAAAAGTACTGACTCAAAGAACTTGTTTTTCCCCTGGCTCTAAGAAGGTCCTTTTTCAACTCCAAAATGGCCAGGGGAAAGTGGCACTGTGGTACAATACATGCTTCATACAGAGGACACTCTATTTTTGATCCCTGGCACCAAATACACACTTAAGATCAAAATAACCACTATGTTAAAAATGGCATTGGGGCCAGAGAGATAGCACAGCAGGTAGGGTGTCTGCCTTGCATCCCGACGCAGGTTCGATTTCCTGCATCCCATATGGTCCCCCGAGCACCGCCAGGAGTAACTCCTGAGTGCAGAGCCTGGAGTAACCCCTGTGCATCGCCAGGTGTGACCCAAAAAGAAAAAAAAAAGGCATTTCTCTCATATTAATTTAGGGAATTGATGATAATGTTTAGGAAATGGGCTTCTTTGCCAAAATACTGAAAGTACAAATACATGTGACATTTACTCTAAATGCTGCAGTGAAAGAGTCTCTCGCTTCTGTTAACCAGACTTCCTGGGAACACACCTGAGTGCCTCGAGGACTCGACTTCGCCCGTTGCGAGCAGAGCGCGTGCTGTCCGGAGTGGAGGACGTGCTGTTGCAGCCACTCCTCGACAGCGAAGCCCTCTGCCCTGGGGCCTTTACTATTGACGTTGCAGACATGATCTCCTGCAGCTGTTTCTGGAAATTCTCTCTCATCTCCAAGGTCTGTGTCAGGGCTGAAAAGAAACACAAATTGTGAGGCAATTTTCTAGCATCTTACTCATGTTAACTGTTCTGTATGCATTGAGTCGAACACCAATTTATTAACTTGGCATTTACTGAATATTTATGACTACTGTAATCAGATTATAAATCCTGAAGAACATAAAGGCAGCCCTTTCCAGGAGGTGCGCATGAAACAATTGAGGGCTTCAAATGAAAATGCAGCTTTGGACAACTGCTGGTCTAGGCCTTCGCAGTGGGCCCCTGCTTCTCACGCTACGGACTGCACTATTCCAGCCATTCACATATGTGCTTTCCACCACGGGCTTTGAAAACAAAGACCACAAATAAGTTCGTGTGGTTTTAAACATTAAAATGAAACACCACCCATTTCTGAAGCAAAGGAATGGGATTAAGGTATACAGAAAACTCCGGTAGGACAGTCAATATCATACTCAACGGTGAAAACTATGAGCCTTAGCCAGTATTAGGCACAAAGCAAGGATGTCCACTGTCCCCACTCTTACTCAACATAGCTTCTGAAGTCCTTGCCACGGCAATCAGACAGGAAAGATACCAAAAGGATCCCAATTTGGAAAAGAAGACAAACTATTATTTGCAAGTGAAATCAAAATATAGGCTGAAAACCCTAAAGGTTCCATGAAAAAACTCTTAGAAGGGCCAGAGTGATAGCACAGAGGGTAGAGAGCATGCTTGTCTGGCATGGAGCCAGCCTGGGTTCCATCTCTGGCATCTCATAGGGTCCCCTGAGCACCGAGGGAGTGATGCCTGTGTAACTCTGAGCAGAGCCAGAAGTAACCCTGAGCAGCTCCATGTGGCCCCAAACCACCCCCTTAACACCTTCCCACCCCAAACTTTTTGAAAATCACTGAAAAGAATCAAGGATCAAACTGTAAGTTTTATGTATGTGCTTGGGGCAACATCTGGGAGTGCTCAGGGACTACTCCAGTCTTGGTGCTCTTGGCTGGGCATAGGGGACAATGTGGTGCCAGCAAGAATCAAATCCAGCATGAAAGCATGCAATTCCAGCTTTTGAGTTAGCTATCCAGAGCCCAAAGGGCACGTTTTTGCTTTCTGTTTTTAGATGACACTCAGGGGGCCATACAACGGTGCTAGATATTGAACCTCAGTTAGTCATGAGCTAGGCAGTGCCTTACTCCTGTACTATCTGTCCAGCCCACCAAAGTACACCTCTAAAAAAGATCATCAACTTCACCTAATGTTGGAGGCCATTTTGTAAGATACCCAGTTCCTCTTAACTCACTTCTTTGAGTTCCCAAGCAAGGGTTCCCAAACCTCTTTGGTTTATAGCCTCCTTTTCAGAAAAATAATTACTCAATAGCCCCCTGGAAATCTACCTTAAGAGAACAAACAGCATTGCACGTGGGGTTACTCTAACCCCTTCCCAACCATTCCATGGTTCCTGGGGTGGTATTGCCCACTTAGGCAAATAATGACTTAAAACTACAAATTATTACTTAACTAGTGTCATGGACTCTCCATTCACTCCTCAAATAAATAAATCATGACTGATTTATTTTTTTAGTTTCGGTGCCAAACTTGACAATGCCCAGGGCTTCCTCCTGATTCTGTACTCAGAACCAGGGAGGCTGAAGGGGGACCAAGTTCTGGGTTTCTGGGTCAGTCACGCGCAAGACAAGCATCCTACCTATAGTACTATCACTTCAGCCCAACAAGCTTTCCCTGTATCGAGCTACACTAATAACTCTTGTTTCTACTAGACACAAAATATATACTTATTAATATATTTATTTATAAAATAAAAACTATTACCTCCTTTTGGGACATTCTTTTCATTTTCATCTGACGTTGCTGATTCTTTATTATTGGTGGTAACATTGTCTGTATCATTTTCCTCTACAGGTAAATAATCTGGCTATTGAATGACAAAAATTACAATATGTCAAACCAAACTACTGTATAATACATGTCTTCAGAGCCCTAGAATATATATCCAGTTTAAAGAGGGGACAAATGTATTATTAATATTCTTCACCTCTTCATCCTCTGTTGATGTTGAATCGGTTGAGGGCAGTCGGCTGTGACAGAGTCTGCTGTCTTGTACTGTGCTGATATCCAAGCTCATTTTGGGATTATAGGTATGTGGGTAAAGAGACTCAGAAAGATGTTTGTATTCTTGGGCACACTGCAATACAATGCTATGTTTTAAAAAAAAAGACTAAATAAAATCTTAAGTGAACGAATAGGATGAAAGGCAACCAATAGTCTTAGGATGGCAAAAGTTAACCAAATTCAAGTTCAATTCCATTACACAATGACAACTGTCTTCACATTCTAGTGCTATGTCCACTAAAGCATAAAATTTATTTCTATTTTTGTGGTTTTTTCCCCCTAAGATTTCACTCATATTCTAGGAAATATCCAGAAAAAAAAAAAAAGGGAAATAAAGCAGGAAAAAATCTAAGCAATCCTCGTGCTGAAGAGATGGCCCACTGGGCTGAGCACAGTTTTGTATGTGGGAGGCCCGTGTTCCTGCCCTGGCGGAGCATGGTTCCCCAGCATTTCAGGAGTGAGCCCTGAGCACAAAGCCAGGAGCAGTTCCCAAGCACTGCTGGTGTGTCTTATCACCATACTAAAGAAACAAACAAAAAATTATACTGGTATGCTGAATTAATTCTCTATAAATTTTCTTTTATAATACTTCCATCTTAAATATGTATTATGTAACAGAGGAGGAGAGGGAAAAAGTACTGCTTACTTCTAAAAGCCAGTGCTCAGAAACAATGTGTACACCTCTTTCCTTCACAGATTTATATTCTCGATTAGTGTCATTTGGTCGTCCTTGATAAATAAAATGGGTGACTGTCTCATCAAAATTCCACCTGAAAAAAAAAAGAAAAAAGAAAAAAGAGAGAAACATCTAATTAAATAGTTTGAGATGATCCTTATCTTCAATGATTATAATATCTTTTTTTGGGGGGGGTAGGAGGTGAATGGAACATATCTGGTGGAGTACAGGGGACCATATGTGGTGCTAGGGACTGAACCTGAATCAGCCACAAGCAAGGCAAGCATCTCAACCACTGTACCATCATTGCCAGCCTGGCACCACCACAGCATCATAGGGGATAACTCCCAAACCAAATTAAAAAAATAAAAATATGCTGCGGGTCTGGGGAGTCGGCTCAAAGGTCTAGATCACATTTTACTTGTGGGAGCCCTGGATCTGATCCATGGTACTGCAAGGTCCGTTGACCACTGCCTGGAATGACCACCACGAACCAGGACCCTACTGTACAAGACCCGGGAGGGCCCTAAAACAGTATTTGGAAAATATACTTTAGAAATATACATTTCCTAAGGCAACAGTACAGAAGAGAGGGCGTTTGCCTTGTACACACCAGCCTGGGTGTGATCCCCGGCATCCCACATGGTCCCCCCAAGCACCATGAGGAGTAATTCCTGAGTGCAGAACCAAGAATTACCCGAGTGTGTGTGACCCCAAAAGTCAAACCCTCCCCCAATACGTTTCAGTGAATTCAACTGGGAGTATTTTAAAAGTATGTAGTAAAGTAAAACTCAGTTGGAAAGATTGTATATAATGTGATTAAACTAGAAAACTTGATATTCAAAAGTTGGGTTTTTTGTGGGTGTTGTTAGGTTGGTTTTTGGGGGTCACACCCAACAATCCTGGCTCTGCACTCAAGAATTACTCCTGGTGGAGCGTGGGGTACCATATGGGATAGTGGGGATCAAAGCCAGGCAGGTTGGCCATGTGCAAGGCAAAATGCCCTACCCACCGTTCTACCTCTCTGGTATTTCATCATGATGTATGATGAAATATATCATCATCAAACTATCATGTATCAATTACCTGTAATCTGCCCCAAGAGAGGCTGCAATCCCATTTAGTTCACTCTGCTTCTTACTGAGTTTTTTACTAACACAGACCACTACTTTGTGAAGTGGCTTTACAGCTTCTTCCTGCTTTCGGAAAAAAAACAAAACAGAACAAAACAAAACCACAAAAGTTCAGACATACTTGCTTGCAATGTTTGAGCTAAAACTTCCTTTTAATTAGCGACCTAATTTTACCTTTGATTGGGCAGCCTTTAGCTGAGGGCTGGCAGAGAGAGTGTCGGCATTTCGAGAGCTATTTGCCAGAGCAAGTTTCAAGTTTCTGATAATAACTTCTGAGAGTGGTGTACTCAATTTCCTATTGCGCTGGGTGGGACCTCCAGGAGTTTCCAAGGCTGCAAGTGCATCCTAGTAGAAGGGGTAGAGGAAGAGAGACAAAAATGAAGCAGAGAGGGAAAGAGAGGCACAGGAAAAGGAAGATAATGGTAAAAAGAATGACAATGGTGGTTGGGGACAAAAGATAAAGAGAAGGAGGTAATATCTAAAATGAACTGGATTGCAGATTTACCCTCCTCTGGTTTTCTTCCAAATAACAATTTTTTTTTTTTTTGCTTTTTGGGTCACACCTGGCAATGAACAGGGGTTACTCCTGGCTCTGCACTCAGGAATTACCCCTGGCAGTGCTCAGGGGACCATATGGGATGCTGGGAATTGAAACCGGGTCGGCCAGTGTGCAAGGCAAACGCTCTACCTGCTGTGCTATTGCTCCATCCCCAACAATAAGGTTTTATAATTAAAAAGTAAAATGTTCGGGGGTATGGTGCTGCCAGCAGGTCAATCTGTACCTGTGAGGCGAGTGCATCAGCAGCCTGATGGCGCCTTCAGACTTCCAGATACCCCAAAATTGCTGCTGTGCCTTTGGCCAGACCCCAAAAACTTGGGGCAAAGTTTACCAAGAAAGTAAACGGCCAAAAGTTAGGTATGTGGGAAACACACCCACAAACCACCTCCGGCTCAGCTATATAATTGGAGGCAAAGCCTCTTTGGTTCCGGATTGAACTGCTTAATGGACGTGATCCCAGAGACTCAGAAACGAATCTCAGAACCCAGTGGCTTTAGGTAGAAATGCGTCTGGTCTCTGCAGTAGGCTACCGGTGCTGGGCCAACCCAGGTGGGAATAGGTTTCGTGCCTTGGCCTGTTCCCCCAGGCGGCCCAGTGGCCACCATCCGTCTGAGGCCACTGGATAGTCACATTTGGGCCCCCAGTGATGAGACACACAGGGCCTCACGGGATGGGGGTGGAGCCAGGCTTGTCCTCCCCACCCCAACGAGACCCCAAGTCATCGCCCACGAATGGCCTCTCTGGCTCCTGATCAAGCTGATTAACGGCCATGATCCCAGAGACTCAGAAACAAATCTCAAAACCCAGTGGCTTTCGGCAGAAATGCATCCGGACTCCATAGTACGTTACTGTCGCCGGGCCACCCCAGGGAGCAAATGTTGTTGTCCCTCCGCCTGCTCCCTCTTGGCGACTTGGTGGGTGTCATCCTCCAGAGGCCATTGGACAGTCAGGCTTGGTCCCGCAGTGACGGAACTTGTTGGGCCTCACGGGATGGGGGGGAGGAGGGGTGGAGCCGGGCCTGTCCTCCCCACCCCAATGAGACCCCAAGTCATCGCCCACGAACGGCCTCTCTGGCTCCTGATCAAGCTGCTCAATGGCCTTGATCCCAGAGACTCAGAAACAAATCTCGAAACCCAGTGGCTTTTGGCAGAAATGCATCCGGACTCCACAGTACGTTACTGTCGCCGGGCCACCCCAGGGAGCAAAGGGTGTTGTCCCTCCGCCTGCTCCCTCTTGGCGACTTGGTGGCTGTCATCCTCCAGAGGCCATTGGACAGTCAGGCTTGGTCCCGCAGTGACGGAACTTGTTGGGCCTCACGGGATTGGGGGGGGGGGGGGGGTGAGGAGCCGGGCCTGTCCTCCCTACCCCAACGAGACCCCAAGTCATCGCCCACAAACAGCCTCTCTGGCTCCTCATCAAGCTGCTCAACGGCCATGATCCCAGAGACTCAGGAGCAGATCTCTAAACCCAATGGCTTTTGGCAGAAATTCCTCCAGATTTAAGTGTTAAAATTTCGGAATTTCAAAACCACATGGCCCTACTGCAGCAACATGACATCATATGTTATTCATAACCAGCAATAGAACACAAATTGTCTAATGTTGCCTTTTCAGCAGATCTGAGTGTTGGGGTAAAATCTCAAATAATGGTGGGTCTGGTGTCGAAATAGTGAATGTGATCAAAGTAGAGAGAGAGTAATGTGAAAATCATCTGCCCCACAGGCAGGGGGAGGGTGTGGGATGGGGGTATACTGGGGTTGTTGGGGGTGGAGAATGGGCAGTGGTGAAGGTACGGGTGTTTCATTGTATGACTGAGACTTAGACCCAAAAGCTTTGTAACTGCTCTCACTGTAATTCAATAAATAAAATTATAAAAAATGGGGAAAAAAAAGTAAGGTGGAGTTCATGCACAATTCAATCAGCTAATCAGTGGCTGAATAAATAGCAGTACTCCTACAAAAAAAAAAAAAAGGAAAATGTTTTTTTCTTGGGCTAGGCAGCTGACTCAGGGCAGAACATATGTTTTGAACAGTGAGGCCCTGGGTTTGACCTTGTACTAGTAACCCCCCCACACAGTTACTTCTTAGTAAACTAAAAACAAAACTTCAGTAGACAATGGATTCAGTAAACTTTGCCGGGTTCATGGAATAAAAATTAAGTTTGGATAAAAACTTGAAAAGCCAAAAATTACAAATGAATCAGTAAAGAAAGTCATTTTTAGGAAATAAAAGAAAAACATTTGAGAAGGTTTGATTAGTCCTTGGTTAGTGAGTAGGTTTTTGAGAAAGGGAGTTAGTACACTGTTCAGAAAAGCACGCAAAAGCAGACCAAGGGAAGAGATGGAAGAGTAAGGTGCTAACAGCTATTTTTCAAGTTTGTCCTGGCACACATACGTATTTATATTACTTTAGAGCTTATTATTTTACCAGACAATTTAATCAGTCCTTATGATAAATTCAAGATTTCAAAGCATATATTATTCGTATGAAAGGAACCCAAGGAATAAATCCTCAAATATGTTATATAATCTGCCTTAAGTCAAGAAAATGTTCATTTTTCATGAAAAAATCTAGAACGTGAATCCAGGCACCGTGGTTCTGCAACAGTCGTATCCTATTTCTAATATTACCTGAATACTTTTTATCTTGGGATTCAATACTATGCATCGATTTACCAACATCCCTAGAAATTTAATATGAAAAGCTTCAGAGGTGATGGAAAATAGGTTCTATTTTAATGTTATAAACTACAAACTATAATTTGTTAACTCCAGGACCGTTTCCTCTAAACCTTACCTTCACATCAAAGGACGGCTTGAAGAGTTTGTCCTTGGAGAGAAATTTTGAAGGTGTGTCCAGGTGCAGTGTGGGCTGCTCCTGAGGCGGCTTGTTCTCTGCAGCGGGAACCGGACCCTGTCCCGTGTGCTGCGAGATCACTGCCTGGAAAGCTTTACTCTGAAACTGATTCACGTCCAGAGGCTTAATGGCTGTTTTGCTGTGAGTTTCCAGGTGTGTAACAGGAGGCTCAGGAATTTTCGGAGAGAGTTTTGCGCCATTTGCTATTTCAGTTACCACACTCTGTTCTAGAGATGCAAAATAAAAACGAATCGTGAGCTTACGTCCTTTTATCCCCTCTTCAAAGATGCTCACAGAGAGGGTGGTGGAGAGACAGACAGTAGAGAGTAGAGTGTTTGCTTCGCACGTGACTGACCATGTTCGATTCCTAGCACCATATATGGTCGCCCAAACTCTACCAGGAGTGATTGATTCCTGAGCACAAAGCTGTGAGTAAACAAACAGACAAAACAAAATAAAGGCAAAGATACACATAAGAAATGACTCTTTTTGGGAGCCAGAGAAATAGCTCAAAGGGCTGAACATATGCTGTGCACGTAGGAAGCCTGGGTTTGATCCTCAATGCCAAATGGTTCTCTGTGCACTGCCAGGGGTAGTTAACCCCAAACACAGCGCCAGGAGAACACCCGGAAGCATTGCTAGATGTGACCCCAAAACAATACAAACAAAACTGAAAAATATTTTTTCTTTTAGTTATTCATGTGAATTCTCAATTATACTTCAAACCAAAGTTATATACCTACTTTCAAAGAAAATAAAGGATGATATAGTAAATACATGCTGAATCAGACAAGTCCATTAATTGAAATAATTAATCAAATTAATTTCCAATTAATCATTAATTGGGGATGAGACTCAGTACTGTACATGAACTGCATATGTGAGGACCTGAGTTTGAATGCTGGCACTGCAAAAAGTAATACATAATAAGATTTTTTATTTTACCTTGCTGTAACTTGAAATATCTTTAATAAACCCGATGTGCCAAAAAGCATGTGTCATCACAATTAACACCATAAACAGAACAAACTGTTTACTCAGTTAAAAGTATGTTAACAACTACAAAATGAACAATTTTAACCAAGTTTTTAAAAAAATCCTTAATGAAATTTTTTTTTGGCTTTTTGGGTCAGAGCTGGTGCTCAGGGGTTACTCCTGGCTCTGCACTCAGGTATTGCTCCTGGTGGTGCTCAGGGGACCATATGGGATGCCAGAGATCCAACCCGGGTCAGCCACATGCAAGGAAAATGTCCCACCACTGTACTATCACTCTGACCCCTTAATACATTATTTTTTAATTAAAGATTTTTGGGAGACTGAATCAGAGTGATGAATAACAGTGAGTAAAGCACTTGCCTTGCATATGGTCAACCTGGGTTTGATCCGTTGCACCCCATATGTTCCCCTGAGTCCACCAGGAGTCATTCCTTGAGCACAGACCCAGGAATAAGTCCTGAGCACTGCAGGGTGCGGTCTAAAATCCGAAACCAAAATAAAACAAACAAAAAATCCACAAAGACTGAATGAGAGAGGAGAGAAAAAAGAAACCAAAACATGCTCAAGATAGAATGCAGGCTTGCAAGAGTATTTAATGAAAGTTTAATAAGAACTAAACATAAACATCTTTTACTTGTGAAATTTCAGTCTGGTAAATAAGTAATAGCTCTAGGAGCTCTTCCCAAGCTGCTGAGCAGGTCTGTCCCTTACATTTGCTCCGAGAAGCTGCCATTTTACAAGGCGCCTCTCTGTGCCCTCCCACCTCGCCTCCTTTTATTCAACTTTTAACCACACCTGTGTGGCTGTTCCAAGCCCAGTCTTAGACCATGGAACTCTATGCACAATACATGCTTGTTCCCTGCTTTGCAGAGCTTATGGCTGAGGAAGAAAGCATGAAAATAAACTAGAATTAAACACTGGGATAGAAGCTATTAATGGGATAAAACAGGGTAACATGGAAAGATAATTTGAGTCAAGGAAGGCTTCCCAGGGCTAGTGACATCCAAGCTGAAATGTAAAGGCAGGAAGAACAATGAATAAGGTGGTAGAGCAAAATCAGGCAAAAACCCCAAAATAATGAGTACGTTAACTCTCCGCTATGTCAGTCCAAGTTGCAGAAGACAGAGTAACAGGCTCCATTTGAAACACCAGACCCAACAGAGCTCCGAGGCTGTTTTGTATCCTCTGGCTTTCGGAGCGCCTTCAGGCCATAGTGTGGATGAATATTAAACTTTGGCTATGAAGGTATACACATTCTGTGCCCAATGAGGAACAGCTAATAGTGGTGCACTGCACCCGATACGAAAAGTAGAATAGTACAACAGCTGATACTTTCCTAAAATATCAGCTCTGGCACAAGCATATCCCAGAAACCACTGAATTTTTTTTTTTTTTTTGCTTTTTGGGTCACACCCGGCCTTGCACAGGGGTTACTCCTGGCTCATGCACTCAGGAATTACTCTTGGCGGTGCTTGGGGGACGCTATGGGATGCTGGGAATCGAACCTGGGTCGGCTGCGTGCAAGGCAAATAAATAAATGCCCTACCCGCTGTGCTATCGCTCCAGCCCATTTTTTTCCAATAAAAAAAAAAGCAATATATACACACACACAAATATAAGCATAGGATAAAGGTTATCAACCTTCTTTTGGCGAATTTTCAATCAGAAAGAGGCTTTCATTCGCTTTCTTCCCAGTCCTAGCAGTCTCCAACAGCCAAGCAACACTGACTGCCGGTAAATTCCACTTTTTGGAAGCTTCATATTTTGAACCATTAGGTTCTTTCAATACAAGATGTGTACTGGCAAGCATGCCTTTTTTAGCACTTGATTTGCGAACAAAGAATTCTTGAACACTAAAAGTTAAAGAGAAAACAAATGGTCAAATACACAATCAGCAAACTACAAATAACCAAAAAAGGTTGTTGGAATTACTAAGTATAAGAAAGTAGAACTGAATAGCACTGCACTGTAGAACTCCCATTGTTTATCGATTTGCTCGAGCGGGCACTAGTAACGTCTCACACAAATTGTGAGACTTGTTGTTACGGTTTTTGGCATACTGAATACATCCCGGAGAGCTTGCCAGGCTTTGCCGAGCAGGCTAGATACTCTTGGTTGCTTGCTGGGCCCTCTGAAAGGGGCGAAGGAATCAAACCCGGGTCGGCTACATACAAGGCAAATGCCTTACCCTCTCTGCTATCGCTCGAGAGAGAAACAAAAAAGGCATTCCCATTAAATGCAATGTCCAACCGAGACAATGACTTAAATGACTTTGATCAGTAAATGACGGCTACTGGATTGAAGAAAGGATATGCATGCATGGAAATATAAGTTAAATTTAGATTTTTTTTTTTTTTAGTTTTTGGGTCACACCCAGAAATTTTCAGGTGTCACTCCTGGCTTGTGCTCAGGAATCACTCCTGTTGGTGCTTGGGGGACCAACTGAATATGTAAGATTTATTCTTCTCAAAACTTAAGCTAACCCTTTTGACGTACTCACTCTCGGGCAGCAAAGAATGCCTGAATAACACATCTCATTTTAGTTTACTACTTCACAAAGCACTTCCTTTTCCTGGTTGGCATCCATCATTTGCCAGGCTTTCTCCTCCTCCCACTTATAGCTCTTCACAGATGTGATACATACCATCACTATATATTACACAGAAGTGCTGCAAAATTCTACCTTGAATGCCCTCTACTAAGTCCATACAAATGAAAGGTGCACCTAGAGAACAGGTACCTGGAAAATACTACATACCTCGCTCCAAGGAGATTTGCTAAGTAGGCCAAAGATTCTTTTTCTGCGCCTACACACTGGCTGAATGAAATAACACAATCCTCTAAAGGAGTCTTTCCTGTCATTACTGGGACTGGTGTGAAGAGAGGATCTGATTTTGGGTCAAATAAAGTCTCATAGTCTAGACATGTTACCTTTTTAAAAACAAGAGAAAACAAACATCAATTTGAAAAAAGCAACATATTAATGGTTCAGTTACAACAGCAGTAATTTCAGATTAGATGAAAACAATTCTACTTTAATATGAACTCAGGTTTTTAATACTTAAAGAACAAATATTCCACACTGAATTATAACTATTTTAAAACCAGTAAGATTTATCACTGAAGTTACTAAATTTTGCTCTGAAATGTATTTCCAATCTATGAGTTTATAACTTTTCTTGTTTTCGTTTTTGGGTCACACCCGGTGATGCTCAGGGGTTCCTCCTGGCTCTGCACTGAGAAATTACTCCTGGTGGTACTCAGGGGGTCATATGGGATGCTGGGGATCAAACCTGGGTCAGCTGCTTACAAGGCAAAAATCCTACATGCTACACAACTCTGGCTACCAGTATTACCACATAACTTTTTCCTAATTCTGAAAAAAAAAAATCTTTATAAAATGTTTGAAATTACCAGTGATAAACCAATAAGATAGAAAATACAAAAATGCATGTCAAGCTATGGTTGTGAGAAAACAAGGAAGACTGAAATACTATGATCTATAGTAACTTTCCCAGGAGAAAAACTATTGGTGGGGACCAAGGAAAACTACAATCTCTACCATGATTAGGACCAAGCATCTTAACACATCTTCATACTGTAGACTTTCCCTTGCTAAAAGCAAAAATAAGATAATGATCAAGCCGAAACTACTTCGCTAAAGTTAAACTGCACTAAAAAAAAAAAACAAAACAACAAACATTACAACTTCTGGCACTTTCAAAAGTTCTGGCCTCTGGATAAGCTTAGACACAGTACTTTAGCCACCATGTTTTTCTTACCAGCCAAGTATTGGTAACAACTTCTCCCACAGTTGCTTCTACTTGGCAGCCCAGCAGAGGGACCACAGCATAATCAGCAATAATTCTGCTCTGAAGGGACACAATTTTTCCAGCGTTTTCTCTTATAATATTTATAATATTTGATTCAATTTCATTGCCAAAACCCAAAATCAGAAAACTTTTATTGCTAAATAAACCTTCTTCAGTGATGGTAGAAGTGCCCGGGAGACCCTGAGTAAGAGAAGACTGGTTTTCTTCTTGAAGAGAGATATGAGTAGAGTCATTACCGGACTCAACATGAGTAGAGGCATTAAAAGGCTCACGTTCAACCTTTACAGTTTCATCTGGAAGAGAAAAACAGTTTTCTATAAAGTAGTTCATCATACAGTGAAGGCTTATTTTCTAGTAAAATTAATGCAACATGAGAGCTAAGGCTTAGAAAACCAAGGCTGTGAACATAAACAAAGAAAGGCCAGGAATTCCCCATATCCTATGTTATTCACAGTGTTAGCACTCAAGAGGGTTACCAAAAGTATACCACCTGCTATTAGGAAGGATGAAAGCAATCAAATTACTGTTCATTTTTTCTTTGTTTTTGGGCCAAACCCAGCTATACTCGGGGTTTACTCCTGGGAACGTTCAGGGGAACCATTGGGCTGCTGGGAATTGAGCCAGGATTGCTGTATGCAAGGCAAGTGCCCTACAGTCGTACTATCACTCCACCCCAATCAAACTGCCATTCTATGTATTCATACCGTACTAGCAATTCTACCTAGTTGAAAATTTTGAAGTTCCAATGATTCAAATTCAAAAACTGGTTTAGATATTTAGCTATAGGGGCCGGAGCAATAGTACTGCAGGTAGAGGGCTTGCCTTATACTCGATCAACCCAGGTTTGATCCTCAGCACTCCCACATGGTCCCCAGAGCCCACCAGGAATGAATCCTGGGGACAAAGGAGTAAACCTTCAACACACACACACACACACACACACACACACACACACACCCACAATATTTCAAAAAACAAAGATGGTAGTTAGACATTCATCTTGCTCTTCAAAAAGATAAAACTAAGAAAGTACCATTAAGAAAAACATAGAAGTGACAGACTTAAATGTATTTCTATTCTCATCTCTAAGAAACATTTTATAAATCCTACTTTATACACCTATTTAAATGGTAATACTGACAAGCTGAAAAAGCATAGTTTTGTCTAGAGAATTTACAAATCAGCAGAGCGATTTACTGAGATTCTCATACTAGAAGGAACAAGAGATAACAATATACTTATAATTTCTCTGAGCATATGAGTAAGAATAAGCTTCAGGAGAACCATCCTGGCCCTCTAAAATATATTTCTTAGTAAATTATTAAACAACTTTTTCTTACCTAATGATGAGTTATTATTTACATACTGAGAGAGCAGGTCTTCATCAGCTTGCTCAGGCTTATTGTTAGGAGAAAAATCTTTCTTAGAGAAGCTGCTGTTCTTTTTTAAAAGGACTGTTTTACTCTCAGGTTGCTCTGAAACTGGAACTTCCACTGGCCGGTAGCTGGCATGGATATACGGCTCCTCAGGAAGCAGATAACCTTTACTGAAACACTCCAGCAGCCATTTCGCTCCCACTACAAGAGGCCTAAAGAAACAGCACATAGTTCTGTATTAGTTTAAACTATGAAGGAAGAGCATCATCTAATTTGTCACGCAGTTTTCAAATTCAAGAAAAACTAGTGCAGAGATGAAATGATTCTGATTTAAAAACTGGTAAAAGGTTAAACCTGTGGGCTGATTTATCCCAAAACTGCTTCAATTCATCATCATAATCTCCCACAATAACATGAGTTACATCTTCATTGAGCTGATTGAAACGAACTCCACCTCCGCTGTTAATAAGCCTTCTCAATTTATCTAGCTTTCTGCCACTAAAACCGCAAAGATAGATCTGCAAAGAAAGAAAATATTTAAATCAAGATGGCTTATTCCTCTAAACAAAACATATTTATTTAAACTATATCTAAATCCATGAAACATATTTATTTTAAATATATCTAAATCCATATAAAACAACTCTTGCATAAAGTTTTTTTTGGGGTGGGATGTTTAGATCATACCTAGCCCATGACTCCTGACAGTGCTGAGAGGACCATATAGAATGCTGGTTGGCAACACAGGTTGGCTGCGTGCGAGGGAAATGCCCTCACTACTGTGCTATCGCTCCAGTCCCCTAAACTAATTTTCTTATCTATAAATTTCCTTTGCAGAGTTGACTTAAAATTTAAGTCAAAGAACTGAGCACAATGCTTAAAGACAATACACGTCCATTAGATTAACTGTCAAAATGTAGATAGTTAAAATACAGATCTATTTCATCCCTATTTTAAGTAACTTTGCCCTTAAATTTTCTGTTTTTGTTTTGTGGCCACACTCAGCGGTGCTTAGGGGTGACTCCTGGCTTTGCACCCAGGAATTACTCCCGGTGGGCTCAGGAGACCATATGGGATACTGAGGATCAAACCAGTGTGGGCTGCATGCAACGCAAGCTCCTCACCTACTATACTATCTCTCTGCCCCTGCCCTTAATTTTTTTAAATGCAAATGTATTCTTAACTGCATTTATATACCAAGGACATATTTTAACAAATATGTTACAAGAACATATTTAACAAAAATCTGGCATTCCAAATGTGCTCTTCAGCTCAAGTCTGTGGAACACACATCCCGCTTTCTTACCCCTATGTTTCTTTGCATGCTTTATGTTCACAGGGAAGCAATTCTTCCCTTTCTCCCCCTTCACATCTAAGGCTTGTTCAAAAAAAACTACCCAGCTTCTCTCTCTCTCTCTCTCTCTCTCTCTCTCTCACACACACACACACACACACACAAAGTTAGGAGTAAATACACACAAAGTAGTATATACTTTCTAGACAGAAGTTCCTATAACTAAGTGCCAGAGAGATATAGAGAGATTAAGGTGGCTTGCCTTGCATAGCAATGATCCCGATTTGATCCCATGCACAATACATGGTTCTCCAAGAGTGAGCCCTGAGCACTACTAAGCGTGGTCCAAAAAAAAAATAAAAATTAGAGGGCAGGCATTAAATCATTAAATAAAAGATTATAGAAGACATTTTCTGCTCTGCCAGTATGCTGGTAAGTTTTATAAGAAAGATTAAGTTGTCCAATTTCCTATCTTGACAATAAAATAGGTTAACTTTAGCTACTTTGAGCAGGGAGGGTGCAACCCCTTGAGGTGCTTGAGGTGTGGCTGCTGGTCCCGGGGATGGAGTCTAAGCCTCCTGCACATGCACCAGTTCTTTGAGCTATCTCCCCTAATTCTATATTATGATTTGAGAATGCACTTGTCAAAGTTACTCATACAGTAAGATAGTTAATAATCCAAGAAATATTAAGCAATGTTCCTAACAGTTAGGAAGATAATCTATGGAATAGACAGATGACTCTGAAGAATTTCATTCTTAGAAATCTGACTCAGTAAATACTATTTAGATTATTAGATAAGTAAATATTAGGTTATTTGTAGGAATGAAGATGAAAATATATACATTAACTATACAAAATGATCAGCAGCTTATATTAGATTTGCTCTAATATAAGCAAATAACAAATAAATCAAAGGACTAGGGATGAAGTCCAGTTGTCAAAATTGCATGCATATAGCCCTAAGTTCAATTCCTGTCATGACCAAACATTAAAAAGAAAAAAAAATGAAATCCTTTAAGTGTTTTAAAAATTAAGTGCTCTAAAAGCACAGTATATAAAATGATTAATATAGTTCAGAGGGTTTATGAAAGAATTGAAAAGTGACATGAACTTTGAAGGAAGATGAAGGTGACCCCAGGCAGGGGCTCCGATGACTCAAGGATGGACGTGCCCTAACACGTGCATCTGCTGGAGTGGAGCGTTTATGCAAGTGACAAGAAAGCTTAACTCTGAAAGAGCTTTCAAGCAAAGCAAAGAAATACTAATATTACACTTTTTCTTCAAGCCCATGATCTCCCTTGAACACGTATCTCACTTATCTCATTTGCTCATCTCGATGTCTGCCTGCCTATATCCACTCTAGAGGAGCCCGTTCTCTCTTAAACATGCACTTCTCCCATTCTCTTCCCTCACATCTTTTTAAATAGATTTCAATAAAACCCACCTTGCTCCAGAAAGGGAAAAAAAAAAAAGAAATCCTAACATTATTACAAAATCAAGACATACCCGACAACCATCTAACAAGTCTTCAGGTGCTTGAAATGAACTGATATCTAGATTTTCTAGATTCTCCACGGTAGGCTCCACTTTGCTATTAAGAATTGAATTACATATCGACTCATTTACACAACTTGCAGTGATGTTGGAAATGTGGCTGACATCTGAAAGAGCACGACCTACACATTAAACAAAGATATAAGAATTAATGGAGGTAAAATCATTGTGACTACATATTTTTCTATGCATTAACATAAAAAAGGGCTCTGAACAGTTTTCAAAGATTCAAAATTTAAATGATTTTAATTTAAATATTCATGGGAAAGTATAAAAAGCAAATATAAAAATCAGAAATCATCTCAAAAATGTATTGAAAACATCTTAAAAGTAGCTTGTTTTCAACAGAAACATGAAGTTGCTAAGTTCAGAAAGCTTAAATTTGAAAAAATATATAACATTGGCTAAATTGCCAATATGGTACCTACATATCATGGTAGCATTGTAGCACTGTCCTCCTGTTGTTCACTGATTTGCTCGAGCGGGCCCAGTAAAGTGTCTATCATGAGACTTGTTGTTACTGTGTTTGGCATATTGAATACGTCACGGGTAGCTTGCCAGGCTTTGCCGTGCGGGCAAGATACTCTCAGTAGCTTGCCGGGCTGTCCAAGAGGGGAGGAGGAATCGAACCAGGCTCGGTCAGGACGGCTGCGCACAAAGCAAACACCCTACCACTGTGCTATCACTCCAGCCCACCTACATATCAAACACTTTTAAGTTGTATATAAATACATATGTGAGACTGTTACTGTGTTTGGCATATCAAATAGAGCTCGCCAGGCTTTACCAGGCAGGTGAGATATTCTCGGTAGATTGCCAGGCTCTCCAAGATGGGTGGAGGAATTGAACCCGGCTCGGCCAGGCCTGCTGCATGCAAGGCAAACGCCCTACCACTGTGCTATCGCTCCAGCCTATAGCAAATTAAAAATACACTAATATTTGTACGTCGGTCAAGTTTTAAAAAATTATTTTAACTATTAGTACTAGTTTTCATATCATCTTAAATATTATAACAGAGTATGAGTATGCATTAGTTGAAGACATCAGACACAATTCTGGATTTTCTACAACTTGGCTACTTTATTATGAAATAATGCTTGAGAGTACAGCAAGAAAAGATGGAAGTCCCTAAATCAATTCTTACAAAGAAATTCAATTATCTACAAATGACTGCTTAATTCCACTCTTAAGACTTACTATCAACTGTGTTGGTTTGTCCAGTAGGAGTTGAAGTATTAGGCATTGTCTTTGTTTCTCGTTTGGATTCTGTCTTGTACATGGATTCATCCTGGCAAAACCCTTTTTCAATACTGTCAAAAAACCACTGTAGGGTCACACAGTGTACATTCCACTTCTTGGCACATTCATATTTTTGGCCTACAATGTTCATTGACAAAAATGCAAACCATTAAAATATATCTTTGCAGAACTATGCCTATTTTTATTGACACTTACTAGTCACAAGGGGAAAAGATTCACTTTGGTTGGACAAAGGCATACGCAAGGGGTTTTGAGTGTCTGTTTTCCAAGTATATGGTCAGAAGCTCGAATCTCTGATGGCCCACATGCACCACGCACAATCCAGGCAGCTATGCTGTCTCCAATCCTTGGCATTTCAAGTGATTTCGAGCTGCACTACACCCAGGTGTGTGTAATCACAACAAACAGGCACAAATGCCAGCAAGCACTGCAACCACAAGGTATGAAGACCACAGCCAGGAAACATGACCTGGTGAGCACCTCAACCATAATATGTGCACTGCAAGCACATGCATTAAGCACTGCAACTACAGGAGTGCAAACATCAGTGAGTTAACAAAGCAAAGAGTGCAAGGACTACAGCCCGCTGAGCCCCTGTGTGTGGCCCCACCTAAATATTGAGAGCAATCCCCAGGTCATCACAACACCATCAACAACAACAAAAGGAGCAGGGGGATTAAAAAAATATAAATAAAAGCCCACTCTGAACTAGAACCAGATGACAATAACTATTTTTTATACATCACACTACAGTGCTATAAAAGGTAACATTTCAAATGATTACCCATTCATACTTTCATGTTAAGTGAAAAGACAAGAGGTTTATCTTTTAACAAAATTACAGACAGACAACTGTGGGGAAAAATGAATTAATACTAGATTTGAATACAATCATCATTGATTAATGAGATTCTTGGCCAGCTGGGTCCACATTTCATACAAGGGCCTGGGAATGCAGTACTGCGTGGGTCCTTGAAGAACCTGGGGTCACTAGGGTCACACCCAGTAATGCACTTATTGAGTCAGCAAAAAAGTAGAGTTTTGCTGTGGAAAGCCAAAAGCTTCTGAGTAAGCCCCTTGGCCAAGTGGGCTCTCCCCATACTGGAAACTGACTCATTTTCCTAGCCCAATGATGGCTGTCTCCCATGCCATTCCAGTCGGGTCTGCTATGAGTCTGCTGATAAGATGGGATCTGTCTCAGAGGACCAGGCCACAGAGGATTTGATTATTCTGGAGCCCACTAGTCTACAACCTACAGGGCTTTTTTTTTGGGGGGGGGGGGGGGGGTTGGATCACACCTGGTGGTGCTTGGACGTTATTTATTCCTGGCTCTAAATTTAGGAATTACTCTTGGCAAGGTTGGGGGATGATAGGGATCGAACCCAGATCGGCTGTGTGCAAGCGAAATACCCCATGCACTTTACTATTGTTCCAGCCCATACAAGGTACCCTTTTAAAAAGGCGCTTTCCTGCTTTTTCCCTATAAAAACCTGTTATTGGGGCTGGAGTGATAGCACAGCAGGTAGGTGTTTGCCTTGCATGTGGCTAACCCAAGTTCGATCCCTGGCATCCAATATTGTCCCCTGAGACCACCAGGAGTAATTCCTGAGTGCAGGACAAGGAATAATCCCTGAGCATCACCAGGTGTAACCCAAAAGCAAAAAACAACCCAAAATGAAACTGTTCTTTTGTTTGGTTTCTGGACCACATCCAGAGGTATTCAGGATTTACCCTTTGTCAGGGATCACTCCTGGTGGGCTTGGGGGACCATATGGGGTGCCTGGGATCAAACTCAGGTTGAACATGTGCAAAGAAAGCATCTTAGTCTCTACCATCTCTACAGGCCAAAAACCTATTCTTGTAAACATGCAGACATGATGGTTACTTTGAGGACATGAATTTGCTACCTTCTATCTTGCTGGCTTATTGCCAATAAAACCTTCCCACCATTTAAGAACATAAACAACAGAAACTCTCATCTTGTAAGTGTGTGTAGTGCCAGGATTAAACCTGAGGCTCCTGCACACCAAATACACACTCCACTCCTTTGAGCCACTTCCCTGGCACCTCAATTTGTATATATTTTCAGAAAACTGCTAAAGTATTTTCCAGGATATAAAGGTGGTAGAACACCAAAATCAACAGTAATTTAAATTCTGATGATACATAATATTTTTCTTCTTTTAAATGTCTTCTTTTTAAATGTCTCATAATCTGCAAGCTAAAACTTAAAACTTGTAAGAGTTCACTTAGTAAAGCATTCAATTAAAAACTAAGCCAAGGGTCTAGGGAAATAGCATAGGGGTTAGGATGCTGATGTGCTCAACCAGGGTTCAATTCCCAGCTCCGTATCACCTCCACCAAGCACTGATGGGTAGGACCCTGGAGGCTTCTACCCCAAGCACCCCCAATTATGGTTCTGACAGTCCCCAGCAACACATTACTCTTGGGCTAAGTACCTTTAGGAATGGACCCCATCAAAGAAAATCAACTAGCCAGCCCTTTAATCTTGTCATTAAAAAGAAACATAATTAAGCTACATTTATTGGTTTCTTATTCACCCAAATTTATGTGGGGGCAAGCACCCTATCTACTGTATCATCTCACCAGTTTCCAAATTTTTATCTCTTAGTATTTGGTAACTATGCAGTATACTTAATTATTAATATCAATCTTTTTTTACAGGGTATTTAAAACTGATAATTTAGGTATAACCACCAAAATTTGTTTTTCAAACATTCAAATACCTAAATAAACACTAAGATAATCATAAATTACTTTGGTATAGCGTGTGAATCAAGTTGGCTTTGTAAAAAGTTTATGAAAAAACTATCACACTAGGTTTAGATATATCGATTACAAGAAAAAAGCTGATCTTCAGAGATCTTAAAGTATTAAATACTAGAAAGCATGCTTCATTTGTCCACTTGGGAAAGTCTTACCTTTTGGTTCTTGCACAATGAGGTGTGTACATTCATTCATTTTCAGGTGTCCCATGTACTGACCGCCAGACTTGACTGTGAGCTGCTGAACTGCCTTCCTGTCTGCACTACATAAGCCAGTCACACAGATTATACAACCAAGAAAAATAGGACATCTGAAGTCTTCCATGTTTATATCAGTATATTTAGTTATTTTTCTGAAAAAAAAAAAAAAAAGATAAAACGGAAGAAAATTCAACATATTATATACAACAGGTAATTTAGAATTTTCTAGTATAAATGCAAAAAACTCATGTAACCAGTGCTTTCATTTTTTAAAACATTTAAGAGGTACAAATACATTCAGAATGATACAAATTTCCTATCTAGCGCAATTTAATGTCTTTAGCAAAACACTCATGCTCCAGATACAAATATTCGTTCAGATCAAAATGGTGTTTTGGGGGGAGATGAGGTGGGGGAGAGGCCATTACTGGCAATTTTTTGCCAACTGGGCCAGAGACAATGCACTGCCAGGGATGATTCTGGCCACTCTGGCATGCTCAGGGCCATAGTCAGCAGCGCTTGGGGAGGTCTAGGGCTGCAACAGGAGTGCTCAGAGGACCATATGGTACCAGGGATCAAACTGGGATCAGGTACATGCAAGGTATATGCCTAAACCCCTGTACTCTCCCTACTACCACAAATAAAACTGTTTTAAGGGGAAAAAAATAGACCAATAATTTTATTTTCATGCTGGTTAAAGTGGTGTATTTTTCCAGAACTGTAAAATCTAAATCTCTATTTCAGAACTCAATGCAAAAGTTTTTTTTAATCCTTCCATTTTACTATTTAACATGTTGATCACAGCACTGTTATTTGTGTACTTAATTCACATTCAAATATGAGCTATGGGTGGTACAAGATGGCATCAACATGTTAAGACATAAGCAATAATTTCTGGCACAATACTAAGAAAATTCTCACCCCGCTGTCATACTAGGCAGACAGAGTTGGGGAAATACGTTGGAAAGAGGGTGCCAAAATGTTTAAAAAGTGTTGGACAGTGCTGAAGAAAGCCTAATTCAAATAGTATATCTGAATTTATAGCTCTGTATACTTTTACGGGAAACTGCCAATTCTGTCACTTAAAATAGGTTCTAAGTGCGATAAGAGCAGAGATAGTAATCTGTTTTGCTCACCTATATCCAATGCCTATACCATTTACTAAGTGGCCACATGTTATTGAACGGTTTATGTATTCAATCTTACACATACCTCCTTCAGGAGGGAAAAATGACTGCCAAAATGGCTAACTTAACTCTGCTTTAACATGGTACAAGACAAGAGCTGCCAAAACAATTTTTTCAATGATTTCATATTTAGTGCTGAAAAATTTTTTAGCAACAATAGAACAGAGGGTAAGGTGGGAACAGCTGCCGCTGTATCTGCGTACCTGCTGGCCCTGCTCCTCAGATTCGCAACTGAACAGATGCAAGCCAGGCTGTTAAAATTCACAAGTACACGTCTCCCAACTGAAACCTCTGGGATACTCTCGGGAGTAGGGGCAGACTGAGTCCCCCCAGCCTAAGCCCCGGAAGAAGCACCCACACCCCACAACTGCAGTATAAAATAAATTATCGCAGGCCTGCTGGGAGGGCTGGTTTGGGGGATGATTGAAAAAACGGGGACAATGGTGGAGGGAAGGTCATTCTGGTGATAGGACTGGTGTTGGAACACTGAATGCCTGCAACAGCTGTATGATAAACAACTCTGTAAACCAATGTCTATTACATAAAGTGAAAGGTAAAAAATATTTTAAGCATTAAGTATTTGTTACCTCAAAGCAAATTCTAAATCCATAACCCATTCTACCTAAAGGGGTCCGGAGAAACAATACAGAGGGTAAGGTGCATGCCCTAACACAAACGGCCTGCGTTCAATCCCAGGCCCTTCATATGCTCCCCAGAACACTGCGAGGAGTGATTCCTGAATGCAGAGTGGGTAGTAACCCCTGAGCATTGCTGGGTTTGGTCTAAATACAAACAATAAAGAAACAAAAATAAAAATCTTACCTATCAATTTATACTTAAGAGCTGTACTTTCTGCATTACTGTTTTCTTAGGATGTGAGGAATGAGAGGATGGGGTGAGTTTTGAGTCACACTCTGTAACAAGCACCTAGGTGTTGGGTTCAGTATCCAAACACCATATGGTGTTGGGTACTGAAGTGGGGCACCTTAACCCCTCTACAGTATTTCTGGCCCCTGCTCCTTTGTTTTCAACAAGTAATAATCCCACTTTTGTTTCTGATAACAAATCAAAAGAGGATACTATAAAAGGTACTTTGTAACAACCCACAGTAATACAATATTTAATTTTCCTTCAAAACTAGAAAATATCTGAATGGCTTGCTTACTTCTCTTGTGACTTCTCCCAAAGTGTCTCTACCCAAGAAGGAAGTAAAATAGGTTTCTTCAGGTTTGCAGCCACTAAATATTTTTTGCTACCAACTTCTCCTGCAATAAGGTGAGTTACTGATACATTAAGGTCCTTGAAAACATGTCCACCCATCATTTGCACATATTTGTGAACTTCTTCCTGTAGCCCCAAAGAAAATATAGCATTAATACTGAAGCAAACAATATCATTTCCATTTGAAATAAAAAACTCCACATATATTTTACTGTGGTTAACTTGAATGCACAAATGTTTCTTATGACAACAGAGTTAAATAATTATCCAAATACAACTTAGAAGATAAATATAAAATAATAAATTTTAAAATATTACATTTCCCCCATCTTCCCATATTTACATCTTTCAACTTTATGTATTAAATTACTTCTACAATATTTTGACATTTTTAAATATATAAATTATATATAAAATTTTTAAATGCAAAGATATGTATTATTGCATACTTTGTCATAACTAAAGAACAGCAAATGCAAGATCCTTCAAATTTCTTTCTTTTTTTTTTTAACATTTTTTTTTATTAGTGAAACACCATGAGGTACAGTTGTAGATTTACAATTTTTTGTGCTTGGGTTTCGATTATACAATGATCAGATACCCATCCCTCCACCAGTGCCCATTTTCCACCACCATGGATAATATCCCCCCCTGCTTCTGTGGCAGGGCAATTCCCTGTGTTCTCTCTCTCCTTTTGGGTGTTATGGTCTGCAAAAGAGGCATTGAGTGGCAAACATGTTCAGTCCATAGTCTACTTTCGACATGCATCTCCCCTCCTGGGAGGATCCTCCAAACACCCTTTATTTGGTGCTCCCTTCTCTATCTGAACTGCCCTTTCCTCTAGGATACCCGGCTGGCCTCTAAGTTATGGAGTAATCCTCCTGGTGCTGATCTCAGCTATTCTTGGGTATTAATCTCATATTTTGTTACTTTATATCCCCCAGATGAATGCAATCTTTCTATGTCTATCCCTCTCTTTCTGACTCATTTCACTTAGCATGATACTTTCCATATTGTACCACTTGTATGTAAATTTCATGACTTCATCTTTTCTAACAGCTACATAGTACTCCATTGTGTAGATGTACCAAAGTTTCTTTAACCAGTCATCTGTTCTTGGGCATTCAGGTTTCTTCCAGTTTCTGGCTATTGTAAAGAGTGCTGCAATGAACAAACAAGTGCAGATGTCACTTCGACTATACATTTTTGCCTCTCTGGGATATATTCCCAGGAGTGGTATTGCTGGGTCAAATGGGAGCTCAATTTCTAATTTTTTGAGAATCGTCCATACTGTTTTCCAGAAGGGCTGAACCAGTCGACATTCCCACCAACAGTGAAGGAGTGTCCCTTTCTCGTCACATCCACGCCAGCATCGGTTGCTTTTGCTCTTTTGAATGTGGGCCAGTCTCTGAGGTGTGAGATGGTATCTCATTGTGGTTTTGATCTGCATCTCCCTGATGATTAATGATGTAGAGCATTTTCTCATGTGCTTTTTTGCCATTCGGATTTCTTCTTTGAGAAAGTTTCTGTTCATTTCATTGCCCCATTTTTGGATGGGGTTGGATGTTTTCTTCTTGTGGAGTTTAACCAGTATTTTGTATATCCTGGATATCAACCCCTTGTCAGATGTGTATTCGGTGAATATCCTTTCCCATTCTGTAGACTGTCTTTGTATTTTGGTCACTGTTTCTTTGGAGGTGCAGAAGCTTCTTAGTTTAAGATAGTCCCATTTATCTATCTCTGTTTTCACTTGCTCGGCCAGTGGCGTGGCATCTTTGAAGATACCATTAGCTTCAATGTCATGGAGGGTTTTGCCAACTTTATCTTCAATGTACCTTATGGTTTCTGGTCTGATGTTGAGGTCTTTAATCCATTTTGATCTTACTTTGATCCTTCAAATTTCTTATGCAGTGGACAAGAGTATGAAAATATTAAATACTGGTTATGATACTCTTCTCAGTACCTACCCGTTTGTCCTTTTCGAGGCTTGTGCAGGATATAATTACATCAGACATAACCATATTATGAACTGGATGTTCAGCTCTTGGAACACACTGCTGATGCTGCATACAAAATGTAACTACTTGAGGACCAACAATTCTGCAGCCAAGCTGGAAAAAAAAAAGCTTAGTAAACCAACAGAAAAAGCTCTCCTCCATTCTTATAAAATTGTAACATTTACCATTTCTTCACAAATTGATGAACAGAGATGAATCACCAAATTGTTGCAAGGAAAAAAATAAAGAGCATTATATAATTTCTGATATATTGCTCATTAAATCAACACACACACAGATCAAATAATGAAAACTTTCAAAAGAAGTTCCAAGAGAATATTAACTCAAAATTGGTATATACTTTAACCTCTAAAATATAGACAATCTTTTTTTTGTTGTTGTTGTTGTTTTTGGGTCACATCCGGTGATGCTCAGGAATTACTCCTGGCGGTGCTTGGGGGACCATATGGGATGCTGGGAATCAAACCCAGGTTGGCTGTGTGCAAGGCAAACGCCCCACCCGCTGTGCTACTGCTCCAACCACAGCCCCTGAAATATACACAATCTTAAACTGATGGGGTATGAGTAATAGATCCTATGATGGTAAGTGTTTACATACACACACACACACATTTGGTATAACATACACATATGTAAAATTTGGGATGGGGTTGGGCCACAGTTGGCTATGCTCAGGGCTTACTCTGGTTTTGTGCTCAAGGATCACTCCTAGTGGGCTTGGGGGACCATATGGGTAATGGGAATCAATCCCAGGTGGGCTGCATGCTAGACAAGTGCCCCACTCGCATACTGCTCCAGGCCCCCATACATATTTTTCAAACAAAGCACCCAGCCAATGAAGCAGTTTAAAAATATTACATCTAATATAACCCCCTTCTAAAATACCTATCAGGTCATGAAAAGACAGTATTCCTATGCAGTTCTTTTGTGTTCAAAAAATTTTGTTGTTGCAAAGACAATAAAGGTTGCTCAAAAAATAACCTCCACTTTCATTGATAACTGAATTAAGAAAGGCAATAATCTTGTACAACACCAGCACATTAGTGGGGCTAGGATGGTAATGCAGTGGGTAGGACATTTAAATGCCTTGCACTCAACCATCCCAGATTCGATCTCCAGTGACCCATATCGTCCCCTGTGCCCACTAAGAGTGATCCCCGATTGCAGTGCCAGAGTGAGGCCTGAGCACAAAAGGCTGTGCCCCCCCACCTCCAAAAAAACCAAAACCAAAACAAAACAAAAAACCAAAAAACAAACAAAAAAAATCCAAAAACCAACCAACCAACAAAACACCCAAAATTAAAAAACCCCAGCACTTTCAAGCCAGACTAGTCTACAGTTGCCAAAATAAGCCATGAGTGATTTAAACATCTACAGGGAAAACTTTACTGCTATATTGCTATCCTATATGATTAGCCAAAAGAAAATGAAATTTTTGACGCTGAATCTATCTGACAAGAGTGCTATTTACAAGAGGAGGGTAAGACCGACAATGCTCTTGGCAAAGGTAGGCACAGACTTTCCATATATTGTACAGATACTGCATCTACCTACTCTTCTATGTTTTCTTCTCCTTCAAACAAGAATCACTTCTTTGTAATCTGAATTGAATTATAGCCAGTTTACTTTTGTTTCAAAGCTTCTCTCTTGTCCAGACATCAAAAAAGTAGTAATGAGTCAGTAGACTCTCAAAATCAACAAAAAGACATAATATAGCTCATTGGTATATTAGTATTACCCAACCCCCAAATGCTATCTTTTAACATAAAAATTTTCAGACCATATACAAAGTATAGGTATTAAAACTCAAAGTGTAAGGAAGAATACATAAAGTAAGTAATCTAGCACTCTGCTAAGGCCTTTTCCTCCATGAAACAAACACCTTGCAATTAAATAAGATTAAGCATAGAAGATTTCATTACTAACATGTTTCTCTACCATAGAGTTCACTTACACTAAAATTATATTCCCTGGAGTATATTATCACTTAAATCAATCGCCTAATTTAACAGTCATTAAAAATACTACTCCACAATCACTGTCATGGTCTCCACTGGACCCACTATCTTGGGCCAAGTCCCATGAAAAAATTAATCTAAAAATTCCAGGTAGGCAGATTTTGTGACTAAAATCTCCAGGCCTGCAGAGTCAGAATGGGCTACCTCCCCCTATCTCCCTGTACTTCCGGAAGCCCCGGCAGTCATACACACACCCCAAAGCTATCACCCAGTTAAAAAAAAATTTTTTTTGGCTTTCTGGGTCACACCTGGTGATGCTCAGGGGTTCCTCCCGGCTCTGCATTCATGAATTACTCCTGGTGGTGCACAAGGGACCATACAGGATGCCAGGAATCATACCCGGGTCAGCCGTGTGAAAGTTAAATGCCCTCCCGCTGCATTATCACTCTAGTCCTACCCCCAGTTAAAAATTTAACTCCAGCTTTGTCACCCCATAATGTGCGACACCTAAAACTCCACTGATAAATCAACAGTAGACACCAGATTGGATGGGATGCAATGTAGAAGGCAACCAATCTTGATTAACATAAATACAGAAGGCTTAACCTATAACAACATCTTAGTTATCTCTTATACAAGGCATTAATGGCTTCACAATGAGATACAATTTTCACTAACTTTCTTTTCAGGAAACATCTTTCGATCATTCTGTTAACAAATTATTGATAAGAAGCAGTATAAAATAAATTACTGAGAGCCTGCTATGGGGCAGACTTAAGGGGTGGTTGGGAAAAGTGGAGACTATGGTGGAGGAAAGGTGTAATGGTAGTGGAATTGGTGTTGAAATATTGAATGCCTGTAACAAATCATCATAAACTACTATGTAAACCACAGTGTTTATATAAAGTGTAAAGGGAAAAATTTACATATGTAGGTATTACCTAGCCAATGTAAACTCCAAAATATATTAACACAGAATTGCTTTAAAAGTGTTATTAATGACAGGTGAGACATGATGATTACCATAATGAGTTCCAAGTATAAAATTTAATGTAATATGCTATAGATTCCAGAGTTGAAAACATATATATGTAAATGAGATTAGGCACTCTTTTACACTGTATTAAATATAGGTTAAAATTATAATCACTAATTGGCCCTGATTTATTTTCTGATCATTTTATTTACCAGTTCTTAAAGTTTTGTTGGAATAAGCAATATCAAATAAATTTGTTATGTGCCAAAGGGGGCAGATTGGTATTGGGAGGGAAACTGAGGATACTGGTGGAGGGAAGTTCACACTGATAGTACTGGAACACTAAATGCTAGAAATAACTATACAACAAACAACTCTATAAATCAGTGTTTTTAATAAAGGTAAAGGCCCTCCCGTTGATCGTCGATTTGCTCGAGCGGGCCCAGTAACGTCTCCATTGGAGACTTTGTTGTTACTGTGTCTGGCATATCCAATACTCTCGGTAGCTTGCCGGGCTCTCCGAGAGGGGCGGAGGAATCGAACTCGGGTCGGCCATGTTGGCCGCTTGTAAGGCGAACGCCCTACCCGCTGTGCTATCGCTCCAGCCCAGTGTTTTTAATAAAAATCAATTTATAAAATAAGTAAAAATACTACCCTACGGGCTAGAGCAATAGTACAGCGGGTATGGAGCTTGACCTGCATGCGGCTGACCCAAGTTTTATCCCAGGCATCCCATTTGGTCCACCGAGCACTGCCAGAAGTAATCCCAGAGTGCAGAGGCAGGAGTAACTCCTGAACATCGCTGGGTTGGCCCTCAGAACAACCAAACAAATAGGATTAGAGTCAGCCTTTCAAGTGGTTTACCCTGGCTCAATTCCAGGTACCAAGTATAGTCCCCCAAGCAAAGCCAGGAGTGATCCTTGAGTACAGTCAGGAATAAGCACTGATTGGATATGGCCCCCAAATCCAAATAAATAGCAAACCTTTCTCAGGTGATCAAAGACAATACCACTAAAAGAGTCACATATATAAAGTGACCGATCATTCTCTTTTATCTTCAGTGCCTCATCTTCTGTAATGATCTGAAGATATTCTTCTGTCTGGAACTCTTTTATTGACTGAAAGAAAAAATAAAATATGCCTGAAATCAGTCACCAGTATTTGAGTCCTGTGAACTCCAACCTTCAAGATTTATATCAAATCCAGGCTGTTCTTTTCTCTATCGAAAACTACCATGATAGCTCATCTAGACCTCTGCAGAAGCTTCCCAACTAAAACTGCTTCATTTTCCCCTTCCTTGCCTTAAATCTATACACAAGTACTTAGAAACCTTTCAACAACATGATCAGGTCATCACTCTCTTCCCAAAACCTTCCAGTGGTTCCCACCACACTCAGAATAAAATGCACTTAAAAAAAAAAAAAAAAAGCACTGGCCCACAAAACCTTTACAAGGTCTCTGATTCCTCTTTTTCTTTAAAAAAAAAAGAGTACTGTTATTTATGCAGCCACTGATAAAAATGACTGAAGCTGACATTACTTTTTAAAAAAATTTTTACTGACTAACCATGAGATAGACCATTACAAAGCTGTTTATGACTGGGTTTCAGTCATACAACAATCTAACGCCCATCCCTCCATCAGAGTACATTTCACACAACCAATAGCCCCCCATTCTCTCCCACCATCCCCAGACACCCCCCTCCTCCCTTTCTATTTCTCAATCCCTCCCTCCATTTCTCCCTCACCTTTTATGCATTTTAGAGATCATTATTTTTTTCAGGGCATTCAGTATTTTTATCGGGAAGGTAAGGCTGGGGTAGCTTTTTTAACTGGATGGCAGCTTTGGGGTGTGAACTTGACTGCCAAGGCTTCTGGAAATACAGGGAGGTGGGGGGAGGTAGCCCATTCCAACCCCAAGAAAGTCTGGAGATTTCAGTCACAAAACCCGCACATACAAATTTTCAACAGATTAATATTTAAACAAGGTGGGAGTCTAGCTGGGGTCATGGCGATGGTTTTGGATTGAGGGAGCAAGTGGCTGCCTGGGGCTCTGCTTGGGCGGGCACCAGACTGACCCACCCACCTCTGGTTTACCCTGGTCCTGCGTGGGTCCAAGATTAACTGTAGCTTTTGATCTCTTTTGAAACTTACTTAAGGTTTATGAAGCAAGACCAATAAATGAGCTTGTATAGCTGAGCCAGTGGTGGTTTGGGGGCATGGCCCCCACATACCTAATTTCTGGCCATTTAATTTCTCAGGAAACTTGGTTCTGAGTTGTTGGGGTCTGGCCAGAGGCACAGCAGCAGTTTGGGGGTATCAGGAAGCCTGAAGGCACCATCAGGCTGCTGATGCACTCGCCCCACAGGTATAGGTTGACCTGCTGGCAGCACTGTACCCCCAACTTTTTTCCCTCTTGCTTATACTTCTCTTAGCCACCAACCATTCTTAGGCCTGGAACAAGCTCAGCTCTAAGTCTAAGAACTATTCGAATATCACCTCAATAGAGATGGTGTTAGTCATGAGATACCCATTTCTTTTGTTTTTCTTTTGGGACTATATCTGATACTAGCTATGCTCATGGGATCATACGTAGTACCCAAGAATGAACATATGTAGGATGAATTCAAGGCAAATGCCTTACCTACTAACTCTTCTATCTCCAGTCCTTAAAGACCCTTTATTTTTAGTCTACTTTATGAATAAAAATAACACTGGTGTTATGTACACTGTTATGTTGACTGCTTGCTGGACCTCTCAGGCAGTGCTCAGAAGCCCAGGGACCCTTGAGTTTTCAATTCAAAGCGAGGGCCCAAGAATGTGACACTGCTCAGGTTCCGAGGTGCTAGGGAACCGAGGCCTATACCTGGCAGTGCATGGGGGACCATCTGGTGCAGGAAATCAGACCAACTGTGGTGCAGCCCCCAGTGTGTCCATTTCTTTCATAGAAGAATGAGTTTCACAATCCGCTCGTTACTTAGCAGAAGTGCATGTCTGGGCAATGCTGAAGTCACACTCAAATTAACCCTTTTAAAAACAATTTTGTCAGATCAGGTTACTTTTGATTAAACCCTCCAGAGGCTCATTTGACTGGAGGAGAGGCGCAGACGTCAAAGTTACAATGGTTCTCAAGGCCCTATGTAATCTCTTTAACTCATATTTTCTTAATCTGTCTCCCATGCCTTGATCACTACCCTACTATGTGTAACGATACACCAAGCACTCTCCTGGGGCCACTGTACGATTGCTCCCTCAGTCTGGAATCTTCTTCCCTAAATATCCACAAGGTTAATCACCTAACCTGTTTTAGATATTCTCAAACTCATCTTCTCCGGAAAGTCTACCACAATCACATTATTTAAAGTTGCAATCGGGGCTGGAGTGATAGCACAGCGGTTAGGGCGTTTGCCTTGCACACGGTTGACCCAGGTTCGATTCCCAGCATCCCATATGGTTCCCTGAGCACCGCCAGGAGTAACTCCTGAGTGCAGAGCCAGGAGTAACCCCTGTGCATCGCTGTGTGTGACCCAAAAAGCAAAATATTAAAAATGTTTTAAAAAATAAATAAAATTGCAATCTCCCCTTCCTCCCCAACAAACATCTTTTCAGAGCCCTTTAACCCATTTTGCTTTTTTCCAAGAGCATATGGTAAAATACTACGTGGCACATGCTTTTTGGTTTTGTTTTGGGGTCACACCCAGTGGACTACTCTCAACAGACTACACAATGTTAAGGATCAAACCCACTTTTCCCAACATGCAAAGCATGTGCTTCAGCCCTTTGAACTATCTCTTGGCTGCTGACTAATATCTATTTCTTTCTATGAAAATAGAATGTAAATCAGAGAAAGTACAGAGAATTTTGCCTGCTCTGATATACCTGAAGCTATGTTCTATTCTATGTTTTTTTATTCTGGTTTTTGGTGCATACCCAGTGGTGTTCAGGGGCCATATGGGATGCCAGGGTTTGAACCTGAGTTGAGCAAGAGCAGGGCAAGCACCCTGGTGGCTATCTCTCTCCAGCCTCTATATTCTATTCTCAAAATACACCTACACTTATCAAATTTACTTATTCACAGACAACACAAAATTAAACTAAAAACTGAGTATCAATTTATACCACAACAACAAACTTTTTAGATCTAATCACCATGAAAATTTTCACATCAACCATGGGCATTTTTGTATGATGCATTATACTAGTTGTCCTCAAAGCAGTAAGCATGGGCACACGCATAATATGTTATTACTGTATATTAAACTACACCCCCAGGGGTATGGTGCCGCCAGCAGGTCAATCTGTACCTGTGAGGTGAGTGCATCAGCAGCCTGATGGCGCCTTCAGACTTCCAGATACCCCAAAAATCTGCTGTGCCTTTCACCAGACCCCAAAAACTTGGGGCAAAGTTGACCAAGAAAGTAAAAAGCCAAAAGTTAGGTATGTGGGAGACACACCCACAAACCACCTCCGGCTCAGCTATATAATGGAGGCATGGCCTCTCTAGTTCCTGATCAAACTGCTTAAGAGCCACAATCCCAGAGACTCAGAAACAAATCTTGGAACCCAGCGGCTTTTGGCAGAAATGCGTCCAGTCCCTGCAGTAGGTTACTGTCGCTAGGCCACCCCAGGGGGGAAAGGGTGTTGTCCCTCCGCCTGCTCCCCCTTGGCGGCTCGGTGGCCATCATCCTCCGGAGGCCATTGGACAGTCAGGTCTGGGTCCACAGTGACGAAACTTGTTGGGCCTCAAGGGATGGGGGAGGAGCCAGGCCTGTCCTCCCCACCCCAACGAGACCCCAAGTCATCACCCACAAACGGCCTCTCTGGCTCCTCATCAAGCTGCTCAATGGCCATGATCCCAGAGACTCAGGAGCAAATCTTGAAACCCAGTGGCTTTTGGCAGAAATCCCTTCAGATTTAAGTGTTAAAATTTCAAAATCACTTGGCCCTACTGCAGCCACGTGACATCATATGTTATTCATAACCATCAATAGAACACAAATTGTTTACTGTTGCCTTTTCAGCAGATCTGAGTGTTGGGGTAAAATCTCAAATAATAATGGTGGGTCTGGAAATATTCAAAATATTGAATGTGATCAAAATAGAGAGAGAGTAATGTGGAAATCATCTGCCCCACAGGTAGGGGGAGGGTGTGGGATGGGGGTATACTGGGGTTTCTGGGTGTGGAGAATGGGCCCTGGTGAAGGTATGGGTGTTTCATGGTATGACCGAGACTTAAACCCGAAAGCTTTGTAACTGCTCTCACGGTGATTCAATAAATAAAATTATAAAAAATGAAAAAAAAAAAGTAAGGTATAGTTCATGCACAATTCAATCAGCTAATCAGTGGCTGAATAAATAGCAGTACTCCTACATTAAAAAAAAACCACACCCCCATGCACATAAGTGCATGTTATAAACATTACACCATACATTCTAACATTACACACTATGCATTCTACGTATCATGTAGTAAACTATATCTCCCACTTTTTTTTTTGGCTTTTTGGGTCACACCCAGTGATGCACAGGTGTTACTCCTGGCTTTGCACTCAAGAATTACTCCTGGCAGTGCTCAGGGAACCATATGGGATGCTGGGGATTGAACCCAGATCGGCTGCGTGCAAGGCAAATGCCCTACCCTCTATACTATCGCTCTAGCCCCTATACCCCACATTTATCATGAACATATCTGAAGGAAAAAACCTAACACATTGGAACCAGAGTGATAGGACAGCGGTTACAGTTATGGTGTTTGCCTTGCAATGCAGCTGATCCAGGCGGCTGATCCAGGGCCGGTCCCTGGCACCCCATAAGGCCCCAGAGCTCAGGCGAGAGTGATGTCTGATACTGATGTGATGGGGTTGGGATCTGAGGTGGGGGTAAACCATACACATGGAATTTGATCATGGCTGATTGTAAAGTTGGGCGCTAAGAATAACTCTGTAAATTACAGTACCTCAATAAAAAAAAAATTAAAAAAAACTAACACATCAAAGTTCCTTAAACTTCACTTTTAATTTTAAGCAACTGTGGTTTGCATACTGTTAATGGAAAAGTTTTATGCACAAAATTAAACTTTCAACGTGCACAGGAAATACACGGGGAATCTCACATGAACACATTCTCCTGAGTTGGGCCCCAAGGCTGCATCTTTCCAACCGGCTTGCAGGTCATCCCTGCCTATGCCACCGAGTGTATGAGTAGCCCGGTTCTTCACTTCCACCTGCTTCCTCCCGCTTCATGCGCAACAGGATGAAACACCCTCTCCACAAAGGCCACCTAAGCATTCTAGTTTAGCAAACAGAAGAAAATGAATTTCCCCGAACAACAAGCCAAGGTAGAAACGTCCGAGCAAAACCTCAACACCCCCAATAAAGAGTAAATGATACACGAGCACCCCGTTAAGATGCGCCACAGCGCTGTCCCCACTTGAGTGCCCATCAGAGTCACACTACAGAGGGCGGTAACTCTGGCTCAGGATCCCCGTCAATCACGGCAGCACGCTCAGGGCATCACATGTGTGTGTGGGGGAGACACACTCACGCCTTTCCACACCAGTCTTACCTCAAGCGCTTTAAAAAAGTTCTCGGAATTGTCGGGAGACTTGAGAAACTTCACAAGGTACGGTTCTGATTCCTGGTCACTTCCGGACATTTCCGAACTGCCAAAATAAAAACCCCAAAACACCGACCCCAAAGAGACCATTTTAGCAAGGACCAAAAAAAAAAAAAATTCAAATCAAAACAAAACAAAAGGGCACGCCTCCTCGGCTGGGAAGTTAATTCTCCAAAGCCCTGACAGGTTCTTCCGCGCAGGTACAGGGGCGCCACCCGGGCCTCGCCCACCGACCCGTCCCGCAGGGCGGTGAGAAACGCCCCCCAAGGGAGTGAGAGACCCTCAATGGACACCGAGGGCTGGAGTCCGGGGCTGCAGGGGTTGGGGGAGCCGCGATGGTCCCCCTAAGCTAATGGACAGTCACTCAGGAAGGCACAAAGCGCAGCATCTCGGAGGGTGCCCGCGGCTTTCGGGGCGCGGTCGACCCCCGAAAACGGACTTTTAAGCGTCAACACGGAAGCCGGCGGGCAGGGCCACGCCCAGCCAAGGCCGGTTCTAGCCCCCGAGTCCCCCGGCTCCGGGTGGGGGGGACGCCGGCCTCTAAGTTCCACGTACCGGCCGCAGGGCCGGTTACAGGGCGTTCGAGGAGGGCCCCGAAGGCCTCGGGGGCCGCCGCCCGACCCGGAAGCGGGTGGACAGGGAGCCCGGGACGCACCGCGCCTCGCTCACCTCGGGGGCGCCCGGGCTTCTCTGAGCCGAGACTTGGGCAGGCCGCGGCCCGCAGGACGGTGACTGGGCTCGGGCGCCAGCGCGGCAGTCGGCGCCCACCCCGCGGCGCCCCCCGGTCCCAGACAACAGAGAACGCGGAAACAGCTGCAGCCGCGAAACGACTTTCGCGCCAACCGCGAGCCCCGGGGATGCACTGCTTCCGGCGGAAGTGACGCACGACGTGGCGCCCCCCTCTGGTGGGCGGGGTTACCTTAAAGGCGCAGTAGGCGGGCCGCTGGTCTCAGAATGCCCTGAAATGGTCCTCGCTGGTATCTTTTCACGCCCGTCCCCACCCCTTTAACTGAGCACCTCGTTTTCTTTCTCTGCAACGAGCTTGTAGGGGGAAGATTCCCGGAGGGAACATACTGCTCAGATGGCAGAGATCTGGGGTAGTGGAAGTAATCTGAACTTGTAGAATCTTGGTTATTGACGATCAATAACTTTAGCGTTTGTACTTATTTTGCACTTGACTGTGAGATTGAGAAGGGCATGACTTCGATTTGCGTCGAGAGACTTGAATATTATATACCTTGTCTCAGTTTTTCTTTTTAGAGTCTAAAAATGTTGGCAATGAGTGGGGATCGGAGAGATGGTGTAGAGGCTCTTGCCTTGCACACAGATAACGGGCGGTTCAATCCCCGGCTCCCCATATGGTCTCCCAAGCCTCACCAGGAGTGATCCCTGAGCAGAGGGCCAGGAGTAAGTAAGCCCTAGGCACAGCCGGGTGTGTCCCCAAAACCAAATAAAGATGTCAATGAGCAAATTGGGTCAAATTGTGTCAAAGAAGTATGTGGGGAGGTGGGGTTAGTACCCCACTAGCTCTCCAGCTCAAAAATAAAGGCCTGGAGCTGGAGAGATAGTACAATGGCTAAGGTGCTTCCCTTGCACATGACCCACCCAGGTTCATCCCTGACACTGCATATGATCCCCTCAGCTCCACCAGGAGTGACTCTGAGTGTAGGTATCAGGGAAACTCAAAATTACAGTATATAACCAACACTCCCACACAGAGAAATGTGGAGCAAACCCTGATATTTGAAGGTAGGAGTATCAGTTGGTTCAGCCACTTGGGAAAACTGGCTGTATTTATTTATGCTGAATCTATGTTTACGTTTTGACCCAGCAATTACTCTTTTAGGGAAGTACCTTGCATAACTGGATACTTAAATGCACTCAAAGACATAACTAGAAAGTACATAGCGGCACCCACTCTTCTTGAGAGCAGAAACTAGAGAGTACTGTGATTAACAGAAAAAGAAAGGTGGACACTGCATAGAATAATATGCACTATAGAAGAACATTGAAAACAGCAAGATCAAAAGAGGAACTTGCAAAGGAAAGCCCATAAGATGTACAACAGATACATGAAATTTTATGATTTTTATGTTTTTAGTTTTTGCTTTTGTTTGGGGGCCACACCTAGCAATGCTCTGCACTCAGGAATTACTCCTGGCAGTGCTCCAGGAGTAATGCCAGGAATTGAACCTGTGTTAGTCATGTGCAAAGCAAATGCCCTACCAGCTGCACTATCACTCTAGCCCCTTATGGAAGTTTAGTGTATTTCAACAAAAAGTTCTTATGATTTAACTTAAGTTTGAAACACTTCCCCTGGGGCAGACCTCATAGGCTTCTAATGAACTCACCTGATCTCAGGCTTCTGCAGGGGGATTCTGTCATTGGTGGGGGCTTCTGGTGTTGGGAAACCTGATGATTTCAACAGGGATTTGGGGCAAAGAGTCTGAGAATACCTGAAAACCTGAAAGCCTTGCTCAAAACATGGTGTAGGGTTGGGATGAGGAAGGGGACTTACCTCACAAGTATGAGGCTCTTTATTTGAGTCCCAACACTGAATGTTTTCCCCCACCACACCCCCACCCCCACAGCAACACTGCCAGGAGCTAACCTGAGCAAAACTGGTTGGATTTCCCCAATAATAAAGAAAAGGAAAGAAAAAAGGAATATAAAAAAAATGATAAGGTGGGGTATTCATTTTCACATGCTTCCTGGGACCCATCCAGTCCCAAAGTCTGCAATTTTCCAACACAGCAGAGCAGCTGACTACACGTGGGGGGCTCTGGCGCAGTGGCCCTTAGTGACTGCCCTCAGCCTGGCCGCAGCGTCTCTACCTCTGCCTGGACGGCTTGGTCAGTCTGGCGGTCTCCTGCTGTGGCTTCACTCCTCACAGCTAGGGCGAGTGGCCCAGGGGTGAGGCACCCCTGCAGGGGGCAGATAGCAGGCTGCTGACAGAGGCCAGTTTAGGTCGGGGGTGTGGCGAGGGCGAGGGCGGTCAGCCATGAGGGCGGAGCCGCCAAACTGGCTTAGGGGAGCGGGCACCGCAGGCCCGTGCTCCAGAGACTGCAAGAATGCGCCCGAGAATGCAGCTTGTTGTTACCCTGCTCTGCGCCTGGGCGCTGGGTGAGTGTCTGCGAGAGAAAATCGGGGACGGGGGAGCTCCGGAGGGGACCGCGTGCAGAAGGGTCAGCCCCAGAAGGCCACCTGCATCTAGGGGCCATGGAACGTTAGGTCCTAGCCCAAGTGCTTTGGACAAACATCCATCCTCTGAGAACGTGCAGAATGGACGCCAGAGGTGTAAACCATGAAGGAAAGCGAAGTGGTGCCGGGAGGCCACTAGGGTTAGGACCAACTGTGGGCAGTGGAGGGGGCGGGGGACTGGGATTGGACGGGGGCGGGGCGACTTTATGGAAGCTGGTGTCCCACTTTGGACTAGCACATTTTTGCCTTCATCCTTTTGAGTTCCCTGACCTCCACCTTGCCCCAGCTTTAAATGTGTTCAAAGGGTTGAAAGGAAACCCACCAAAGGGAGTCCTGGCTCAGGGCATTGCCACAGAGGTTTCCTTCAGGGAAATACTGGGCTTGGGCCTCGGTGGGGTTCCGGCAGAGGTGAGTAACCGCCACGAGACCAGTGGCCACAAAGCTAAACAAATTAATTACTCACTAGCCCAGGACAGAAAACGTCCCTGGGATTGTCCATCCTGTTCAGAGAAGGAAGCAGGATCAGAGGACGGAGGGTGTTCCCCAGAGCTCCCCTGTGGGGATAAAGCATGTCAGGTATCACCTGCCAGGAATGGGGCCAGTGTGCACCTGTCTTTCCGGCTATCTACCACACTCTGGAGTGCAGTATGGGAGAGTAGGTGGGAGCTGTCCACTGCTCACTGCTGTGTGACTCTGGGCTGAGCCTTGGCTTCTCTGAGCTGGCTTCAGTAGGAGTTGCTCCTCCCTCCCCCCAACAACACACACCCCGCTGCTGTGAAAGTGAAATAAGGTAATGGACCTAATGACAGAGTTCGAGACACAGCTGAGTTATCAGTGGCAAAAGAAAAAACACACCCTGCATGTAAAAGCAGCGGTCCCTGGCACTCTTGACTTGGGAACAGTGAGGAAGGTGATGGTGCTGAATGAGCTCCAGCCTGTGAAGAACCTGTTTCAACAACTGTTGCATCTTGTCAGGGCTCAGGTTCTCTGAGCAGCTCTGGGGAAGGGTTCTGTAGGGGGGAGGGAGAAGGCAGGAGGGCTAGGGGTGATGCGGGAAAGTATATGGAAAAGGGGACTCATGTCGGCCACACAGGGAGCTCTGGGGGATGGGCCGACTGGAAAGGGAGAGGACATCCAGAGTCCAGACACACACACACACACACACACACACACACACACACACACACACACACACCCCTGCCCCCAGCTCCTCTGCAACCAGATTTATGTTTGCTCTTTCTCCATCTCCCTTCTGGCCATGTCGGACGAGGACCCAAAGTTCAATTTCCCAATAGATGGTGTTTACAAGCCAGACTGCGCCTCCTTCCAGCCTCTCCACATGCCTTCCCTCTCTGCTGTTGGATTAGGTTGGAATCTAAAATGGGAAACTCTCCATGGCTCAGTGGCCTTTTCTGACAAAGCCCTTCCGAGGCAAGTGACAGAGACCATCAGATTAGCTGAGACCGAAGTGCCCACAGGGCAGGATGCAGTTCGTGTTGAGCTTGCAAGAGCCAGCGTGGGGACAGGACGGCCCAAGCCTCCTCTTTGGCTGCTGTTTCTTTGATCTGCCTCTTGTGCTTCTAGAGGATTAAGAGTTTCCATGATAGGGCCAGAAAGATAGTACAGTGGGTAGCACACTTGCACATAGCCTGACCAGTTCTTACCGTTGGCATCTCTTATGGTCTCCTGACCACTGCTACAACTGATCCCTGAGCACAAAGCCAGGAGTAAGCCCTGCGTACTGCCAAGTGTGGGCCAGATAAAAGGGGGTGGCTGAAAGAGTTTTCATTTTTTAACCAGTTGGTCCATTTCTCTTCAAAAAAGGTTAGTCTTGGGGTATTGTTGGGATCACACTTAATTTGTAGGTTATGAGATGTGAATTAGATGTTCTCATCTTAATGATACTGCTTTTCTAATCCTTGAATGTCTGATTTCATTTTTATTTATTTATTTTTGTCTATCATGGTAATATTTTATTTAAAGAGCTTGTTATAATTGTTGAATGTGTTCTTAGCTATTTCATCCTTTTAGACCCATTGTAGTAATATTCTTATTGTTATAACATAGTTTACACAACCGTTGATGTTTTAGGGGTATAATTTCACACCTCTACAACGAATACATACTTTACTATCACAACAGTACTCATATCCCACTATCACAGTTGTTGAAGTATTATTACTATTATTTCTGCATTGCTGGGTATCAAACTCAGGGCTTCCGAAGCAAGTGCTTTATGTCCAAGCTAAATCCTGAATAGTATGTTATAAAAAATTACATAGCAAAATGTTGTTTTACAATTGTGCAATATAAAATACTACATTGAAGTAATATTTTAATTTAATTTTACATTTCTTTTAAGTATTATAGTCAATTGACTTGTATATTGATCTCAAGTCCAATGACATTTCTAAATTAATATAGTGGTTCTAGTAGTTTCTTTCTACTTCCAAATTTCCTGTATGGAAAATATGCTCTCTATGAATAAAGAGAATTTTATGCCTTTTCCCAGTCTATGTGACTTTTATTCTCTTTGAACTTTATGAAAATGTCTGAGAGAACTTTCTTGGCTCTGGTTCTATTGACCGATTTTCATCCTGGTCCTGAGCTATATTCACAATATAGTAATTTTGTTGTAAAATTTAATTTGTTGAGTATTGGATTTTGCTTTATTGAAAGAGTATTAAAACTCTATTTGGGCTGGCAGACTTACTATCCACTGTTTTCAATATTTTGGTTCTGTGTGACATGTAACTTTATGTTTAACTTTCAGAGGATGCTTTTGGTTTTTCAAGGGGAAAAAGGGTTCAGTAAGGGAAATTGGGCTCAAGAATTCATGTCGGCCATCAGCTAATCCAATTTGTGTCTACCACCCTCGGCCAATCTTTGACCTTGTCTATAACTTCTGCCAAGAGAGAAAGCTGAGGGAGGGCTGTGAGTCCCATAGCCCATTGGCCTCTGTTCCCCAGGGCTGTGTCTGGCTGCCCCAGAGCAGACTGTCAGATGGTGCACCACCTCAGATCACGAGGCCAGCAAGTGCTCCAGTTTGAAAAGAGCCCTTTCTGCCGGCGGTCCTCGCATGGACTGTGTGAGGAGAGCCTCCGCCCAAGAGTGTATCAAGGGCATTTCGGTGAGTGACTGTTACTGTTTTTGGCATATAGAATACATTACAGGGAGCTTGCCAGGCTTTGCCATGCAGGTGAGATACTCTTGGTAGCTTGCCAGGCTCTCTAAGAGGGGTGGAGGAAATGAACCCGGGTCAGCTGCGTGCAAGGCCTTACCCACTGTACTATCGCTCCAGCCCCAGAGAAACCTATGAAGACAAAAATAAATAAGAAGCTCTAGCAGTTCTATTCTTACACTGTGTTTAATTTTTTTCCAGAAATTTTTAACCGTCTTTTTCTTTTTAAAGTTTTTTTTTATTTAAGGAACCATGATTTATTAAGTTGAGTTTCAGGCATACAATATTCCAATACCAATCCCGTCTCCAATGTCAACTTCTTTCCACCAGTGTCCCCAGTTTCTCTGCCACCCCTAACCTGCCACCTTGAAAGACACTTTGGTGGATCGAACCCAGGTCTGCCATGTGCAAGGCAAACACTCTACCCACTGTGCTATCGCTCCAGCACTTTGACAGGCACATTTTGAACTTTGGTTGCTGCAGTTTGGGTCCATTGCTTTCAGTGGACCTGGCCGACCTGGGTTCGATCCTCGGTATCCCATATCGTCCCCTGAACATTGCCAGGAGTAATTCCTGAGGGTAGAGCCAGGAGTCACCCTTGAGAATTGCTGGGTATAACCCAAAAAGGCAAAAAAAAAAAAAAGAAAGAAAATTTATATGAGAGCTCCACAAAATTACTATGAATATAATACAAATGAATAATATTTATTAATAAATGATAATAAGTTATCTTCCTACTTAAGAAGAGTTATTGTGAGATACCTGCATATTCTCCAAAACTTAACACATATATTAAATGTAATTTTCATAAAAATTAATCTTTTTGAATTTTATATATATATATACATGTAAATATATATTTTCTACCTGGTGATGCTCAAGGGTTTCTCCTGGTTCTACAGTCAGGAATTACTCCTAGCAGTACTTGGGGAACCCTATGGGATACTAGGGATGAAACCCCACTCAACCGTATACAAGGCAAACATCCTACCTGCTGTTTTATCACTCTGTCCCCATAACAATAAAATAATTTTTTAAATGTTAAGGGAAAAAAAGTACATACTTGAGCACACGGATCATCTATAATTATTAGTGAGGATCGAGATGACTCCACAGGCTGAGCGTGTACTCTGCACGCAGGAGGGCCTGGCTAGATCCTGTCACTCCTTGATCCTCTGAGTGCTGTCCAGGGCAACGCCCTGAGCACAGAGCAGGGAATAGCCCCACATTTGACGTTTGGTCCCTTGTCTTTCAGGCAAATGAAGCAGATGCTGTGACCGTTGAAGGAGGTTTGGTGTTCGCGGCGGGTCTGGCTCCCTATAACCTGAAGCCCATTGTGGCTGAAGTGTATGGCTCTCGAGATGGTATGTTCTCCCTCGGGGCTGACTCACCGCTGAAGGCGAGGGCAGGCTCTCCATCTGGGTCCTCTGAGGAATCAGTGTTGGCCTCCTTGGATTGAAGCTTTGGGACTTGGGCTTTCCTGAGAAGCTTGTTCTCCTGATAAGAATGCCATTGGCACTCTGTTTGGCCCATCTCTGGACATACACTGGGCAGACCTGTGATAAGTCCCCTGTGGGTGCCACTGTCCCCAGGCCGGTATATTTCAAGGACAGGATTTGGCAGGTTTGAAGAAAGGGCTTAGCCTCTTCCCCAAATTTCTCCATAGTGTCTTCAGTGTGTGTATAAACTCTGCCCGCCTCAACTTAACCCCAACTTTCAGGGCCCTGGAAAAATCCTGGGGATCTCATCCCTTCTCTTCACTGTCTAGACTCCAGACCAATAAATGGAGAAGGGAGAAAGTGACACATGACTGGGGCCAGGAGTTGAGATTCTATGCCCGGTGCCCCACATGCCTGTCTCCATTGGCTTGTGGGGTGGCCAGGGAAGGAACCAGTGCCCATGATTGGAAAGGGGTTAGCCTCTTTCCTGTAACCAGGGACCTTTTGTCATGCCTTTTCTGCCTTTGTCCCAGGGTTGGGAAACTCCCATAATTTCCCAACATTCCTCCAGCGTGTGGATAGCACAGTTATCGATGAATAACGAGATGTCAAGTGATCAAGTGATCCTCCAGTGGGTGGATAGCACAGTATGGCACCTTCTTTTGGCTTTTCTTTCTGTCTGACCTACAGACCCGCAGACCCACCACTATGCTGTAGCCCTAGTGAAGAAGGGAAGTGGCTTCCAGCTGAACCAGCTCCAGGGCAAGAAGTCCTGCCACCCAGGCCTGGGCTGGGCTGCCGGCTGGACCATCCCTATCCGGACGCTCCTTCCCCCGGGCTCTAGGGAAGAAGGTAAGCCAGCTGGGCCCAGTGACCATACCCACTCGGATGGCACTTGGGCCTAGAAGTCGCCCCCCATGTATATGTTTCATGCCCTCCAGGAGGGGGGAGGACCACCCTGCTGTAGTGCTGGGTGGGATCTGGGAACCGGCAGCCGTCTTTTCTTCTCCCTGAGTTCCTGACACCATGGAAATTCCAGCAGTGCGGCCGAAAGGCTAGCGGTGGGTGCCTCATCTTTCCAGCTGCTAGAGAAGGCTCTGTGGGGATCACTGCCACAGGCCAGCTGTCAGGCCTCGGAGCCTCAGGAAGCATTTAGGATGAGGCCAAAATGGGATGGAAGGACTGCAGTCTCCACTATCTCATGTACACATAACTTCCTGCTCAGTTATGACTAACCAGGGCAAGTCCTGGGTACCTTTTAAGTCCTCTGTCACATGCATCTCTTAGCAATTCTGGCTACGTCTGCTCTGGAATCACTGTCACAGGGAGTGGGGCTCTGGCCCTGAGAGAGGTTACACCTGGTCACAGCTCTGCTGCTCATGCCGCTCCTTCCTGGTGTTTCCCAGCAGTGTGCCTCAGTGGCAGACTGCTGAATGTCATTGGGGTTTTATGAGGTGACAGTTGTTACACCCTTAACCTCCCCACCAGGCAAGTTATTCCAGCCTCTTCCCTGGCTTGTTGGAAAAGGGACCCTCAGGGGACACAAGAGCCCCTGGATCAGGAGGCGTTGTATGGCCCCGTGGCTGGAGGTGGAGGAGGCTGGAACTGCCGTTTGGTCTGGTGTAGGTCAGCAGCTCCCAGGCTCAGCCACAGACAAGCTGGGACATATCATGGGCCTTGCAGGCACGGGTCCACTCATGGGACCCCAGGACGTGCGGTGCCCGAACTTCCTTAGGAACTCAGAAAGTGTACGCAGAGCTGTCGGCTGGCACACAGGGACACTCACGCAGCACCTTGTAGGGTCCCCCCTTCCTCCTCTCCCCCTGGACCTCAGCTCATATCCTGGGGTCTTTGTCTTAACAGCCATGGCCCAGTTCTTCTCTGGCAGCTGCGTCCCCTGTGCCGATGGGAAGAATTTCCCCCGCCTGTGTCAGCTGTGTGCGGGTGAAAGGACGGACAAGTGTGCCTGCTCTTCCCAGGAACCCTACTTCGGCTACGCGGGCGCCTTCCAGTGAGTGAGACCCTGTTCTACCTCCTCATGCTGAGGCTGAGGAACTCCGCCTAGAACACAGTCAGGGCTGCCCCAGAAGCCCCCGATATTTTCACTTGGACCCCAGCCACCAGAGTGCCTCCATCACCCACCTCCCTCCTAACCACCCCAGGGAGCAGTTTCCTGTGTGGGATTCCCCCCAGAGTCCCCTTTTGGGCAGGGCTGAGGGACAGGGCCCATCTCTCAATTGTGTGATCCATGGACACAGCCCTGGGCTGTCGCCTGGGATAAACCCCAGAACCCCCTGGCCTGATTCTCTCTGCCCAAGCGTGTTCATATGCGAGGGACACAGGCTCTGTGAGGCGCCTCCCTGAAGCCAGAGAGACCTACCCAGGCATCCAAGTCTAGCAAGAGTTATCACCCTTGTGTGATAACTTAAAAGCTTAAAAGTGTTTTTATTATTTTGAAGGTGCTTTAGGCTGCCTTGAAAGGAGGGGTCCTTCTTTTACTGCATCTCTCTCTAGAGAGGTCTTGGATATGGAAGCTAGAACTTCCGGGCTTGATGTGGCTGTTGGGTTCAAAAGCCTTAGAAGGGCCATCACCTCTCTGAGGAGAGAAGGAAGGCTGGAAAACAGAGGGCAGAGCTCCCAAACTGGTGGCAGGATCAGGCTCCGAGGGGCTCACCAGGAGGCTAGGCCTGACCCCAAGGTGACTGACTCATGCCCTATTCGTCAGGTGTCTGCGGGACGGTGCAGGGGATGTGAGCTTTGTGAGGCATCTGACGGTGTTTGGTAAGTGTTGGAGGGAGGGAGAATCCTGTGGGCCGTGTCCTAGCAGCTTCCTTATATATAGACATGGGCGATGATCTCAACGAAATGAGAGTTTTGTGTAAAACATGGTTCTGTTTTCTGTACTTTTTTTTTTTTTTGCTTTATGGGTCACACCTGGCAATGCACCGGGGTCACTCCTGGCTCATGCACTCAGGAATTATTCCTGGCGGTGCTCAGGGGACTGTATGGGATGCTGGGAACCGAACCCGGGGCATCCGCATGCAAGGCAAACTCCTTACCCGCTGTGCTATCGCTCTAGTCTGTACTTTGTTTCATAAATATCTACTAAGCAAAATTTTCAAGCATTTGAGCAGTACTGACAAATTTATCTAAAAGCAAAGTTTAAGAATCAGGTTCTCGTAGACTCTGAAAACCTCGAGTTTCATCCCATTCCCTTGAAGCCTTCATTATAAAGGGCCACGTGCCACAAACAACTTAAGAAACACCCACATTATTATGTCACTGTCACTGTTCCCCCGTTGTTCATTGATTACTCAAGCAGGCCCAGTAACATCTCCATTTTGAGACTTGTTGTTACTGTGTTTGGCATATTGAATACGTCACAGGTAGCTTGCCTGGCTTTGCTGTGCGGGCGAGATACTCTCCGTAGCTTGCCGGGCTCTCAGAGAGGGGCGGAGGAATCGAACCCGGCTTGGCCGGGCTGGCTGTGTGCAAGGCAAATGCCCTACCACTGTGCTATCGCTCCAGCCCACATTATTATGATCATTGCAAAAATTATTATCCACAATCAGAAGCCATTTCAGTTTGCTCACGTGGCATGCGAGGCTTCCTCTTGGGCCCAACATGTGGTTCAAGTAGGTAAGGCCCAGAGGCCACAGCTCAAGCTCCTGCCCATGGTGGCCTTACTGGTGCTTTCCTCCTTCCTCAGAGAATGTGCCAGAGAAGGCTGACAGGGACCAGTATGAGCTGCTCTGCCGGGACAACACCCGGAAGCCAGTGGACCAATACAAGGACTGTCACCTGGCCCATGTCCCTTCCCACGCCGTGGTGGCCCGAAGTGTGGGCGGCAAAGAGGACCAGATCTGGGAGCTTCTCAACTACGCCCAGGTGCCCCCATCCTCCCTTCCTCCTCCTGTTTAGGGGACCTGCTTGGACTGGGATCCTTTGCTGACTAACCCGCTGGCTTCCCTACAAGTCTTTGTGGGTTCGAGACCCACCTTACTCTTGCAATAGGATTATGAGAGACACGTCTGACATTTCATGAATCTGCATTTCGGCTCGGGGCATATCTTCTGTTAATTAAACCCTTGGGAAACTGCAGGGTCTCCTACCAGCTCTGAGACCCTGGAAGTCATGGAAACCTTTGCTCACAGGGTTGTTTACATTTTCTGTCTGAGGAAGCTTGTGACTCCCTGACTGTAAGGCGCAGCCCTGGCTCATTTGCAGAGTGTACTAGATTTGAAGGTAGCGGAGACATGGGGTTTGTCAGGTGCGTTAAGACAACGTGTCTCCTGACAACTGACAAAGGAAATGGAGGAGTCCTCTTACACGCTCTGGGCACGCTCCTTTGCCTGAGGAGGCAGCAGGTGTCTTGTATCCAGAGCAGCGCGAAAGCAAAATGCAAACTGACACGTGTGTGTGTGTGTGTGTGTGTGTGTGTGTGTGTGTGTGTGTGACCACACAGACCGAGCCCACTCTAAAGGCCCTTTGTCCCTGAAAGGGACAGAAAGGGAGGCCACCACTTGAAGTGCTCTGTGGCAGGGCTGGGGAGGAGAGATCTCAGGACTCCTGTGCTCTAGCTTGATGATGACAGGGCGATTCCAGATGACAGTTGGGCCTCTCTGGGTGATGAGACAGCTGGGAACATTTTCTCGATGGCCAGGGGAACACTAGGGAGGGACATGTGGTCGCCGCAGGAGCCCTGACAGTCTCCCCGTTAGGCATTCACACCCCTCCCCTTTCTGTTTTCCTCATCTGGTTTTGGGGTTCCTTCCGCCGCCAGCTTCTTTCCCTCACAGTTTCCTTTAACCTTCGAGCAGGAACATTTTGGAAAAGATAAGTCCACCGAGTTCCAGCTCTTCGGCTCTGCACTCGGGAAGGACCTACTGTTCACCAACGCTGCCCATGGGCTGCTCCGTGTGCCCCCAAGGATGGATGCCAAGATGTACATGGGCTACGAGTACATTTTCACCAATCGGCATTTACAGGGAGGTTTGTAAGGACCCGGGGGGAGGGCGCAGGCAGTGGGGTAAGGTAAGGAACACAAAAGATTTCCTGGCACCTGGGGGGGAGAGGTCTGAGGGAAGAGACTGCCCTGCCCTCACTCCCCATTTCTCCGGGATACTAATGGGCAGTGATGTGAGTGCAAGGTACACCATCTTGGCTGCTGTGAACATGGGCCTCTTGAGCAGTTGTTTGGCAGTGTGTCCCCAGAACCCTCTTGGGGCTGCCTTTGGATGCCTGATCTTCTCCATGCCCTAGGTGCAGGGCACCCCCAGGGGGTGCTGTGGTGTGCAGTGGGTGTGCACGAGAAGGCCAAGTGTGATGCGTGGAGTGCTGTGAGTGGCGGCATCCTACAGTGCTCCAGGGCGGAGACCACAGAGGACTGCATGGCCACCATTGTGGTAAGGAGAACCCCATCTCCACAGCAGGTGCTGACATGCAACCTTCCTGTCACCTTTCCTTTCAGCTGTGAGGCTGAGACACATCTCAGCCCTGACCTCCAGGCTCTATCACATTCACCCCTGGGCTCCTCCAATCAGCCAGCGTGGCAGAACACAGAGCCAGCCACAGTCTGGACTCCTTGGATGTGAGCTTTGGAGTCCAGGGGGTCTGGGAGTGGGCTGACACCCCAATGTAGGATCAGGGTCCTGTGAATACAGAAAGCAAATCAACTGTCTTAGTCCTTTCATCCTGTTTAGCTTACTTTTCTGGTAATAAAAATATTACATGCGAGAGGAAAGCGAAAAATAAGGGACCGAGAGATAGTACAGGGTCCTTGCCTGATATATGGCTGACCCCAGTCCAGTACTGATCACTGTTCATCATGAACATTTCCAAGAGTGATCCCTGAGCACTTCCAGGAGTGACCCTAAAGCCAACAAAGAAAGAAGCCTGGGAGATAGTTCAAAGTGGACAGAGCATCTGCCTTGCATGTGCGAGGCCCTCAGTTTGATCCCCCTTTCCACAGGGTCAACCTGAGACTGCTGGTAGCTCCCTACATCTCAGAGCCCAAATAACCCCGTATTGCTGGGTGAGCACTGAACAGGTTTGCCCTCTGGATCTAGTCAGGCCAGGTTTGCCCGCTGGATCTAGTATATCCAAGAGTGATCCTCGTCCCCCTGAGCACCAATGGAGAAGCCTCTATAGAAATGATAGAAAAAGAAAATCATTCACAACTTCACAACTCAGATCATCACTGTTTAATTTCTGAGTTGTGAAATTGTTTCATTAATTTTTATTTCTCTATTAACAGACAATATTTGTCGTTATAAAAGGTAAGTTCATAATGAAAGACTGAAAAAATGAAGATGTTTAAGAGATGCATCAATTTATTTTAAAAAAAACCCTAACTTGTTTAAACCTCCCTGGGACCAGCTCATAAAATTAAGCTCTTGCAATTTATATAGTTTCTAAGTCTGGCAATTATTGGGATTAAGTGAATTTGAGTGCCTGTGACATTGCCTGGCATACAGTAAGCTGTCCAGAAAGTTAACTCCTGTCATCACTAAACTACTGAGCAGAATTAGCATGCATTCTTAGGGAATGAATTATTAATTTAAAATAGATACTTAATGATTGTATAATATGTCATCAAGTCCAGTCATCACTTCACAGGGATTCTATAAACTGTGTCACTGTGTGATTTCATCTTGGCACAAATGTCATTGAGTAGAACCACACAGACTAGATGGTAAAACCTACTACACGTCAGTCTGTGATGTTACTCACAGAGGTCTCTGTTGGCTAACAATCTGTCTTTGGCCAGAGTGTTTTTAAATGATGCTTAACTATATTTCTGTCTTTGTTTATTTCTAAATACCTATAAATGAATTATTTCTAATTCCATTGCTGTTATAGATAATATGGCTTAAAGGTTTTTGTTCTGTAAGAGTCAGAATTTCTGATTTTTAAATAAAGTATAAACTTATTTGTAGTTTTACTTTCCCTTATTTCAGTTACCTGCTGTCAACCATAGGCCAAAAATATTATGTACAATGAGATATTTGGAGAAAGGGGTCACACGCCTATACATTTTTTATCATGGTATATCATTAGAGTCATTTTGTTTTATTATTATTGTTAATCTCTTACTGTGTCTTATTTATAAATTTTATTTTATTGAAGCATTCATGTGTAGTGATAAAACAGTCTCTATTTAGTTTATTACTCTCTAGGTTTCTGATATCCGCTGGAGTTCTTGGAATATATTTCCTGCTAATAAGATTGGATCGCTATAGTAGGAATGACACCTACTATTTCTGGTGCTATTTTCTATAGAACAAACATCTTTATGAGACTTTTATTTGCTTTACTTTCTTCACTCGCACAATTAGCCTATGATATATTCACCCATTTTGTAGATAAAAGTGTACATAGGACAGTTTTGAATGGTTTGTTCATTGGAGAACTCAGATTCTGCCGGCAGCATAGATAGTGGTTCCAAGCAGAAACTAAGGAATTAAAATGCCTGGTATTAAGTCTTACTGACCATATACTGGACACATTTTTTAAGTTACTCTCTGATACAATTCATAAATGTATAGAAGTGGGAGAATTGTGGCACTACATAGTGCTTGTGGGATTTTTATGAGGAATAAATACATGGGATAACCATTGTTAAATATTAGGAAAGCCCACCCACATAGAAACAGTACATATTCACTTCTATAGTTACTGTTGTTCTAAAATTTTCAGAATTCCAGTTATTGGTTCAAAAATGAAGAATATGTATATTGTTTGGGAGCTACTCCCAGTTCAGAGCTTGGGAGACCATGTGACCCTGACCTCCAGCACTCATGCATCCCAACCTTTGAGCTATCTCCCTCACTCTGTACCTATGCATTTTGATCTCAATAACCTTAACTCTGACTACATGTTTACTTTACTTCCTGTTACTAAAATTTTTTTCCTCATAATATTGAAAACAATTACTTGTGAATCACATGGAGGAATTATTTATAAAAATTTTTCCTGTGCCAGGGCTCTAGTGCCAATAGGGTTATAAGAACAGAGTTCAACTCTACCATATGAATGAAAATGTGTTTCACAGAGATCTATTAAATACCTTACTTGAATCTGAACAGGTGGATCATTGAGAGACAGTGATCACAAAGGAAAGTGTGGTGAGGAAATGTCAGAGGCAGTAGTCTTAAGGGAGGGCACATAGATATCCAAAGAGTTGGGCGTATGCTCCAGGGTCACCAGACTAAATCACAAAATCATAATCACAAATCATCTTGTTATTCGTCGATTGCCTCGAGCAGGCCTCAGTAACGTCTCTTTCATCCTAGCCCTGAGATTATATTCAAGGCTCTTTAGGAGAATGAGACCCATCACTGTTACTGGTATTTGGTATATTGGGTACGCCACGAGGAGTTTGCCAGACTCTGCCGTGTGGGCAGGCTACATTCGGTAGCCTGCCAGTTTGTCCAAAGTAGGAGTGAGATAATAAGATGTCATAATAAGATGTCCAGACTAAATATTTGTCCTGTTTTCAAAACTACATTTTGTTTTTAAGATTTTTAATCACACCTGGTTATGCTCAGGAATTACTCCTGGCTCTGCACTCAGGGATTACACCTATAAATTCTCACAGGGCCATATGGGATGCTGGGATCAAATCTGGGTAAGCTACATGCAGGCAGTTGCCCTTCATGCTGTATTATCTCTTTAGCCCCTTCGGAATAACACTTTGTGCGCAAAAGCTATGGCATGGTCCATGGTTTGGTTAACCACAGAACCATGCAACATTTGACAGGAAGCTAGAAAGGGCAGGATAACAGCCTCACTTTGTGCTATTGGTTTAACTTCAGAAAGGAGAAGCTGATGCCATGACCTTGGATGGAAGCCATCTGTACATAGCGGGCGAGTGTGGGCTGGTACCTGTGCTGGCAGAGATCTACAGTAAGTGGAGGAAGTGCCTCTTAGTTTTATTACCTTGGGGTCATGAACATAAAAGGATGAGGAGGATGGGGGTGGATGAATGCTATGCAAAGCCTGGGTTAAACCCCGGCATCACATCTCCCCTCCATCCCAGCACTGCCGGGTGTAAACCTGGTGACCCCAAGAACTGCAGTGTGTGTGATTGTACAACAAAAATAAAAGGTAGAAGAAAGATAAGGATAAAATTTAGTTCATTATTGAGATCATGGTAACTCTTAAGCCCTGCAGGGGAGCTAGTAGACCATACGTACCATTTCCCGAGAGTCAGATTTAGTTCAGATTATAGATGCAGTAGTTAGCAGAAGGAGATTAAAGGAAAACTTTCCCTTAGTGTTGTATGTTTCTTTGGAAAACAGAATAGAGGCCTCTCAGAAAATTAAACGTGAAACTCTTCAGTCCAGCAATTCTATCCCTGGACATATAGCCCAAGAACACAAGTCATTCATGTGAAAAGATATGTGTTCACCTATATTTATTGTGGGGCTACTTACAATAGCCAAGAGCTAGAAACAAACCAAATATCCAAAGACAGATAAGTAGATAATGAAGACATATATATGTATATATATATAATATATGTCTATGTAGATAGATCTATGTCTGACTCATTTCACTTAACATAACCTCCTCCACAAAGAAACTATGAGATATCTACACATAGATATCTAGATTATAAATATATAATATATATAAATCTATATATATTTTATAACATATATTATTTATATATAAATAGATAAAACTGAGATATATATCTGTATATTTATCTCTCTGTATATATCACAGTTTATTTAACATATTCTCCTCACAAAGAAACTGTGAGATATCTATATATAGATATCTAGATACATTTATATATATAGAGAGAGATAGATATCTCAGTTTCTTTATGGAGGAGGTTATGTTAAGTGAAATAAGTCAGAGGGAGAAAGATAAACACCAGATGATCTCTCTCAGATCCAGTCTATAGAGAAACAAAAGCAATGGGCAGTATCCCATGACAAACCCTTAGACTTTGGCTACGGAACTGAGGTAACTAAGAGACAGGTGAGAAAATTTCAGAGTAGAGAATGAAGAGGTGGACTTGAAGTAATATAACTGTGGTCTTTGGCACCTTGGTGGTGATGGAGGTGAAATAACTTTGTATTATTGTTAATGGGATCATAGCCATGTTACCTCAAATAAGAAAGGAATACCTTTCTCATTGAAATAGTGACACTGATGATCATGGCATAGATTTAGTCACATGGCTTATCAGACTGCCTTTAAGTCAGAGTTAAAGTCAGAGTTACTGATTAATTCAGGAGACTCTGGTCTATATTGGCTTACCCCAAAGCTGAGAGAGGAAAGACCATACTTTGTCAAAGTTGAGGAGAGCTGATCTACTTCCTCCCACTCTCATCCATAAATATTTGAGCTACACATGTCTATATTCTTTCCCCTATTTTATTCAGTTTTGTATTTGTTTTGTTATGGGACCATACCAAGCAGTTCTCAGGGCTTATTCCTGACTCTATGTTAAGGGATCACTCCTGGCAAGCTCAGTGGACCATATGGGAGACCAGAAACCAAACCCAGGTGAACTGCATGCAAGGGAAAAGCCCTCCCCACTTGTACCATCTCTCCAGCCCCATAGTTTTGTATTTTTAATTAAATTATAAAATAAAATTAAGTTTTATTTTATAATTTAATTTTTATATTTTGATATTAATCTAATTTAATGTAGAATCTTCACTTGATGGGAACCAATGACAAATCCTTGGTGTCTCTATTTTGCTCTCGACCATAGGGATAAAGAAGGGTCTGACCTGGATTGGAGTACTGTGAGATTTGAATGCTATGTCCCTTGTTTCCCTTTTTCTTTTTAGAGCCTAAAGATGGTACCGAGCAGCTTGGTTCTAACTGTGTGGATGCACCCATAGAAGGTGAGCCAGTCAATTAACACAGGGCTCAAAGATCAAAGGCCTGGTGCTGGGGTGAAGGTGAGGCCGAAACAAAAACTGAAGTTGACATAGGAGAAGGGGACACTACAGAAAATGTAGGAGAAAATCTGTGCTGAAGCAGTAATTCTATTTCCGGTTCTAGAGCGTTTCCCCCTCCCCGTTCACTTACCTTCCAGGCCTCTGGTATGTTGGCATCTGTATCCTGGGCTGTGGAGATGGGGAAAGAGAGGCTGAGGCCTGGGTCACACAGCTGGGTGTGAGGAGAGCAGCATGACTGCAAACACCAGGACAAGAAGGTCCTCACTGAGGGAGGAAACCAAACCTATTGCTTCTGGGGTGATAGGAAGCCTCACAGGAAGTTGCTCTCAGAAAGAGGAGGAGGAAAATGAAAATGACCCTTTAGTTTTTTGTTTTCCTTTAGTTGGTAATCTCACATGAGCTAGCCCTCCCCACCCCGAAAGGCCGTCACATTTCTCAGAGAAACTTAGGGTCCTACATGCTAAAGGACTTGGCTGAAGCCCCTTAGGAAGTCACTGGCAAAGTTCTCCATCTGCCACATTCACTCTCCACTTTTTTTTTCCTTTCGGGTTACACCTGGTGATGCAAGGGGTTACTCCTGGCTCTGCACTCAGGAATTACTCCTGGTGGTGCTCAGGGGACCATATGGGATGCTGGGAATTGAACTCAGCTCAGCCGCATGCAAGGCAAATGCCCTATCCGCTGTGCTATCACTCCAGCCCCTCACTCTCCCCTTTCTAAGTTTCATGGCAAAGATAAGAATGACAAACAACAAGAAAGAAATGGCAAGGATGGGGATGGTGAACCATGTTATCTCCTCCTGGAGGTTTATGGTTCTAGTCCTACCACATCTTCAGCTTTGTAGTCTGTGCCTGATTGCACAGGCTCAATTCAGTTACATGCACTGGGAGAGGAACACAGGAAATGGTGGAGTTTTATTAGAATCAGAAATAAGACAAGAGACTCCAGGACTGGAGCCATAGTACAGCAGGGAGGGTGTTTCCCTTGCCCGCGGCTGACCCAGATTCAATCCCCAGCATTTCATATGAGCACTACCAGGAGAAATTCCTGAGTGAAGAGCCAGGAGTAACCCCTGAGCATCACAGGGTGTGATCCCACCAAAAAAAACAAATAAATAAATAAATAAATAAATAAATAAAAGAGACTCCACTCCACCAAAGTGAGGTCCATTTTGTGAAGTAAAATTAATTTTAAAGGAGAATTTGTGGGGCTGGAGCACAGCGGGTAGGGCGTTTGCCTTGCACGAAGCCAACCCAGGTTCGATTCCCAGCATCCCATATGGTCCCCCGAGCAACACCAGGAGTGATTCCTGAGTGCAGAGCCAGGAATAACCCCTGAGCATCTCCAGGTCTGACCCAAAAAGCAAAATAAATAAATAAATAAATATAATAAAAGAGAATTTGTTGGTTCTGTGTGTTTTATATATCAGGAAAGAAATATTAAGTATTATTAGTAGAAAGTTATATTATAAGCCAGTAAAATCAGAAAATCCAGGAAATCTCTTCTTTTAGACTTTTATACAACAGAAGTCCATAAGCAGGTGCATTCATAAGTGAAAAGATATTTATACATGTATACTTATAAGTGGGTTGCAGTGGCAGGAAAGAGGTGATGATGTACCTGCCCACTAGGAGAGGGGTTACAAAATATAGAGTGTTCCACGCTGCAGAACATAGTGTAGATTTGACCAATCAATAGAATGAGATAATCCTTTTCTGTTGAATCGAAATAGGTCCATGATCTATCACTGAGGTAGAATAAAGTGACAGAAAGGAAAATGTAGCGGGATTTCACCAAGAGAGTGTGAAGTGTGTGTGTGTGTGTGTGTGTGTGTGTGTACGCATGTGCGTGCATTTGCACATATATCTGTATGTACGTAGACATACCTAAGGACACTAATCTGGCTCATACCCACTGAGCATTAGCGAAGGCTTTTCTGCATCTGCTCCCCCAGGAGAGGCCCAGGTGGACAGACAGGGCTAGTGATGGCGGCTTGTGATACGATATTTTGAGGAGGGATTAATATTGTGTCTTGGTGTCTGTGTTGCAAGGTTATTATGCTGTGGCAGTGGTTAAGAAAGACTCTGACCTCACCTGGGACTCTCTTCGAGGCAAGAAATCCTGTCACTCCGCGGTCGGCACTTCTGCAGGCTGGACCATCCCTATGGGCTTAATATACAACCAGACAGGTTCTTGTCAGCTTGGTAAGTATGTTCTGGGAGGTGGAGCTGCAGCCCCTTCCTTGGGAGAGAGGAAAGCAAAGTGGGGCTGAAAGCCCAGCAGCCCCAAAACCTGCACACTCTACTCTTCACTTTTTTTTTTTTAATTTTTTGGCTTTTTGGATCACACCCAGTATTACTCAGAGGTTACAACCTGGCTCTGCACTCAGGAATTACTTCTGGAAGTGCTTGGGGGGACCATATAGGATGCCAGGATCAAACCTGGGTTGGCCGCGTGCAATCAGGAATTACTTCTGGAAGTGCTCGGGGAACCATATGGGATGCTGGGGATCGAACCTGGGTTGGCCTCGTGCAAGGCAAACGCCCTCCCTGCTGTACTATCACTGACCCCTTCCCATCGCTTTCATCTCTTTTAGAGCCCTACGGTAATCATTCAGTGACTCTTATGTTCTCAGCAGCTAAAAAAACCTCCTGCTCGCCTGTTTTCATCAGCCACCTGACAAATTCCTCCCCTGCACCAACCCACTCTTTATTCAGCACCTGAGCATGCTGCACCTGATTTTAGCTGCAGAATGTTCTGGAAGAATGGCTCATGCCTTCCAGTTGCTCAGCTGTTTGCTTCAGAGGGGTCCTGGCATTTATGAGCGCCCCCCCTCCCCCACTGTTTCTCTGCTTCACACCTGCTGCTTCCCATAATTCTCAGTGTCCTAATTGTCCACACGTCTGCATTCCCCACATTCTCGGCAGTGCTCTCACAGGATCTGTGTGAGACAACTGTGCCATCAGAACAGCTCCCCCTCACACCCTTCTTGCAGAAGTGGTGGGCTCCTGATGCTGCAGCTGCTCTGCACCCCAGTCCATGCCCCCACCTGTACCTGAGCACAATCTTCTCCTGCTCCCCTCCTCAGAGCCCTAGAAAATCCCTCCACTGCTTTTCTTTCTTGTTAGAGTCACTAATTTTTTTCACCACTTAAGAATTTTTTTTTGGCTTTTTGGGTCACACCTGGTGATGCACAGGGGTTCACTCCTGGCTTTGCACTTAGGAATTACTCCTGGTGGTGCTCAGGGGACCATATGGAATGCTGGGAAAATCGAGCCCAGGTCACCGCATGCAAGGCAGACGTCCTACCCGCTATGCTGTCACTCCAGTCCAACCACTTATATGTTTTTCATCCCTAAAAACCCTATTTTTCCCAAGTTCTCCTCCAGCCCCAGCCATCTCCCCACCCTTCTTGCCAGATCACCTACCCCCTCCTCTGGCTTCTCTCATCCTTGTGCAGGAAGATTCTGGTTAACACATCATCCAGTTTGCTTGCTGGGAACTGAGCAACATCCAGTTTGCTCAATTCTGCAATTGTTCCACCATGATTTCTCAGCAGCATTTCTTCAAATCACTTTAAACACCAACTACTAACTTTCTTAAAGATCTACAAGGATTTTTTCCCTTTCCGTTCCTTTTCTTTTTTACATAAGCAACGTCAGCCTTTTCCAACCCTGGTTAACAAATGTTCTAGTAGCTTAAAGCAGCTCCCCGCCCCCCGCCGCCCCCACTCACCCTAAACTCAGTCTCTCCATGCTCTCGTTCATACCTGCAGTCTCAATTCCCATATAACACACAAAGAGGTAGGCTTGTTGATATAAAAGTTATAAATGATGGGAATGTTTGCTGCGTTAAACGTTATTAATTTGTGTCAATTTAATTGATAACATTTTTCTCCCTGACGCAAGTCTCACCCTGACCTCTAAACCTGTGATTAATTGATATTATCTAATTGATATCTCAAAAGCACATTAATTTTCGCTTGTGCAAAATGGGGTCTCACTCTGCTTAGCCTCGTCGTGCCAGAGAGGAGCTTCCCCGGCACCCTTCACACCTCCACGCGCCATGTGGGTGTCCATTTCCCCTGCTTCCAAATCTCCCTCCCACTGTCCAGCTTGCCTGAACTCCATCCCGCCTGCTGCCAGACTGTCTCAGGTCCCTGGGATTAGAGTCCTTCAGAGCTTCCCCTTCTCTAGTACTAAAGAACAATCAAGCTTACAAATGTGCCTGTCAGGATGGCAGGCTGGGGAGCAGTGATGAGAGGGAACCTGGGAACTATGGTGGAGGGGAGTTCACTCTGGCAGATGGGTGCTAGAACATGTCTAAAGCTCACTATGAATAACTTTGTAAGTCATGGGGCTTTAAAAAATAAAACTTAAAAATATTTTAAAAAGAATAAAATTGAGGTTGGAGTGATAGTACAGAGGGTAGAGTGTTTGCCTTTCATCAGCCAACCTGGGTTCCATCCCTGGCATTCCCATATGGTGCCCCCAGCACAACCAGGAGTGATTCCTGAGTGCAGAGCCAGGAGTATCACTGGGCATCACTGAACATGACCCAAACAAACAAACAAAAAGAATAAAATCTACTCTGAGGTGTGAAAGGACACATGTGCACATGTGTGTTGTATTTTGTCCCCTCCCCATTCACTCTTGCCCTGAGTGGGGGGAGGTGCCTTTGACCTCCACCTCCGCACCTCATCCCCAGGTCTTGCCCGGTCTAGAAAGCTCTTCTCTCCTCCCTTCGTGGGTACCTTCTTCATCTTTCCCCTGGAGGCCTCTTTCTGATTCTCAGGCCAGCTCTGAATTCCATCATATATGGGATTTTTGTGTCCTTGAAATATCAGGTGATCTTAGCATCTCTTTATTCCACTCATTTTTAGTTAGTAATATGGTACTAAATTTCTGGATGTGTCTTGACCTCATTTAGGAATTCCAGGGACAAGATATGAGGTTGTCTTGCCACCCAAAGCAGGGCGAGCTGACTGTTCCCTCCCGCTTCCTCCTGCACAGATCAGTTCTTCAGTCAAAGCTGTGTCCCCGGGTCCGACCCACACTCTAGCCTCTGTGCTCTGTGCAGTGGTGGCCAGGAAGCAGCCCACAAGTGTGCTCCCAACAGCCTCGAGGCATATTTCGGCTCCAGTGGAGCATTGAGGTGAGTGATGTCCTTGGGCCCCAGCCTGGTGAATGGTCCTTTGGTTGTTATCACCATCCTGGCACTGAGGAGCAAGAATTAGAAAACAGAACTGTGCGTCCCTGGTGTCCACAGAACTGAAGCTTAGCTGCCCAGCGAGGGAACCCTGGAGAGGCCAGAATGATGACCGCTGGTTACAACCCTGGGTCCATTTTTACTCCTTTTATTTTTGGTTTTACAGTATGATCAAGAGTTAACATGCCCTTTTTGATACTGAATAGCATGGCTCATGAGTCTAGAAATTGGCTGAGGCTCTGGGGTTCCTTGAGGTGATACCACCAAGGCATTATAGCACTTCAGAGGCAAATGCATGGGATTAGGTCTGAAGGCCATGGCCCAGGGGCTAACCTGAGTTCTGTGGTTTTTGATCCTTTGCTCCCCAGTGTTACTGTGGATAGGAGATAGAATCCCTCTGAGAAAAAAAACCAAAGGAGGGAACACACTTATACAAATGTTAAAATCAGATGTGCCTGGGGTCTCCCATGTGTTTATTGAGTATGCAGCAGGCACTGTTATAGATGGGAGGTAATAGCAAAAAATCTCTGTATCTGTTTCTGTCTCTCTCTCACACACACACACAAACACACCCTGCTGCCATCATCCAAGTCTCCTGGGGACAGAAGGACAATAAACATTAAAAAAAAACCCGCAAGTCTCAGCTGTTATAGGAGCCATAGAAACCAAGGGAATCACAGGGTAGTGACTTGGGTAGGGGACAGTTATGGAAAAGGTGGTCAAGTGAGGCCTTCGTGGCACAGGAGTCATGTGAATTAAGGATTACCAAGTGAGAGGGAACCTGATCTAGAGAAAATCTAGAGGGGGAGTAACCCAAGAAGAAACAGTAAGGGCCAACATATGGGTAGGTATAAATCAGATGTGTTTTCAGCCAGAGAAGGTTTCAGGGAAAAGTCTGGGAGGTGAAAGGCCCATGTGTGTGAAGAAATTGAACATCAGGCATTGGCAGGTCTCAGCACCCACATGCCTGGCTAAGGAAGCAGACTTAATTCTAAGTATGATAACATTGAGACAGTGGACATGTTGTATGAATTGAGGTAGTATGTACATGTTGTATGAATTGAGGTAGTACAGAATTTTGGATTCTCTTTTTTTGGGGGGGGGCATCACACCTGGCAATGCACAGGGGATACTCCTGGTTCTGCACTCAGGAATTACCCCTGGCGGTGCTCAGGGAACCATATGGGATGTTGGGAATCAAACCCGGGTCTGCCGCATGCAAGGCAAACACCCTACCCGCTGTGTTATCACTCCAGCCCCGAATTTTGGAGACTCTTGAGAGAACCTGGTCATACTGCCAGCCTGTTCTGTCCTGCCTGCCCTAAAGCTTTGTCTCATAAGTACAGATGCGTTACATATATTCATCAATCCCAATACAACAATATTTGCTGAACTTAAAAGTTTCATTTGGCTAGGGGAGGTGGGGCAGGAAGGATCCACCACTAATGAGCCAACTCATTAGTTGGAGGGTCAATGCAAAGGCCCAGGAAAATGCTGCTGCTTTGGTCCCACAGGACCAAAAGTAGTGGTAGTAGTGCTCAGTGAAGCTTGGGGAACCAGCAGCTACTGGGAATTGAACCTGGGTTGGGTGTATTGTATTCTAGGCAAGCACCCTAAATGCCGTATGCTCTTCAGGCCCCTCAATAAAATTTTTATTATTATTTTTAATTGAATTACAGTGAGATACAGAGTTACAAAGTTGTTCATGATTGGGTTGATTTTTTTAAAGTAAGGAAGTATGCTAGTGTTAGGGTTAATGATCCAATTGTGATACTATCAAGATAGTCTATAGGATCTAGGATTGTCAGATGAATCCTTTCCCCTCTTTCCAAAATAAAAATGAACAAGCAAAGAGCAATCTTAAGGCTTGAATGTCTCAGTCCCCCGTTGCTCCTGCCTGCCTTTTCTCTCCAGGTTTCCAGAGTTCATTCTGACCTGTGATCCATTCATTCAGTCACCACTTCCCTGTTCTCCTTTCTTTATTTCCTTTATACCACTATACTTTCTACATTCCGCGACCAGCTCTGATCATTCCCTAGCCATATCAACAAATATCTGTATCTCCACATTCCCACTCCATGGTAGCTGCACAAACTAGGCTGAGTGGCCTCTCTTTAAAGTGAAGAGACCCTTGAGGCTGGAGTATAGCAGTAGGGTGCTTGTCTTGCGTGAGGCCAACCTGGCTTCGATCCTCAGCAATTTTTATGGTCCCTGAGCATCTCCAGGAGTAACTCCTGAGCATCGCTGGGTGTTGTCCCCATCTAAGCGCCCCCGCAATAAACAAAAAGTAAGACTCAGTTCAAATGAGCCATCTGTCTATTGTCTGTCCATCACCCCACTCTCATAGAGGGCAATTCCACGCATTCTCATCTCCTCATTGGCCAGCGTTTCTTCCTCAATCTATCCTATGCTATCTCACATGGCAAAATCAGAACAATAAAAAAGAGCAACTCCCTAGAATCCCATTCTGGTACTCCTGTGCCATCATCTGTGCCCAGAGATGCTGCCTCCCTCCCCTTCCCCAGGGTGACCTAGCTCAGTTCTGTCCACAACTACTAGATCATTTCCATCAGTGTACCAATGTGCTGCTGTTTCTTTATCTTAAATGTAATGACACAAACAAAGTCTCTTGACCTCACTTAACTCCCCAGTCTCTGCTCATCTCTCTCTACAACTAAATTCCTTGAAGCGTCTAAAAAGGATTTCTCACTCCAACTTTTCTCCTTTTTTGCTTTTCAACCCAGTTTAATAATTTGTTCCCCTCCCCTGCCTCCCAAACCCCTGTTCAGGGATCTATCAATTTTATTGGCTCATTAAAAAAAAAACTCTCTTAGCTTCACTAATCTTTTCTATCATCTTTGTTTCTATTTCACTACTTCCACTCTAATTTTTATTCATTTTAAATTTTGTTTTGGTTTTGGGGCCACAACTGGGGATGCTCAGAGATTACTCCTGGCTCTGCACTCAGGAATCACTCCGGGCAGGGCTTGGGGAACCACGTGGGATGCCAGAGGCCAAACATGGTTGCATATAAAGTCAGTGCCCTACCTGCTGTACTATTTATCCTGCCTAAGTCTCTAATTTTTATTAATTCTTCTTTCTGTTGACATTTTTGTTGTTATTTTGGGCTATAACTGGCAATGATAAGGGGTTACTAATGGCTCTGCACTCAGGAATCACCCTCAGCGGTGCTCAGGGGACCATATGGGATGCAGAGTATCAAACCCGGGTTGGTGGTGTGCAAGGAAAATGCCCTCCTCGCTCTGACTCTACTGACTCTTGGATTCTTGGTTCTTTTTGTCTTCCCTTTTTTAGTTCCTTCAATTGTCAAGTCAGATTATTTACTTCAAGCTTTATATTTTTTGATGTGGGCTTGTATTGGTTTGGGTTTTCCTTTTGTAATTGATTTTGCCATATATATATATTTCCTTATTATTATTCAGGCAGCCTTTTATTTCTTCAGTGAGGAAATGTTATCTATTCTCCATATAACCAATATCTTTTTAACTTTTTTCCAATTGTTGAGTTTTAGCCTCAGACCTTTGAACTTCCATGACTTTCAGATTGGTTTCTTCCCACTAGAAACATTATTTTTCCTCACTCCCTGTAATCTTTGGGCACATTCTTTGTTTTCCCACCAGGCGGCGCTGTAGCTCATGGTTTGAAGATCTGTTTTGTTTTTCAGGCTCCCGGGTCTCTTGGGTGTTTGCTTTCCTCTCTGCCCTGTGTGGGGAGGACTAGCTTGGTTGGGAAATCCTTTGATGGTCTGTTTCCACCCGTGACCAAACCCATTCTCTGAGCTTCATAGAATTTCTCTCTGGGCTCAGCCAAGATATCTAACTAGTTGCCTTTGGTAGTGTACTCTGGTACACTACCAAATCTGTCGGGATTCCCAGTGAAGTGGGGGAGATCTTTGTTCAGCCTTGCCTGATCTTTGGCTTCTTGCAGCCCAAGTCTCTGCTGCTTGCAGAAATTTATGGGTGCGTGTGGCATGGAGGTCGGGAAGGGGTGCTCTCTATAATACTCTTTGCTGTGGCTTTGGAAGCCACAAGTCCACCGTCGCAGCCCCAGGGATCCCTCAAGGAGGCTTCATGTTCCTGGTTTCCAGCATCCCTTGCTTGGATGTCAGTCATTGTCAGGGATTCCCCTCTCCTGAGATTTCGTGGGGGCCAAGTACTGCTGGATCTGGGAAGGGGCCCCTCCTACACTACCAGCTGAAGTCAGGAGCATTCAGAAGCAGGTCAAGTGAATCTCTCCCTCCTCAGGGTATCCCCGGTCCTGAGCATTGGCTGTCCCCTCAGTTCTGCTTTATCTGCTGCTTTATCTTCTAGTCCTACTGAGTCAGGTCCAACCTCCCTCTCTCTTTTCATCCATATTTTAAAAAGCAGGTGCTTAGACCAGGAGATAAATTAGATTTAGCTGGTGATAAATTGCTGCATGTTTGATTCTGGTTTTTTGTTTGGATGTTTTTTGTGTCATTCCTGGCAGTGCTCAAGGCTTCCTCCTGGTTCTGCATTCAGAGATCATTCCTGGCAGACTCAGGGAACCATATGGGGTGCCAGGGATCATGCAAAGCAAGTGTCCGCTTCACTGTACTGTCTTATCACCCTCCTTTAAAGAGAGTTATTTGGGGTTGTAGAGATAACACAGAGATTACGGTACTTGCATTGCATGCTGTGGATGCAATGCACATCCACAATGGTGCCAGTTTTTTTTTTTTTTGCTTTTTGGGTCACACTCGGCAATGCACAGGAGTTACTCCTGGCTCTGCGCTCAGGAATTATCCATGGCGGTGCTCAGGGGACCATATGGGATGCTGGGAATCGAACCCGGGTTGGCCGTGTGCAAGGCAAACATCCTACCTGCTGTGCTATTGCTCCAGCCCCGGTGCCAGTTTTGATCCCTGGCACCACATGGTCGCCAGAGCACTGCCAGGAAGTAACCCCTGAGCATAGAGCCTGCGGTAGCCCCTGAATAAACTTCTAAATAAAACCTCTCCAAAGACTCCCCCATGAAATTAAAAAAAAAAACCGTTAAGGGGGATTTTTCCTACCCAAGCCTATTTCTCCATGTTTGTGGTGGTGCTGTGCAGTCTCAAACCATCTGTAGGCGGACGGTCCCCAAATTTATGTGCCCATTCAAATGGGCCTATTCTCTGTTGTTCACCCCACTGGGGCTTTCTGGGGATCAGGGTAGGTGTTACTCTTTTCCTTCCCCGACCCTAATCCAAGAACAGGAGGCAGAGCTTGTGTAATGTGAGGGGTGAGAGGTCACACTGGCTGTGTGACTACACAGTTCAGGGTAAAAGCAACAAGTGGCTTTATGGGCGTGGAGCGTGGCTATGGATCCAGAGGTTGAATGAGATCAGAGGTAAGAGGTGTGAATGTGGGTCTGCTGAGAGGCAGCCGTTAGGCCTGGAAGCTGCTGGGACTCAGGCAGAAGCGGGTGGGTCCTCGTCCACCAGAGTGGCCCTGAAGATGTCTGCGGGGAGGTTAGCTTTGTCTGGAAGGTGAATGAGTGAGCAGAGGCTCCAAGATGTGTCTGCGTGGCTGTGGGATGGAGCCCAGGCATTCCATTCTTGCTGTTTCCTTTAGCACTTACCACTTGGTCCATATTATGCATTTATTTCATCTGTTTGATTGATACATCTTCTCTTCAATCAATGAATAAGAATTCCTTTGCTGCAAGTGAAAAAAATTATGTGGTATATTTATATAACTTCTGTGATATATTTTTTAATAAAAAGGATATTTTAGCAAATGCTGTCTCTCTTGAGCGCCTTTCTTGTAAGCACGGAAACAGCCAAGATACCCCGAGGCAAGATAAGATGCAGGACATCCAGTTAAATTAGAATTGTAAATAAACAGTAAAGGGATGCTCATTTGAAGAGGATGCTCTCTCTTACTCTACAGATCGGCATCATTTGTCTCTGTTTTGACAGGATAGTTTTCTCTCTCACTGAATTTTATGGAGGAAAATTATGACCAGCATTTCCAGCATTGTCACAACTCCTATTATAAAAGGGTTGTCAAACTCAGACCATAATGTATAAGTCCCAATTCCTCGGAAATGAGATTATCAACCCAGTTCATTGAAAACTTTCTGCTCACATAACTCATGCAGTGAAGCTAGTTATAAAGTTATAGTTGCTTCCACTGGTGCCAGGAGGACTGTAAGGAAAAGTGGGGAAGAGAAGACCGTTCTTTAAAATAATCAGTGCTAGGGAGACCAAGAGACAGCCATGCATTCTAAATGAAGTTATACAAAGGAATGTTTGCTTTCCGAGACACAGAAATCACATTACAGTGAAACATAATGCTGTGATCAGAACAGTCAGATTTATGTGCAAGAATTACAGATAGATCAATGGAAGATAATCCATTTCCAAAACAGATCGATGGGTGTATTTTATCTGATCTATGACAGGTGACATATCAAATCAGAGGGGAAGAACGAAGTGGAGAGAGCAAATGAAGATGTTCAGGGAACTGGCTTCTTGAGGGGGTGTTGCTGGAAATGTCTTCAGTTGTCAGTAAATCTTCAGAACAGTGAGTCAGGCCTGCGGGCAGGGGTCAAGAATATAGTACACAGGTTGCAGATGACCAGTGTGTGATTCCTGTAGGTGTCAGGATGAATGGGAAGAAGGCCCGTCAGCTGAGATGGGGGAAGGGGAAATTAAGGCTAGGATTAGTGAGCTTTTTAAAAAGACATCTGAGTGCTAAGGAAAAGAACCCAATGAGCAGGGAGATTCCCATTACATAAGAGAAAGAAGACCACTTTGGTGTGTGGAGCTTCCCTATAGGCACTGGAGCAGATAAGACGCGACCATGCAAGGCTGCCTAGAAGGGAGGCTCTGCAGAAGGAAGTATTGGGGTAAATTGGCAAAACATGATGTCAGCACCAGGTATACAGCCTTGAGCCTCATTCGATCACCTAGTCACGTAAGTCCAAGACACAGAAACTGTTACATATGCTTAGTAAATCATCCTAACCACAGCATCCAGCCTTAACTGGGATTGGACCAGGGCAAAGCAGAGTAAGAAAGGTCATAGGCCAATAGTGCTAAACTTTATGTGATTGGATCTTCCTGTAAAGCTGAGATCCTCTATAAAAATGTGTATTTGGCAATAAGGTGAACAATCACTGGCTGCTCCCAGAGAATGTTTTCTCCGTCCACCCGTCATTCTTCACCCTACATCTGCCCAGAGCCGGTGCGCAATGTGTCTGGGCATCGCTGGGGAAAACTGTCCCCCAACATTAGTGGAAAGTGTCTCGAGAATGGGAGGGGATGCTTTTCTGAGCCCCCAGAGGACACTTTTCCATCCCTGTGTCTGCCAGGCAGGACAAGCTCCAGGGCTCCAAGGGAGCTCTGGAAATGTGGCCTGGCAGCTTTGACAAAGGGATGAGAGGTCTTGAGAGAAGGCCGATATACTGATTTCTGTTTCCTCTCGGAAGTTGGAGCGCATGTCAGAGTAGATGGGTGTCCGGCAACAGGTATGTATACATGCCGGTTTGCAGGAACTCCACATTTTAGTCACTGGATGGGGAGGTGACTGTCCAGCAATGGTTTATACCTCAGAATAAATCAGAATGTCCTGGAGAGCTTATTCAAACACAGATCATGGGGCCAGAGAAGATAGGTAAGAGACAGCTCCATAGGTTGGACTCATACTTTGTATGTAGAAGGCTTGGGTTTGATCACTGGCACTACCTGGTCCCTTGAGCACTGCCATGAACAACTCCCGAGCAGACAGAGTCCAGGAAGTCCCTGAGCATCAATGGATGAGCAGCAACTTCCCCATAAAACCCAAACACACACCACCACCACCACCACCACCACCACCACCACCAACAACAACAACAACAACAATAAAAACACAAGTCACTTGACCCCATCCAGAAGTTTCAGAAATGATAGGTTTGTGGAGAAGCTCAAGAATATGCATTTATGACCAATTTCTGAAGTGTCTCATCCTTCGCTTGTAGAACACTGGTCTTGAGCAGAAGGCAGGGAGGCTGTGTCTGAGGCTCAGAATCACAAGGGTCTGGGTTCCGTGTCACTGGGAGACGTAGGAACACCCAAGGCAGATAAGCTGCTCCCTCAGGCCTAGGAGTGTGCCAAGGGCCTGCAGGGGGAAAGAGAGAAGAAATAGGGCAAAGAGGCATAGAAGACTTAGGTGGGAATAACTGACCATTGAGTCAGTTATGGGGGCATATGGGGACCTGGAGATAGGAGAGTGGAGGCAGAAGAGTGGCATCTGGAAATTAATTGTCCATATCAACTGCTAACTGACAGGGCATCATCAAACCAATCTGTAACAGATTCAGTGGTTCTCAGAGAGAGGGGATCTTGAACACAGACTGGGGACAAGCATAAATAAATCAGTGTGTCATGAGGGCTCTGGACTTATTAAGACTAAATGTGATCAGATTCCTTCAAAATCCTGTCCTGCATGTTGATGTTAGTCTCGAATGTGACTTTTGCTCCAACCAGAGAGTCATCCTTGAATATCCTGTTAATAAGAGAATACTGACATTGTCAGCGGAGAAACCAATGTATGAAAGAAAACCAAACAACGGTTATCTGTGAAAGAAAAAAAAAACAAGCTGATTTCTTTTTCTGTCACATTCTCCACCCCACCCCTGTCCCCCACTGTGAGGCCTAGCTCAGCCATGCTGGTTGCACGCATAGAGGTGGGTTGGGGGTGGGAAGTGAGCCTCCCAGAATTCCCCCTGGTGGTCTCTCTCCCTCATGCCCATCCTCGCTAACCTGAGCTTCCCTCCGCAGGTGTCTGGTTGAGAAAGGAGATGTGGCCTTTGTGAAGCATTCGGCTGTCCTGCAGAACACCGGGGGTATGTGTCAGACTCCCTTCCCTCCCTCAGGGAAGCCCGACTCTCTCAGGAAGCCACTCCCCATTGGGCAACTGGGGAAGTTTATTGACCCTCCTAGAGTCACCTCAGGGTGATTTAGGTCCTAACCTTTTCAGTTTAGGAATGAGAATATCCTCCATGTCTGGCTGACCCCTTGAGGCTGGCTATCGCGTTGGCCTTGAACAGGCAAACACAGCCGGGTCACAGTCCAAGGTGTTCTGCACACAGGTGTTTGTCAATGAAACGCTTCCTAAGTATTTCGTCCCTCTCTGTCCCTGAGTAATGTCTTTTTTTTTCTTTTTGGGTCACACCTGGAGATGCAAAGGGTTTACTCCTGGCTCTGCACTCAGGAATTACTCCTGGTGGTGCTCAGGGGACCATATGGGATGCTGGGAATCGAACCTGGGTTGGCCGCGTGCAAGGCAAACGCCCTACCCGCTGTGCTACTGCTCCAGCCCCTTAGTAATGTCTTTTAATGAACCGTTTTAAATTCACGCTAGTTCTATGCAGCCGCTCGACTTCATATGTTATTCATAACCAGCAATAGAAAACAAATTGTGTACGGTTGCCTTTTTAACAGATCTGAGTGTTGGGGTAAAATCCCAGTGGTGGGTCTGGTGTCAAAATATTGAATGTAATCAAAGTAGAGCGAGAGTAATGTGGAAATCATCTGCCCCCAAAGGTAGGGGGAGGATGTGGGATGGGGGGTATACTGGGGTTTTTGGTGGTAGAAAATAGGCACTGGCGAAGGGACAGGTGTTTCATCATTGTATGACTGAGACTTAAACCCGAAAGCTTTGTAACTGCTCTCATGGTGATTCAATAAATAAATTTATAAAAAGAAAAAAAGAAAAAACACAAAAAAGAAAGGTGGAGTTCATGCCCAATTCAATCAGCCTAATCAATGGCTGAATAACTAGCAAAACTCCTATGTTAAAATAAAAATAAATAAATAAATAAAATTCAAGCTAGTTCTTTTGATCAAGCTTTGCTTTTCTGCTTAAGTGCTTTTTCAGTTCTTTTAAAGAATTCTGTCTCTTTAGCAGGGCTGAAAAAGAGCACTAACCAGAAAGGTTACAAATGTATGGCTTTAGGGGTGGTTTTCTTGTATTTAAAAAGCCTCATTGCATTGTTTCTCTGTGTGTCTCTCCTCAGGAAGGAACATTGAACCCTGGGCGAAGGGTCTGAAGCAGGAAGATTTTCAGTTACTGTGCCTCGATGGCACCAGGAAGCCAGTGACTGAGCCTGAGAGTTGCCACCTTGCCATCGTCCCCAACCATGCCGTGGTCTCAAGGAAAGATAAGGTGGATCTTGTTCGCAGAATGCTCTTCAACCAGCAGGTACGCACACGGCCCACCTGTCACTTCTTCCCCCAGCCAGCCTCACCTTTCGTCCTTGGCAGTGGAACCCTGCTCTGATGACAGCAAACCTATGTTCCCTTCTTGCTCTTGCTCTGTCTTCAAGGGGTCAGGGAAAGCCTCAGACATACGGGCACCTAAAGGGCCCCTAGGTCCACTGGAGTGTGAGCACAGTCATGGCGCCCCTGGGGCCTATTCCATTTCAGAACTAAGGGTAGACACACTATGCCCTTCACAGAATTAGCCACACAAGAGGAAAGCTGAACAGATACGGGCCGAGACTATCTGACTAATGTGGTGTTTGAACCTGGGAGGCTGAACACTGTCGCTGGCTTCTTAAAAGCTAATGACCCTCATGTTTGGTCTATAGTCTACTTTCAGCATGCTTCTCCCATCCTGGGAGGATCCTCCCAACACCCTGTATTTGGTGTTCCCTTGATGGGGGATGGGAGGGATACTGGGATCTGTGGTGGTGGGAAATGGGCACTGGTGGAGGGATGGGTATTTGATCATTGTATTATTGAAACCCAAGCACAAAAATTTGTAAGTCTACAACTGTACCTCATGATGTCTCACTAATAAAAATTAAAAAAAAAAAAAGCTAATGACCCAACCTTCAGAAATCTTCCGGTTCCTCCAGGCATGCAGGCAGCCAACAAGCAAGGATCTTATGGTATAGTGGGCTGCCTGAATCACACAGCACTTAGAGAAACCAGGGCCTCCCCTGCCCCTTGCATGAGCACAGCCCGTTTGTGGAGATGCCCCAAAGGAGTAATCCACGCCTAGCAGATGCTGACCTCACAGACTCTTGGAGCGCCATGGGCTGGCAAGACCAAGGGCTCTAGCTCAGAGACTTCTGAATGGATGGGTCCCTCGTAGGGTGAACTTGCCCCTTTGGCCCCAAGGAAAGCAAACAAAAAAGGTCACTGGTGGAGGGATGGGTATTCAAAATTAATTAATTAATTAATAAAAATTAAAAAAAAAAAGGAGACAGCAATGCGTGATCTCAGGTCAGATCCAGAGGCAAAAAGAGACAACAGAGAAAGTGCTCAGGGCAGCAGGAAGACGTGGACATATGACAGGAAATTTGAGGTGCAAGCATGGAACATTTTCTTTAGTAGTCGCTTTAAGTACACCACCTCACTAGTTATCACTATTTAGCATATCTGCATTTACAAGCAGAGCGGAGATGGCACTGAATTCAGTAAGAATTTTCCTTTGTTCCCATTTTGTTTTCCAATGTCATTGAATCATTGAAGATACCTCAAGATTCAATGCCATGGAGTGTTCTACCTATGTTTTCCTCAATATAGCCTATGGATTTAGGTCTGATAATTGAGGTATTTGATCCATTTTGATTTGACTTCTGTGCATGATATAGGAAGGGGTATGAATTTTTTTTTTTTTTTGCATGTGACTGACCAGTTTTCTCAACACCATTTGTTGAAGAGGCTTTCCCTGCTCCACTTCATACTTTTTGCTTCTTTGTCAAAAATTAACTGTCCGAGGCTCTGTCTCTGGCCGCTCAATTCTATTCCATTGTTCCCAGAGACTCCCTATTCCAATAGTTTTTTCTTTTTTAGCTCTTAATGAAGAGGATTTATTAGACAGAATGAAGCCTAATATTTACTGTTTCCTTTTTTTATTTTTATTATTTTTGCTTTTTGGGTCACACCCAGCAATGCACAGGGGTTACTCCTGGCTCTGTGCTCAGGAATTACCCCTGGCGGTGCTCAGGGGACCATATGGGATGCAGGGAATCAAACCGGGTTTGCCGCATGCAAGGCAAACGCCCTACCCGCTGTGCTATTGCTCCAGCCCCACTGTTTCCTTTTTGACCCTTCCAAAGCTGTTCATGATTGGATCTCAGTCATACAGTGTTCCAACACCCATCCCTCCACCAGTGTACATTTCCCAGCACCAGTGTCCTCAGGTTCCCTCCCAGCACCCTCCATTCCCCACCCCCCTGCCTGCCTCTGTGGCAGGCACTCTCTCTCTCTGTCTCTCTCTCTCTCCCTCTCTCTCTCCCCCCCACTCTTTCCCCCTCTCTCTCCCCCTCTCTCTCTCCTTTTGGGCATTGTGGTTTGCAATATCCAATACAGTTTTGATTACTACAGTTTTGTAGTATTACTTTAAATGGGGGAAAGAAAAGCCTCCTATCTTCTTTTTCCCCTAGTATGCCTTTGGCTATCATGGGGGTTGTATTACTTCATATAAATTTCAATAGCATTAGATCTATATCTTTTCAAAATGGCATTGTTATTTTTATAGGGACTGCATTAAACCTGTGTAATGCTTTGGGCAAAATTGCCACATGATAAAGAAAAACTAGCATGAGGATATGAACCCAGAGGTCATCCTTTTTGCCTTTGGACTCCAAATTCTCCTGTATGGTTGTTGTGTCTTGGGTTTCCCAGGGGTTGAACTCACCCAAACCTATTCTCTCTGGTGCTGGTTGGTCACTCGCTCTGTCTTCCTGATCCAGGAACTCTTTGGAAGAAATGGGTTTGAATACATGATGTTTCAGCTGTTCAGATCTTCAGTGGGGAATGACTTGCTCTTCAGTGATGACACAGAATGCTTGGCTAATCTTCAGAACAAAACAACTTATCAAAAATATTTAGGGCCAGAGTTTCTTGCGACTGTTGATCACATGCGACCATGCTTAACCTCTGGTGAGTAGAATCAAACAGAGAGGGCCAATGACAGGTAAAGCAAGAACACTTGTTTTTTGAATCTTTTTATGCTGCAGCCTGGCCCAGTAGCCCCATAGGGAATTCAGACTTACCGGTGAGATGACTCAGATAGACAACAGTATAAGAAACTACATACAACAAGGCCAGATTGTCTGAAGGAGACAGAGAGTGTAACAGAATGTGAGCTCATGTGGGAACTGAGTTTGAATTAAGGAACTTTTTCTATGCCACAGCCTGGCCCAGTAGCCCAGTGGGGAATTCAGACTGACTAGTGAGATGACTCAGATAGACAACAGTATAAGAAACAATGTGCAACAAGACCGGATTGTCTGAAGGAGACAGAATGTAATAGAATGTGAAATCATTTGGGAACTGAGCTTAGTTATGTGTGCATTTCCTCTTTTTTTTTTTTTACTAATAAAATGAAAATATATGTGCGCAAATGTGGGAAATCATCCCCTTAATAATAACATCCAAGATTGGGTTAGTCTCCCAAATAAATGTGTTTAATTCAGTTTATAATGAGGGCAACAAACATGCATCTAGCCAAATGTAGAATATTTCAATATCTAGTTTGCAATCAGGGTACCACATATGCACCAGGGAGGAGCAGAATAAATCAAGTTTAGGTTAGTTTAGAAAACCAGGGCAACTTGTGCCAACCTGTGCCCAGGCAAGAGTAGAATAGGAAGTTACCATGACTATTATAACATATTTTAAGGGACTTGCTAGTTGTGTATCACCTTATGGCCATAGCCATAATGTAGGTATTTCAGCCTTTGCTCTTAACGTGCCTGTGATTGTCCTTAACAACAATGGAACTGTTAAAGGAACCAAAGGATCTCATGTCTGGAGCCAGGGGACTAAGGCAAGGGTGCAGAAGTTGGGTGCAGTAAATGTCCAGCTTATCCCCTTGTTCTGGGAGGTCAAGCTAGCCTGCAACCTGGACATGCCAAAGTCTGTCTCATTCTTTGCAACCAACCCTGCTACACAGAGGCTGAAATGCCAACTTGATTGGCTTTGTTGTGGAATATTCCCACAAGTATGGTCTTAAACCAGGCTAAGACCTCCCCAGAGGAATCGCATGAAGACAAGTTGCGATGCAATAAGCAAAGGTTCTTTCTTGGCTAGCTCGGCTAGTTCAAGCTAGGGCCCTCGTCCAGCTCACTGACACAGTGGCAGCCTTCTAGGAACGAGTGGCCCCGAGTCTCAAAAGTGAGGGGCTTTTATAGCATACCATTATATAACAGGGACTTTCCACAGTCCAACCTTTTGGCTACAGTCTGAGGGGCTTTCCGTACTTGTACTTAGCTGATTGGTTGTAAGTTGGAGTTACACAAGGATTGCATAAGAGTTACATAAGGGTTGTATAGAGGGGGCTTCCCTACCTGCATCTGATCGGTAACCCTTAGTTGACCTCTCCATGGCTGTCTCACTTCGGGGAATTCATGACACAATTCCAGGTTTCTGTGCTCCATTCCAGGAATTCTGGAACTGAAACCTAGGCCTAGCTTCTCCTGGATTCTTTATGAGCCTGCCATGGTTCTGCCTGCCTTTACTTCTCTATCTCTCAATGGCAATGTAGGGAATGGTATATAAAACATGCATGTGACATCATTACATAGGCTCACATGAGGCTCATAGAGAACCAGTTTTGAAAGATTTTGATATTACTGTAATAAATAATGTGAATGCAAATAAAGCATAGTTAATGCTACAGGAGACATTTTCTAACTCCTTGTTGGGCGGAGGAATTGATTGTGTATTTAAAAGAGCACAGCTGGTTCAGAAGAAAATAAATTAGAGAAATGAAATTAGAGCTGTGCTAATCATATTCTTGGGAGCGTTTTTGTTGACTTATATTGTGCACTGGAGCTGACGGGAGCAAATGTAGGAATGTCTCAATGTTGGCAGCTCGTGGGGGCGGGGAGTCTGCTTTCAAGACAGAATCTTTATTACTTTCAGAATTAACTTTCAAAAAATTGGAAGATAATAGTGTTCAGGAAGCACCACCATTGTCTGATGCTCTTTCTCTCATGCCGTTTCTTCACAGAACTTCTGGATGCCTGCACATTTCACAGAAATTAAGAGCCTGAAACATGTGGTCAGTCATACCTGTCAGTGTGGGGCACCTATTCTGTGCTATAACTGATGTAGAAAGTAAAATGAGTAAACATTATTGTATCTTCTCATAAAACTGTACTTAATATTCTTAGATTTGAGGAGGGAGAAAGTTCTCTATATGAGAATTGGGCCTCTGAATTTGATATCAATGAAACCATACTAACTTTTGGAATTCTGCAAAAGGGACTTAACTTCCAACCCTATTCTATATCTTATCTAATAATTCATCAAATAAAGTTTAAATAACAAATCTGTCTGAAGGAGTCTGAATGATGATGAATAAGCAGAAAACTTCAATATATACAGTGTCAAGGATTTACACAGCAAAATAAAGATGATAATGGACTAGGTATATTTGCTTCTGTATATCATTTTTATATAGCTGAAGAATATCTGTCTCTTTCCTGCCCATTTATTTTTCTTTATATTAAGAAATGAACATATAATTGATATGGTAAATCCATCATTATAATGTACAGTTCCATATATTTAACAGTTACGTTAGTTATATAACCACTACCTGAGTTTGTACATTGTTGATATATGTCTTAACATTTAAAATGAATAAATTCACGTATAATCACTTCTTATTCAGATTAATTGAAAGTAGTAAAAGTATAAAATCCAGTTCTACTGTCTCTTACAGCCAACTTAGAGAAAATATTATCTATAAGAATTTCTCATTAATTTTTAAAATTTATTTTATTTATTTTTTAAATTTTTCTTCTCATATTGATTTATCGAATCACTGTGGGAAAAGTTACTAAGCTTTCAGGTTTAAGTCTCGGTCATACAATGATCAAACACCTCTCCCTTCACCAGTACTCATTTTTCACCGCCAAGAACCCCAATATACCCCCCCACCACTCCTCCCAATGCTTGTGAGGCAGATGATTTCCACTTAAATCTTCTCTACATTGATTACATTCATTATTTCAACAAAAGATCCACCATTATTGTTTAGAATTTCCCCCCAAACAATCAGAATTGCTGAAAAGGCATTGTGAAATACTTTGTTTTCTATAACTGGTTATGAGAATCATATAATGATTTTGGATTTCTGCAAAGAGCCAGATAATTACAAGATTGGTTTCTGTGTGTCTGGTGTTATGGCCGTGCCAGAGAGCCGCTGGTGGGGGACAACTCGTGACCTCGGTAGGGCGTGAAGGACGAGCTGGTACTGCCCCCCTTCCCATGAGACTGCAGTTCCCATCACCGCTGGCTCATACCCGGATTTCCTATAAGCTCTGAGGCAGCGGCCACCTTGCTGCTGTGGGGGGTGGGGGGAGGCGGAAAGGAACAACAACCTTTCCCTCCCGGGGAGGCATGGCGCCTTAGTTTAATGCATGGTCCATTAGCTTTTCTGCCGCAAGCTGCTGGGCTCTGAATTAAGTCCTTTTGCCTCTAGAGCCATGGCGGTGCCAGAGAGCTGCTCGTGGGGGGCAATTCATGACCTCAGTAGGGCGTGAAGGATGAGCCGGTACTGTCCCCCTTCCCATGAGACTGCAGTTGCCCTGTCACCGCTGACTCATACCTGGATTCCCAATAAGCTCTGAGGCGGTGGCCACCTTGTATGCGGTCCAGATGCATTTCTGCCAAAAGTGGCTGGGTTTCGAGGTTTGTTTCTGAGTCTCTGGGATCATGGCTGTTAAGCAGCTTGATCAGGAGCCAGAGAGGCCATTTGTAGGTGGCGACTCGGGGTCTCGCTGGGATGGGGAGGAAAGAGCCGGTACCACCTCCATCTGGTGAGGCCTCACATGTCTTGTCACTGCAGGCCCAAACCTGACTGTCCAGTGGCCTCTGGAGGATGGCTGTCACCAGGCCTCCAAGGGGAACAGACCAAGGCACGAAACCTATTCCCACCTGGAGTGGCCCAGCGTCAATAACCTACTGCAGGAACAGGACACATTTTTACCAAAAGCCTTTGGTTTCCGAGATTTGTTTCGGAGTCTCTGGGATCATGGCCGTTAAGCAGTTCAATTAGGAACGAGAGAAGCCATGCCTCCAATTATATAGCTGAGCTGGAGGTGGTTTGTGGGTGTGTCTCCCCCATACCTAACTTTTGGCTATTTACTTTCTTGGTAAACTTTGCCCCAAGTTTTTGGGGTCTGACCAAAGGCACAGCAGCAATTTTGGGGTATCTGAAAGTCTGACATTGCCATCAGGCTGCTGATGCACTTGCCTCACAGGTACAGATTGACCTGCTGACGGCACCATACCCCCGATTTCTCATTAATTTTTATCAGCTATTTTTCCCCTTTTATTACAGTTTATGGTAGCCCTCAAGAAATGTTGACTGGAAGCCTATTTTTAATATTATTTGATATTGGATTTTGGGGAATGGGTTTTTTACCTGTGAAAAGCCATGAGTTCCAGGCTTGCCCTTCTTCCACTAATAAGAATAAATGGACAAGATGGCACTACAGTTTTCAAATATTAAATAGTAATAGCACAGTAGATTGATCCTTGAAAGAAAACAGGTAACCAGCAAGATGACCCAGCTGTGCCTGGAACTCATGTACATATCAACGTAACCCAAGAAAGTTCATCAAATTGATTAGGAAGCAGAGATATGACCTAGGCAAGACAAGGTGATATTCTAAGAATATCTAAGTGTGAGTACTGCAAAGGATAGAAATCTGCAGCATATACCCCCCAGAGCTTTGTTGTCTGTCTTTTTGAGTCCTTATGGTAATAATTTTCATTGTGTAGAATAGTAGGCAACAAATCATATATATGAAGGAAAATATATATACATATAACAGAGAATCCAGCAAGCTACTGAAAGTATCCCGCCTGCACAGCAGAGCCTGGCAAGCTACCCATGGGGTATTTGATATGCCAAAAACAGTAACAATAATAGGTCTCATTCCCCTGACCCCGAAAGAGCCTCCAATACAATCCCATTGGGAAAGATGAGTAAGAAGAGGCTGCTAGCGCTCTTTACAATAGCCAGAAACTGGAAGAAACCTGAATGCCCAAGAACAGATGACTGGTTAAAGAAACTTTGGTACATCTACACAATGGAGTACTATGTAGCTCTTAGAAAAGATGAAGTCATGAAATTTACATACAAGTGGTACAATATGGAAAGTATCATGCTAAGCGAAATGAGTCAGAAAGAGAGGGATAGACATAGAAAGATTGCATTCATCTGGGGGATATAAAGTAACAAAGTATGAGATTAATACCCAAGAATAGCTGAGATCAGCACCAGGAGGATTACTCCATAACTTAGAGGCCAGCCAGGTATCCTAGAGGAAAGGGCAGTTCAGATAGAGAAGGGAGCACCAAATAAAGTATGTTTGGAGGATCCTCCCAGGAGGGGAGATGCATGTCGAAAGTAGACTATGGACTGAACATGTTTGCCACTCAATGCCTCTTTTGCAGACCACAACACCCAAAAGGAGAGAGAGAACACAGGGGATTGCCCTGCCACAGAGACAGGGGGGATGGGGGGATGGGGGTGGGAGGGATATTATCCATGGTGGTGGAAAATGGGCACTGGTGGAGGGATGGGTATCTGATCATTGTATAATTGAAACCAAAGCACAAAAAATTGTAAATCTACAACTTTAAAAACAATAAAATAAAATAAAGGGGAAAAAAAATAAAATTAAAAAAAAAAAGAAGAGGCTGCTAAAATCTCAGGACTGGGACGAATTGGAGACGTTACTGGCGCCTGCTCGAGTATCTTGATGACCAACAGGATGACAGTGATACAGTGATACAGTGTGTAGAATGAAATTAAAGTAAATCAGACTGATCAAAGAATAATTGTGAGAGACCTATAAACTGAACTATTTCCAGGGCTCGGAGGGGCTAGGAATCATTCATATTTCCACTATCCAGAATGAAAAGTCTTCATCGAACATTAAGGATTTCACTAAACGCCATGCCTTGGTTGTGGAGCTAGAACAGCTTTAGATTAAAACTGCATTGTGACTATGAATACCAAGGGTGAAACTAGCTTTTGTAGGATCAAACTCATCTGCAAGTAACTTAACTGCTTTCTAAAATAAACCTTAATACTCATTAAAGGAGACAATAAAATCTAACTACTCAACAATGTGGTATCTATGATTAAATGAAAACATTATTAGATATGCAAAGAAGGATCAAATGTGATCAAGTGGAGAAAAATCAGTTGATAGAAACACAACTACAAGCCAGAGATGATGATATTCACAAAATGCAGGGATACACAGAAATATGTTTTTAAAGGAAAATTTTAGTTGTCTATTTTGCTACAAATTTAATCAAAATATTTACATTTTCTTTTACTATAGGAATCATTTGTGTTTTATTTCTTTTTACTTAATCAGTCTCACTATGGCTTCATTAATTATATTAAACTTTTCCAAAACATTGGGTTTTATAATTTTTCATTATTGTTTTAAAGTTTTCCTTCTTTGATGGACATTCGTGGAAGATCTTACACCATTGCTACCATTCCCTATAAAATTATTATTTAAATTTAATTTGTTGTTTTTTATTTTTCACTTTAAACAAGCAACAATTTGACTCAACCTTTTTGTTGTGTTATTTGCTACTGCCAACACTGACTTTTATTTTACATCAATTTTATAATAATAATAATGAGGTTTAAGGAAAAATCAATTTCAGCAAAAGGTAATGAAATAGCAAATAACTTTCTCAACTTTGAGGTGGATTAAAAAAATTAGCACACAAGGCTCAACCTGTAAAAACATGTTAATAATCTCTCGTACAAGGGACTGTGTACCTAGGTCAAGAACAACCTAGGTCTAGAACAGCATGAGGAACAACCTGGCACCTGAAGTGTGCGGGAGGAAGAGAGTGGCATGGAATGCCTTCAAGAGCGTCGAAGAAATAGCTAAGAGGACGAAGAACCTCCAGCTCCAGGCACAGCTCGTCCACTCCACCGTTCTCCCTGCACTAACATTTGCCTTAGAGACCTGGGCCCCACGAAAACAGGATGAGAACACTATTCGGGTCTCCCAAAGAAGAATCGAAAGAGCTGTGCTTAGAGTATCATGCTTCACTCAAATGAGAGAAAGAATCCGGAGTTCCAACCTCCATCGACGATGGAGAATCAGAGATGCTGTCTCGTTTTCCAAGGCGTCGAAAATCAGATGGACTGGTCACGTAATGAGATTTAAAGACAACCGCTGGACTAGAGCCATTACTGACTGGATTCCACGGGACGTCAAAAGATCGCGTGGCCGAAGTGACATCTGCAATTGTTTGTTCATTGCAGCACTCTTTACAATAGCCAGAATCTGGAAAAAACCTGAGTGCCCGAGAACAGATGACTGGTTAAAGAAACTTTGGTACATCTACACAATGGAGTACTATGTAGCTGTTAGAAAAGATGAAGTCATGCAATTTACATACAAGTGGTACTACATGGAAAGTGTCATGTTAAGTGAAATGAGTCAGAAAGAGCGGGATAGACAGAAATATTGCATTCATCTGGGGAACATAAAGCAACAAAAAGGGAGACTAAC